TGTACGGTCATGGATTGTTGGTTTTCTTGGAAGACGCTGTCTCAATTCTTGATTTATCTGTGCTAGTGTCAGCAGGCAATTTTCGTTCAAAATGTCATTCAGGCAATTCCTCATTTCATCATCTACTCGAACGTGATTTGCTCCTCTTCGTGGTCTCTCCGCGATCCTTCCTTCTCGCAAGTATCGTGCAACGATACTTCTTGCAGTTGAACGGTTCACTCCGATAGTAGCGGCAACCGTCAAATAATCTTCATTCACATCTTCATCAATCATTACGCGAGATTGAAAGTATATTTGTTATGTTTGATTGTTCAAAGGTGCAATTGTTCATCCGTTGATGCTATTGAATGTTAATACATATGGAAATAGCGTTATTGAAAGTTCGTTCGCGTTCATGAGTTTCATGGAATTGCTAATGAATGTATATTTGCCGCATAGTTTCAACTGTTGACGTAAATGAATGTACATTTTGCGTAAATGAACAGCAAAAGGTGTAATAAACGTGTTGAGATTTGATAGACGCCTGGAGGTTCCGTCAATATAAAACATTTCTCCGATGCGGCGTTGTTAGAATCGATTGATGTCAGCGTCCGCCCTATTACATAGCACTGATTCGTCAGCAAAATATTAAGCATATCTCTATATATATGTGTCAGTGGTGGAGCAACTTACTACGAAACAGGAATGGAAAGCAATGCAACTTTAATTCTCACTACGGTAATGCTTTGCAAAGGTTTCTGTAGCTTTATGCATTGCGCCAATGAAATGATCGAAGATTTATGTTCGGTAGCTTTGTTTTTCAAAAAAAAAAAAAAAAAAAAAAAAAAAAAAAAACTTGGCTAAAATAACATGGTATTGGGGTCCATAGACTCATCCGAGTGAAGTCTTATAGTTGCTTCCGGACCGAGTAACATCTGCACCGCAACCTTGATCAAAATTCTGACAAATCCCGAAAGCACAGCATTGGCACAAGCACTTCGGCATCTGTCAGTAGCTTTCAGTGAAGGTTTGGCTTAGTCAAACACTTATTTTTTCACCATTTCTTTTGAAAAAATTGGTCACAAGGAGTATAAATTTGTCCCTATTATACGATGCTTTACCTAAAATGTCGCCATTGCTCACAATGAGAGAAAACTTGGGTGCCAGACCTCTCAGGACACCTGGCCGAATTTTAATTGCCAACACTCGTTTGGTTGGGAAGCATTTTGGTCGAAGAGCTGACAAGGGGAGAAGGTGTAAAGTTTGTGCATGCACTTGAAATGCAGGAGGGAACCTGAAACATACCAAAACTAATTTTTTTTAATGTCCGAAATGCGATGCACACCTTTGTGAGCATCCATGCTTTCAAGAGTGGCACACCCTTTGAAGGCTCTGGTTTACTTTTGGGTGGAAAAGCCACAGAAAAAGTTGTTTTAGTTATTTCCCATACGTTAACTTCTTTGATTAAAATTTCAATTTGCACATTTATTAATACCAAGATTCTGTCAGGAAATTATTATTTTTCTACCTAAAGATACACCCAATAAACCAAGAATTGTGCCATGTGAACAACTGATTTAATATTCTTCCCAATGATGTATAAACCATTTTGCCGTACAGACATCTTTAAGTACTCTTTTTGGCACAGACATATCGACACATGGAACAGTTTACCGTCATCAGTAGTTGAACTTGACTCAATTAATGCTTTTAAGAAAGCTCTTAAATCAACATTTTTTAATTAGGCCTATGACTAAAAATTAAATTATTCTATGTATTATACATTATTTAGTTATAATTTTAAACAAAATAGTTATCTTAGATATGTCTTCTTTATTTAGATTTTATATTTATATAGATATATGCCTGTATGTAAAATGTTTCAGTATGTATATGTATATTGCATAGTATTAAATTTTTACATCTGGGGTATAGTTTACAATGAGGATTAAGTTCCTCCCTTCTACAACCCTTTTTTAATAATAATATGTTATATGTTATTATTTAAATAAAGTTGTTATATATATTGCAAAAATGCAATCTGCGAAAAAATTGGAAACAACAAAAGGATGTCGACTTTTGCTTTTTGGATACTACTGGTGTCGCTGGTTCATGCTACATTTTAGGCAAGATCGATTAGATATGTGGCACGGCGGTATATTTATACGGCCTCTATATGCAACCTATTGGATGTCCGTGGTTCACAAACACTGGTACTCATTTTACGCAACCAGCGTAACAGGCTATGTGATATGTTCAGTGTCTTTGTCGATGCTGACGGCCATGGGCGTGGACCGATTTCGCGCCATGCTGTTGGGACTGAGATACAAAGAGAATGTAACTCTGAGGCGCATTATATCGCTTTAGCTATCGTCTGGGTTGTATGTATAGTCTCTGGTTTATGTTTTGATGCAAATTACCATTTAACTTTTTTAGCGCAGCTTCATACTGATGCCGTCCAGTCTGGTAATCTTAATCGCCTCGTACACAATGATTTTCCGCGCTCTCAATCATCATCTGGCTCAATTACAAGATCATGTTCAACAACAGTCGAACAAAACAATTGCACCGAACATGGCGCGATACAGAAAGGCAGAGTATAGTGCACTGTGGGTGCCGTCAGCGTTGGTTGTCTGTTATGAACCAAACTTAATAACGGAAATTGTGATATATTTGAGTTTAAACCGATTATCGAATTTTATCATGATCATCATAATCATTCGCCATAATGGCGAACATTTCAGTTTCCTTTAATTCCACTATAAACCCGTTTCTTAACCATTGGAAGATCAGAGATATAAAACATGCAGTAAAGCAGACAATCAGATAAGCAATTTGCCATGTGTAGACATCGGCCTATGTTCTGCTTCTCCAAAGCTATTTATGGTTTTTGGAAGAGAGGAGAAGATATACCATTTAATAAAAAGAGTGAGGAAAACGATAAAGAGCTATTTCCTATTTTATATTTTGTTCATTACAAGTTATCTTAAGAACAACTGAAAGGTAAAAAATCCTAGGTTGGTAATGAAATATATCACAAGAATATCATGTGCCGAATTTGCACACTTATCATGATGCATTGAAGTGGACATTATTCTTTTCAAGCAGAATGTGCTTACGAATTTGTTGTTTTGTGAAAACTGGATGAGATATGTCACTTTGGCTCAGATGTACGGTTAAGTGTTAACGGATTGCAAAAGGAGCCACGGGCTCGATTTGTTTATAACAAACCTTTGTAAATGTGTCGGCTTTTTTCCATCTGTTTAAACGTTTTTAGGAGGTTGATTATCACTATTTTCACATAGATTTATCTTTTGAGACCACTCGTTTGCCAGAAAGCAAGTATCCAAATTATGGCAGAAGAAACTTATGATAAGAAATAGTTCAAAAACTCTAACATGGTTTATAAGAATCGTTATCTTTCAGTATGTTGCTTGCATCAATTACGACCGTTTATAATTATCGAGTGCAAAATTATAGTCCTCAGAGGGCTACCATCGATTTCTATTTTTATGACTAAATTCAAATATACAAATATTCCCGAAAACATAAAAAAGGTTCCTTTTAACTTTGTCTTGCTGAGTCCTGAACTAAGAAAGACAAGGCAAGCCAAGCTGAAACTGATCTTGAAACAGAATTATGTAAAACGTCCCAGGCTGTTCAGCATAACTCTTTAAGCAGAGCTCATACGTAGTTGCTGTTGTTATCAGTAGCCTTTTCCAGGCGACCATTTAGTAAAATGGAGCGAAATGGTACACGGCACGATAGCAGCGGAGTGAATAAACGGGGGAGTTTTGGGTCAGGTAGGGTCGGGTCAGGTGAACGCCGTTCCCTACCTGACTCGACCCAAGCCTCACTCTTTTTTTAATCCGCCCTGAGTATCGCGCCGTTTACTGTGCACTTTGAAATAAAAGAAATAAAAAAAAATTCAAAAGACTTGTTACAGAATACGAGCAACTACGACATATATTTTCTTCGAGTCAGTAGTGGAGCAACGTATTACGAAAGAGGAATCGAGAGCCAAATAAATGCACCTGTCGTATACAAAACAACTATAATTGTAACTACGGTAATGTTTTGCAATCAAATAATGACTCGACACAAAAAAAAATAAATTTATCTTACTAAATGGTTCATTAAGAAAACAATGTAAAAAGCTTTCTGTAGCTTTATGCTTTGCGCCTATGAAATAATTGAATATTTTTATTTGGTAGCAAAACCGTATTATTAAAAAAACAAACTAGTACATGTATAGTTTTTCAAAAAAACAAAAGAAAAACTTTGGCTAAAATAACATGGTATTGGTGACCATAGATTCATCCAAAGGAAGCCTTCCAACTGCTTCCTGACCAAGTAACATCTGCGCTGCAATCTTTTTGTTGTTTAGGTTGCGTACGTATGTGATCCTAATTCCGACAAGTCCCGATATCACAGCATTTGCATAAGGTTTTCCTTACTCAAACACTGCTGTTTTCACTTTTTTTTAAACAATGGTTACATAGAGTATAAATTTTTCCTTGTTATACGATGCCATATCCAAAATGTCGTTTACCAATTACAAGTAACTAAGTTAAACAATGTTCAGTAGCAAACTTCCGCCTTAAAACCAGAGATGATTTGCACACACAGTGTTTCCCGTTTGAAGAGCATTTTAAATATCCATGATTTTTTGACCAACATTTCCACCCTTTAAAAGGTGAGACACCTAGAGACAAAAAAAAGGAAAACTTTTGGAATAACTTTGCATCTCTAACCAAGCTGTTAACAATTTATCGCGTCTCAAGATCGCGTGTATTAATTATTCGTGTAAAAAACGAGTCCGATGCAAACAACACTTAGGCCACTGAATTGATCAAGGCGTCGGCCGACGGCAATCAGTCGACTATCGACCAACTATCGGTCGACTTTCGATATCCTATCACTGAAGGTATATTTCAGTAATGAAGTTATTTTTATTTTTTGTTGGGATATTGACCTATCACATATGCAGTTTTACTTTTCCCTAAACAAAACAACAGTCCATTTCATTCTCATCGGTCAACATTCTCCTCTCCATCACAGCATTTCTTGGGAATTCTCTTATCCTTTTTGCTCTTCACAAGGAATCTTCTCTCCATCCGCCATCCAAACTCTTGTATCGTTGTCTGGCAACCATTAATTCGTTGGTTGGTCTTGTTGTCCAGCCTCTCTCTGCTACCTACAGGATGTCCTTGGTTCATGAACACTGGAGTTTTTGTCGATACGCAAGGGACGCAATCGTTATATCAAGCTATGTATTATGCGGAGTCTCTTTGATGAAGATGACGGCCATGAGCGTAGACCGACTTCTCGCCATGTTGTTGGGACTGAGATACAAAGAGATTGTAACTTTGAGGCGCACGTATATCATTTTAGCTATCGTTTGGGTTGTATGTCTAGTCACTGGTTTATTCTTATCTCAATTACCATATAGGCTTTTGGTTCCTTATCATAACTGTACCACCTGGCCTGGTAATCTCAGTCATCTCGTACACAGAGATTTTCCGCGCTCTCGTTCGTCATCAGGCTCAAATACAAGATCATGGCGCGATACAGAAAGGCGGTGTACAATGCACTGTAGGTGCAGTTAGCTTCAGTTGTCTGTTATGTTCCACAGATTACAGGGAGAATTGCGATCTATCTTAATGCAAAGAGATTTTCGAGTTTCTTCTCGATCTACGAAATGGAAACTGTCTTAGGTAGACCTAATATCACGTTGGCTCTTCCTTCTAAAACTTATTTGAAGAATTTTATTTGATAAAAGAGAGGGGAAGATTTGCTATTTTATGATAAAAAAGGGTGAGGAAAATTTGAAGAACTACTTCTAAATAGCATATTGTACTTAAATTATCTAACGAACAACTAACAGGCGAAAAATTGTAGTATAGTAGCCAATAACAAAACAATAATATGTCGCCAATCTGTGCATTTGTAATGAAGCAGTGAAGGCTATCAGTTATTTTGGAATCGGAATGCCCTCAAAATTTTTCTTTGCGATCATATCTTGATGAGATATATCACCTAAGATCAGAAATATGGTTTAGTGATAACGCGCTGTTAACGGAGCCAGCCGCTAGGTTTTGTCATGATTGGGAATTAGCCAAAATGTTTATAACGAAACGTTGTAAATTGAAGATGCGGACTTTGTTAACAGCTGTTCAAACATACAGAAGGAATGCTTAGAAAAGAAGTTGATCATCTCTGTTTCACATGGAGTTATCGTTTGAGACCAGTCGTTTGCTTAAGATTAAGCTCGCAAATAATGACAGAAGGAAATTATAAGAAGAAATGATTTTAAAAAAACTCTGACATGGTTGATACGACTAGCCATTCTACAGTATGTTACCAACATCAATTAGAACTGTTCATCGAGTTGCCTCGTGAGTCTGCACTATTTTGACCACTCTGATGACGAATATCGTTGTCTATAAGAGCACAGACCACAATAAACCATAGCCACGGTCGATCTGTTAAATGCAGAGTTTCCTACTAGCACCTAATTATGTATAGTAAATACAAGATGATTAGCAGGAAAAAAAAAATTTGTCCGAAACGAAGGACAATTTGTATTGTTAAAGGTGTTTTTCGTTAACTGTTCATCGCTACATCTATTTTCACACTTTTCAGGGCATAAAGATCCAGTCAACTTCGACACGTAGAGAACAAAGAACATTATTTTATTTTATTTTTTTTAGTGGTAACTATGCATCTGTAACCATATATGAATTCTGAGTAGTTTTATGTAATACAGTTTTCAGTTTTCCCCAATACCGATTAACGTCCTTAAAAACGTATTTTTACCTTCAACTAAGATAATTCATGCGTTCTAAGTTTACGTAAATTATAAATTAAAAGTCGCCAAACCACCTTATATCGATAAAAGTTTTAATCTCTGGTTTATTCTTTCATCTCAATTACCGTGTAGCTTTGGAGGTATATCATCGTTCCTGGTAATCTCAGCCGCCTTGTATATAAATATTTTCATATTTTGGTGCTCTCAGTCATCATCTGGCTAAAGTGTAAGATCATGTAAAACACGAGAAAGAATAAACCAGAAGACTAGAGATACAATCCAAACGATACCTAACATGATATACGTGCGCCTCAAAGTTACAATCTCTTTGTATCTCAGTCCCAACAGCCGAACAAAACAAATGCACCGAACATGGTGCGATACAGAAAGACAGTGTTCAGTGCACTGTGGGATGCCGCCAGTATTAGTTGTCTGTTATGTACCAAGCTTAGCAGTGGAAGTTGTGATGTATACTAGTTTAAAACGATTATAGAATTTTGTCATTATCATCATAATCATTTGCCATAATGGCGAATGTTTTATTTTTTTCAAATCCATTTTAAACCCGTTTCTTTACCGTTGGTAGATCAGATATAAGAGAAGTACGAAAGCAGACAGTCCTACAAGCAATTTGCCATGCATATATTTCGATCTATTCGGACGTTTACATGTCCTGTTTCTTCCAAAGCTATTTATCAATGATGTTTGCCAGGAATACCATTTAATAAAGAGAAAGGAAAACTATAAAGAGTTACTTCTGATTTTTTATACTGTATTCAAGTTATATCAAGAGCAACCGAAAGATAAAAAAACTCAGTTCGGTAAGTATATCACAAGGATATCATGTGCCGAATTTACACACGTATAATGAAGCAATGGAGACTATTTCAGCTTTTCAAGCAGAATGCACGATTTTGTTGTTTTTTCAAAACTTGGATGAAATATATCACTTTGGCTCTGATATACGGTCAAGTGTTTATGTAGTGAACCAGGAGCCTCGATTTGTTTATAACTTTGTAAATATGTAGACTTTGTTTTCATCTGTTCAAATATTTTGAAGTCAATTCTTAAGAAGTTGATTATCACTATTTTTACATAGATTTATCGTTTGAGATCAATCGTATGCCAGAGAGCAAGTTCGAAAATTATGAGAAAAGAAACTTATGGTAAGAAATAGTTAAAAAAAACTCTAACATGGTTAATAAGACTTAATTGAGGACCGTTACGAATATCGCAAAATGAAAAACGCGTTGAATGCAAATTTCTGATTAGTAAATAAGATGAAAAAGTTAAAGTTGCCATAAATGTCATAAATGTCATAAATGAAGATAAATCTCATGGATAAAATAAGAATCAATTAAATTTGGTCGGTAATGTTTAAATGTTCAAAATTATTTATCGATCGACTGATTTCCGACTGCGATATTTAGACATCGTAGACTTATGTTCTAAAATACTTCACAAAATTTAAAAAAAATGCTCCTTTATTTACTTTGTCTTGCTGAGTCATGAGCTAAGATGGGCAACCCAAACTGAAACTGATCTTTTAATAAAATATAATGAGCATATCTCTATAAGCAGAGCTCATATTTAGTTGCAGTTGTTCTCACCAGCCTTTTCCAGGGGTTCGTTCAGTAAAACGGAGCGACACGGTAGTAGCGGTGGAATGATGAAACGGGGGAGTTTTGGGTCGGGTCGGGTCGGGTCGGGTGAACGCCGTTCTTTACCCGTCTAGACCCAAGCCTCACTCTTTTTCGGTGCGCCCTGATTATCGCGCCGTTTACTGTGCACTTCGCTTTACTAGCTGAACGCCTCAAACAGGCTGTGTTATCACTCGATAAGCTGTCACAGAAAAAGGCGTAATGCAGAACACAAGAGACAGCACCATATATTTTCTTCGAGTCAGAAGCGGAGCCACTTATTACGAATGAGGAATCGAGAGACAAAGTAAATGCAATCACCTGTCGTATACATAACAACTTTAATTTTTACTACGGTAATGTTTTGCAATCAAATGATTACTAACACAGAAAATTTAATTCATCTTACTGAATTGTTCATTAAGCAAACAATGTAAAGAGACTTCTGTGGCATTAAAGTTCACACGGCAACCGGATAGACAATCAGACATGGTTTGATGCTACTCTGGTTTACAGATTTAATGAATGTAATCGAAGAAGTTACAATTCATCATCTGTCAGTAGCTTTTAGTAAAGGTTTTCCTTGGTCAAACACTGATATTTTCATTTTTTTAAATTTTTTTAAAATTTTTTTTAAACAATGGTCACAGAGATTATAAATTTGTCCCTGTTATACGATGCCATATCCAAAATGTCGTTAACCAATTACAGGTAACTGAGACAAACAGAAATCTTCAGTAGCAAACTTCCGCCGTAAAAAAACAGTGATAATTTGCACACACATCGTCACCCGTGGGGGGAGCATTTGAATTATTTATGATCTTTTTACCAATATTTCCACCATTTAAAAGTGTGACATGTAGATACAAAAAGATTTAAATATTTTTAGAATAACTTTGCATCTCTAACCAACATAAATTTTGAAATTGGAATTTTTCTCTAAGTTTTCCTAAACTGTTAACAATTTATGTCATCCCGAGATCACGTGAATTAATAATTCACGCTATCAGCCGGGTAAGGCAACGAGTCCGATCCAAACAACACGTCGGCCTATGCGTTAATCAAGGTGTCGGCCAACGGCAATTGGTCGACTATCGACGAACTGTCGGTCGACTTTGGATATCCTATCACTGAAGGTTTATTTGAGTAAATGAATTTTTTAAAATCTTTTTTTGGGAAATTAACCTATCACAAATGCAGTTTTACTTTCCTCCTATTACTAATTCAAATTCGCGCAGAAAGACTGGCGTTTTTTGCTCTTTCGTGTCACAAACCTCACAGCGTTCCGGCATTATACATAGTCAGACGCTAGTGATGAACTTTTACTCTCTGCAATTGTTATCCAAAAATTAAGGTTTAACCGACCTTGACTTAAAGGGTGCTGTTAAGACGAAACATTCCTCGTTGTATCTAAGGATAACCTCCAAAAGAGTGGAAACGACAGCAAGATGATGGCGACAACAAATCTAACTGAAAGTGGAACATATATGCAAACATTTCACGAATCGCTATGTTCCCCGATTTGGTTAGGTGATTTTAAACAACAGTCCATTTCATTCTCAGCAGTCAACATTTTCTTCTCCATCACAGCAATTCTTGGGAATTCCCTTATCCTTGTTGCCCTTCACAAAGAATCTTCCCTCCATCCGCCATCCAAACTCTTGTATAGTTGTTTGGCAACATCTGATCTGTTGGTTGGTCTTGTTAACCAGCCTCTCTATGCTGCCGGCTGGATGTCCGTGGTTTACGAACACTGGAGTTTTTGTCGATACGCAAGGGATGCAACCGTCATATCAAGCAGTGTATTATGCGTAGTGTCTTTGATGACGATGACGGCCATAAGCGTGGACCGACTTCTCGCCATGTTGTTGGGACTGAGATACAAAGAGATTGTAACTTTGAGGCGCACGTATATCATTTTAACTATCGTTTGGGTTGTATGTCTAGTCGCTGGTTTATTCTCTTATCTCAATTACCGTATAGGTCTTTGGTACCGCATCATAACCATACCATCATGTCTGGTAATCTCAGTCGCCTCGTACACAAAGATTTTTCGCGCTCTCAGTCATCATCAGGCTCAAATACAAGATCATGTTCAACGACAGCGGAGCCAACCAAGTGCACTGAACATGGCGCGATACAGAAAGGCAGTGTACAATGCGATTTGGGTGCAGTTAGCTTTAGTTGTCTGTTATTTTCCACAGTTTATATTGAGAATTGTGATCTTTCTTAGTGCAAAGAGATTTTCGAATTTATTCTTAATTTACGGAATGGGAATTTTTATACTTTTCTTTAACTCTACTTTAAACCCCTTCCTTTACTGCTGGAGGATAAGTGAAGTGAGACGAGCAGTGAAGCAGACAATCAGACAAGCAATCTGCTTTGCAGAGGGGTAGACCTATTTTAACGTTGGCATGTACTGCTTCTTCTATAACTTATATGGAGATTCTGCTTAGAGTTTAACCCGATTATCGGATTTCACCGTAATCAAGGGTATGGCAGATGATTTAGTAGTTTTCTTTAACTCGACTTTAAACCTGTTTCTTTGCTGTTAATTTAAAAGCAATCTTATTACCAATTTCGAATATTCAAGGGAAATACGTGACTCTATAACAGGCCGTGTACACAAAGCTGGTCTTTTGAGAAAACATTCTATCATTTCATGACAGTCGAGTACGAAGCGCGCTCTTATGACAGCTCACCACTTCAGGTATTATTTCCGCGCTTAAATTTCATCTGATGGTCAAAAAAAGACTTATGTCATTAAAATTATGAAAAAAGAGAATAAGTATAATGAAAGGATTAAATCTTTGGTTTAAGAACTACTACGCTTTACCCCTTTTATGTGGTTTTCCTTAACATTTCTCTTTCATTCTCGGAACTGTTACGAATATCACGGAATGAATTTAAGGTTGTATGCAAATTTTTGATGAGTAAATAATATGAAAAAGCTGACGTTGCCATAAATGTCACAAATGAAGGTATATTTCATAGATGAAACGAGAATCATAAAAATTTGGTGAGTCATGTTTAAAAGTTCAAAATTATTTACCAGGATCGACTGATTTCCCACCTCGATTTTTAGATATCGTAGAATCTTGTTCTAAAATATTCCAGAAAATTTTGAAATGCTCCTTTATTTATTTTGTCTTGCTGAGTTATGAGCTAAGCGAGGAAGCTAAGCTGAAACTAATCTTTAAACAGAATATGATGAAATGATGTAGAATGTCACAAGCTGTTAAGCATATCTTTATAAGCAGAGCTCGTGGTTAGCTGAAATTGTGCATGGCACGATAGTAACGGTGGAGAGAAAAAAAAGAGGGAGGCTTGGGGTCGTGTCGGGTCGGGTCGGGTCGGGTCGGGTGAACGTTGTTCTTTACCCGACTGGACCTTAGCCTCACTTTTTTTCACACCGCCGTGACTATCGCGCCGTTTATTGGGCACTTCGTTTTCCCAGCTTCGAACAGGCTATGTTGTCACTCGATAAGTTATCAAAAAAAGGTTTTAATGCAGAATACAACTGACTTCTACAGATATTTTCTTCGAGTCAGTAATGTAAACTCTTATTAGAAAAGAGCAATCGAGACAAAATCAATGCAATCATCTGTTGTATACATGACAACTTTAAACATTATTATGGTAGTTTTTCAAAAAAGTCATACAAAACCCGGGCTAAATAATATGGTCTTGGTGACAATAGACTCACCCAAAGGAAGTCTTCAAACTGCTTCCTGACTTAGTAGAATCTGCACTGCAACCTTTTTGTTTTTCAATTTGCCGTACGTATCTGATCATAATTCTGACAAGTCCTGATATAACAGCAGCGCCTAAGCACTTCGTCATCTGTCAATAGCTATCAATAAAGGTTTTTCTTGGTCAAACACGGATTTTTTTTCACCATTTCTATTGAAACAATGGTCACAGAGAGTATAACTTTGTCCCTGTTATACGATGCCATATCCAAAATATCGCTCATCAACATTAACAGGTAACAAGACAAACAGCATTATTCAAAATCAAACTTCCGCCTTAGAACCAGAGATAATTGGCACACAAATTTTCTCCGGTGATAAGAATGTTTGAATTCCTTGTTTGTACAGGTGTACATTGTTAGTGGTGTTTAAAAAAAAAATGTTCACCGCTGCATCTATTTTCAAACATTTTAGGACAAAAAGGCAGAGTTCAAGGCAGTTTAATCGGTAGAGAGATTCTCATGATCTCAAAGTTCCAGTCAGGTGCGACACGTATAGAACAAAGAACAAAAATACAAATATTTTTAGGAGTAACTATGCATCTGTAACAATACATTAATTTTGAATAGTTTTATGCAATCTAGATTTCTATTTTTCCCATACCAATTATCCTTTTAAAAAATTGGCATTATAGATGTAGAAAATAGAATAATTGAGACAATAAGTTTTGGGCACGTTACTGAACTAGGGAAAAAATATTTTTCAATCTTGTCACGTGCGTAGGACAAAGAAGAAACCTTGGATTTCCCTACTGGAAAGTATTGGGAAAACTTATTACCATAACAATCACGATTGGACGCAAAAGCGGGTCAATAAAACTAACGAAGCGTCGATTTTGTTGTGTTGAAAACTTATTGGGGACAAGCAATTACGAGTAAAAACTTATGGAAAAGGTTCAAACTGTTTCGTATACTTAACTCAACACTTTAAATAAATTAAATTTATCATGCATTTTTCTTTGCAAATGGATTGTTTTCTCATGGATATTTGAATCCCGGAGACAAAAATGAAATTCAACATAGGAATGCTCGATTTACTTCATGTTACTAGAAGAAAAGGAGACAAAATTATGGAAATGTTTTCTAAATAGTATATCACCTGTGGAAATTATGTGATGATAAGAATGTTGCTGGTTTCAATAGCACGGCCATAAGTGTTTGTATCTTGAAAATCGTTCTCCCCTCTTACCTTGATACGAAATTTGCGTAATTTGAATAAAAATATACATTACCGTGACAACTTGAAACACATCTTTACAAACTTAAAATATTCGATATGCCATGACCATTATCCATTATGAACCAGTACGTTACAAGTTTTTATCAAAATTTTACGCGATCGGAGTCAGAATATTCTTAATTATCCGTCAGGAACGAATTCAGACTAGGGTCATTGTGTGACACTTTCTTATTGTCGGCATTATGTTTTAGTCGGCCACTAGACGCGTGTGAGTCGCCAGTATAGTCTGAAGAGAAGATAGATTGAAGGATTGTCGAAATATTAGAGTAATAGAATTGGGAAAGAGGTATGTCATCTTATTTATTTTGAATATATATACCGAAACGTGTATAATCAAAGGTAGTTTTTTTTCGCTCAGGATGTTTGTGCTGTTTTGATTTATTTGTATACACGCCCCGCGTGTTCCGGTTTAGGACATCTCAATTAGTGTATGGTAATGGCATATTTTTAATTGATTTATTGTATTTCAGTTTTTACGAGCTTTCAAGTTTAATAAACGAGTTGCGATTTGATAGACGCCTGGAGGTTCTGTCAATATAAAACATTTCTCCGATGCGGCGTTGTTAGGATCGATTGATGTCAGCGTCCGCCCTATTAAACAGCACTGATTCGTTAGCAAAATATTAAGCATATCTCTACATATATGTGTCAGTGGTGGAGCAACTTACTACGAAACAAGAATGGAGAGCAATGCAACTTTAATTCTCACTACGGTAATGCTTTGAAAAGGTTTCTGTAGCTTTATGTATTGCGCCAATGAAATGATCGAAGATTTATGTTCGGTAGCAAAACCGCATGGTAGAAAGATAGTTTTGTTTTTCAAAAAAGCAAAAAAAAAAAAACCTGGGCTAAAATAACATGGTATTGGGGTCCATAGACTCATCCGAGTGAAGTCTTATAGTTGCTTCCGGACCGAGTAACATCTGCACCGCAACCTTGATCATAATTCTGACAAATCCCGAAAGCACAGCACTGGCACAAGCACTTCGGCATCTATCAGTAGCTTTCAGTGAAGGTTTGGCTTAGTCAAACACTTATTTTTTCACCATTTCTTTTGAAAAACTGGTCACAAGGAGTATAAATTTGTCCCTATTATACGATGCTTTACCTAAAATGTCGCCATTGCTCACACTGAGAGAAAACTTGGGTGCCAGACCTCTCAGGACACCTGGCCGAATTTTAATTGCCAACACTCGTTTGGTTGGGAAGCATTTTGGTCGAAGAGCTGACAAGGGGAGAAGGTGTAAAGTTTGTGCATGCACTTGAAATGCAGGAGGGAACCTGAAACATACCAAAGCTAATTTTTTTTTTTAATGTCCGAAATGTGATGCACACCTTTGTGAGCATCCATGCTTTCAAGAGTGGCACACCCTTTGAAGGCTCTGGTTTACTTTTGGGTGGAAAAGCCACAGAAAAAGTTGTTTTAGTTATTTCCCATACGTTAACTTCTTTGATTAAAATTTCAATTTGCACATTTATTAATACCAAGATTCTGTCAAGAAATTATTATTTTTCTACCTAAAGATACACCCAATAAACCAAGAATTGTGCCATGTGAACAACTGATTTAATATTCTTCCCAATGATGTATATATTGCAAAAATGCAATCTGCGAAAAAATTGGAAACAACAAAAGGATGTCGACTTTTGCTTTTTGGATACTGCTGGTGTCGCTGGTTCATGCTACATTTTAGGCAAGATCGATTAGATATGTGGCACGGCGGTATATTTATACGGCCTCTATATGCAACCTATTGGATGTCCGTGGTTCACAAACACTGGTACTCATTTTACGCAACCAGCGTAACAGGCTATGTGATATGTTCAGTGTCTTTGTCGATGCTGACGGCCATGGGCGTGGACCGATTTCGCGCCATGCTGTTGGGACTGAGATACAAAGAGAATGTATCTCTGAGGCGCATTATATCGCTTTAGCTATCGTCTGGGTTGTATGTATAGTCTCTGGTTTATGTTTTGATGCAAATTACCGTTTAACTTTTTTAGCGCAGCTTCATACTGATGCCGTCCAGTCTGGTAATCTTAATCGCCTCGTACACAATGATTTTCCACGCTCTCAATCATCATCTGGCTCAATTACAAGATCATGTTCAACAACAGTCGAACAAAACAATTGCACCGAACATGGCGCGATACAGAAAGGCAGAGTATAGTGCACTGTGGGTGCCATCAGCGTTGGTTGTCTGTTATGAACCAAACTTAATAACGGAAATTGTGATATATTTGAGTTTAAACCGATTATCGAATTTTATCATGATCATCATAATCATTCGCCATAATGGCGAACATTTCAGTTTCCTTTAATTCCACTATAAACCCGTTTCTTAACCATTGGAAGATCAGAGATATAAAACATGCAGTAAAGCAGACAATCAGATAAGCAATTTGCCATGTGTAGACATCGGCCTATGTTCTGCTTCTCCAAAGCTATTTATGGGTTTTGGAAGAGAGGAGAAGATATACCATTTAATAAAAAGAGTGAGGAAAACGATAAAGAGCTACTTCCTATTTTATATTTTGTTCATTACAAGTTATCTTAAGAACAACTGAAAGGTAAAAAATCCTAGGTTGGTAATGAAATATATCACAAGAATATCATGTGCCGAATTTGCACACTTATCATGATGCAGTGAAGTGGACATTATTCTTTTCAAGCAGAATGTGCTTACGAATTTGTTGTTTTGTGAAAACTGGATGAGATATGTCACTTTGGCTCAGATGTACGGTTAAGTGTTAACGGATTGCAAAAGGAGCCACGGGCTCGATTTGTTTATAACAAACCTTTGTAAATGTGTCGGCTTTTTTTCCATCTGTTTAAAAGTTTTTAGGAGGTTGATTATCACTATTTTCACATAGATTTATCTTTTGAGACCACTCGTTTGCCAGAAAGCAAGTATCCAAATTATGGCAGAAGAAACTTATGATAAGAAATAGTTCAAAAACTCTAACATGGTTTATAAGAATCGTTATCTTTCAGTATGTTGCTTGCATCAATTACGACCGTTTATAATTATCGAGTGCAAAATTATAGTCCTCAGAGGGCTACCATCGATTTCTATTTTTATGACTAAATTCAAATATACAAATATTCCCGAAAACATAAAAAAGGTTCCTTTTAACTTTGTCTTGCTGAGTCCTGAACTAAGCAAGACAAGGCAAGCCAAGCTGAAACTGATCTTGAAACAGAATTATGTAAAACGTCCCAGGCTGTTCAGCATAACTCTTTAAGCAGAGCTCATACGTAGTTGCTGTTGTTATCAGTAGCCTTTCCAGGCGACCATTTAGTAAAATGGAGCGAAATGGTACACGGCACGATAGCAGCGGAGTGAATAAACGGGGGGGTTTTGGGTCAGTTAGGGTCGGGTCCGGTGAACGCCGTTCCCTACCTGACTCGACCCAAGCCTCACTCTTTTTTTAATCCGCCCTGAGTATCGCGCCGTTTACTGTGCACTTTGAAATAAAAGAAATAAAAAAAAATTCAAAAGACTTGTTACAGAATACGAGCAACTACGACATATATTTTCTTCGAGTCAGTAGTGGAGCAAAGTATTACGAAAGAGGAATCGAGAGCCAAATAAATGCACCTGTCGTATACAAAACAATGTTTTGCAATCAAATAATGACTCGACACAAAAAAAAATAAATTTATCTTACTAAATGGTTCATTAAGTAAACAATGTAAAGCTTTCTGTAGCTTTATGCTTTGCGCCTATGAAATAATTGAATATTTTTATTTGGTAGCAAAACCGTATTATTAAAAAAACAAACTAGTACATGTATAGTTTTTCAAAAAAACAAAAGAAAAACTTTGGCTAAAATAACATGGTATTGGTGACCATAGATTCATCCAAAGGAAGCCTTCCAACTGCTTCCTGACCAAGTAACATCTGCGCTGCAATCTTTTTGTTGTTTAGGTTGCGTACGTATGTGATCCTAATTCCGACAAGTCCCGATATCACAGCATTTGCATAAGGTTTTCCTTACTCAAACACTGCTGTTTTCACTTTTTTTTTAAGCAATGGTTACATAGAGTATAAATTTTTCCTTGTTATACGATGCCATATCCAAAATGTCGTTAACCAATTACAAGTAACTAAGTTAAACAATGTTCAGTAGCAAACTTCCGCCTTAAAACCAGAGATGATTTGCACACACAGTGTTTCCCGTTTGAAGAGCATTTTAAATATCCATGATTTTTTGACCAACATTTCCACCCTTTAAAAGGTGAGACACCTAGAGACAAAAAAAAGGAAAACTTTTGGAATAACTTTGCATCTCTAACCAAGCTGTTAACAATTTATCGCGTCTCAAGATCGCGTGTATTAATTATTCGTGTAAAAAACGAGTCCGATGCAAACAACACGTAGACCACTGAATTGATCAAGGCGTCGGCCGACGGCAATCAGTCGACTATCGACCAACTATCGGTCGACTTTCGATATCCTGTCACTGAAGGTACATTTCAGTAATGAAGTTATTTTTATGTTTTGTTGGGATATTGACCTATCACATATGCAGTTTTACTTTTCCCTAAACAAAACAACAATCCATTTCATTCTCATCGGCCAACATTCTCCTCTCCATCACAGCATTTCTTGGGAATTCTCTTATCCTTTTTGCTCTTCACAAGGAATATTCTCTCCATCCGCCATCCAAACTCTTGTATCGTTGTCTGGCAACCATTAATTCGTTGGTTGGTCTTGTTGTCCAGCCTCTCTCTGCTACCTACAGGATGTCCTTGGTTCATGAACACTGGAGTTTTTGTCGATACGCAAGGGACGCAATCGTTATATCAAGCTATGTATTATGCGGAGTCTCTTTGATGAAGATGACGGCCTTGAGCGTAGACCGACTTCTCGCCATGTTGTTGGGACTGAGATACAAAGAGATTGTAACTTTGAGGCGCACGTATATCATTTTAGCTATCGTTTGGGTTGTATGTCTAGTCACTGGTTTATTCTTATCTCAATTACCATATAGGCCTTTGGTTCCTTATCATAACTATACCACCTGGCCTGGTAATCTCAGTCATCTCGTACACAGAGATTTTCCGCGCTCTCGTTCGTCATCAGGCTCAAATACAAGATCATGGCGCGATACAAAAAGGCGGTGTACAATGCACTGTAGGTGCAGTTAGCTTCAGTTGTCTGTTATGTTCCACAGATTACAGGGAGAATTGCGATCTATCTTAATGCAAAGAGATTTTCGAGTTTCTTCTCAATCTACGAAATGGAAACTGTCTTAGGTAGACCTAATATCACGTTGGAAGTCAATTCTTAAGAAGTTGATTATCACTATTTTTACATAGATTTATCGTTTGAGACCGATCGTATGCCAGGGAGCAAGTTCGAAAATTATGAGGGAAGAAACTTATGATAAGAAATAGTTAAAAAAACTCTAACATGGTTAATAAGACTTGATTCAGGACCGTTACGAATATCGCAAAATGAAAAACGCTTTGAATGCAAATTTCTGATTAGTAAATGAGATGAAAAAGTTAAAGTTGCCATAAATGTCATAAATGAAGATAAATCTCATGGATAAAATAAGAGTCAATTAAATTTAGTCGGTAATGTTTAAATGTTCAAAATTATTTATCGATCGACTGATTTCCGACTGCGGTATTTAGACATCGTAGACTTATGTTCTAAAATACTCCACAAAATTTTAAAAAAATGCTCCTTTATTTACTTTGTCTTGCTGAGTCATGAGCTAAGAAGGGCAAGCCAAGCTGAAACTGATCTTTTAATAAAATATAATGAAATGATGTAGAATGTCCCAGGCTGTTAAGCATATCTCTATAAGCAGAGCTCATATTTAGTTGCAGTTGTTCTCACCAGCCTTTTCCAGGCGTTCATTCAGTAAAACGGAGCGACACGGTAGTAGCGGTGGAATGATGAAACGGGGGAGTTTTGGGTCGGGTCGGGTCGGGTCGGGTCGGGTGAACGCCGTTCTTTACCCGTCTGGACCCAAGCCTCACTCTTTTTCGGTGCGCCCTGATTATCGCGCCATTTACTGTGCACTTCGCTTTACTAGCTGAACGCCTCAAACAGGCTGTGTTATCACTCGATGAGCTGTCAAAGAAAAAAGCGTAATGCAGAACACAAGAGACTACATCATATATTTTCTTCGAGTCAAAAGTGGAGCCACTTATTACGAATGAGGAATCGAGAGACAAAATAAATGCAATCACCTGTCGTATACATAACAGCTTTAATTTTTACTACGGTAATGTTTTGCAATCAAATAATTACTTACATTTGAATTATTTATGATCTTTTTACCAATATTTCCACCATTTAAAAGTGTGACATGTAGATACAAAAAAATTTAAATATTTTTAGAACAACTTTGCATCTCTAACCAACATAAATTTTGAAATTGGAATTTTTCTCTAAGTTTTCCTAAACTGTTAACAATTTATGTCATCCCGAGATCACGTGAATTAATAATTCACGCTGTCAGCCGGGTAAGGCAACGAGTCCGATCCAAACAAGACGTCGGCCTATGCGTTAATCAAGGTGTCGGCCAACGGCAATTGGTCGACTATCGACGAACTGTCGGTCGACTTTCGATATCCTATCACTGAAGGTTTATTTGAGTAAATGAATTTTTTAAAATCTTTTTTTGGGAAATTAACCTATCACAAATGCAGTTTTACTTTCCTCCTATTACTAATTCAAATTCGCGCAGAAAGACTGGCGTTTTTTTGCTCTTTCGTGTCACAAACCTCACAGCGTTCCGGCATTATACATAGTCAGACGCTAGTGATGAACTTTTACTCTCTGCAATTGTTATCCAAAAATTATGGTTTAACCGACCTTGACTTAAAGGGTGCTGTTAAGACGAAACATTCCTCGTTGTATCTAAGGATAACCTCCAAAAGAATGGAAACGACAGCAAGATGATGGCGACAACAAATCTAACTGAAAGTGGAACACATACGCAAACATTTCACGAATCGCTATGTTCCCCGATTTGGTTAGGTGATTTTAAACAACAGTCCATTTCATTCTCAGCAGTCAACATTTTCTTCTCCATCACAGCAATTCTTGGGAATTCCCTTATCCTTGTTGCCCTTCACAAAGAATCTTCCCTCCATCCGCCATCCAAACTCTTGTATAGTTGTTTGGCAACATCTGATCTGTTGGTTGGTCTTGTTAACCAGCCTCTCTACGCTGCCTACTGGATGTCCGTGGTTCACGAAAACTGGAGTTTTTGTAGATACGCAAGGGATGCAACCGTCATATCAAGCTATGTATTATGCGGAGTGTCTTTGATGACGATGACGGCCATAAGCGTGGACCGACTTCTCGCCATGTTGTTGGGAATGAGATATAAAGAGATTGTAACTTTGAGGCGCATCTATATCATTTTAGCTATCGTTTGGGTTGTATGTCTAGTCGCTGGTTTATTCTCTTATCTCAATTACCGTATAGGTCTTTGGTACCGCATCATAACCATACCATCATGTCTGGTAATCTCAGTCGCCTCGTACACAAAGATTTTTCGCGCTCTCACTCATCATCGGGCTCAAATACAAGATCATGTTCAACGACAGCCGAGCCAACCAAATGCACTGAACATGGCGCGATACAGAAAGGCAGTGTACAATGCGATTTGGGTGCAATTAGCTTTAGTTGCCTGTTATGTTCCACAGTTTATAGTGAGAATTGTGACCTTTCTTAGTGCAAAGAGATTTTCGAATTTATTCGTAATTTACGGAATGGGAATTTTCATACTTTTCTTTAACTCAACTTTAAACCCCTTCCTTTACTGCTGGAAGATAAGTGAAGTGAGACGAGCAGTGAAGCAGACAATCAGACAAGCAATCTGCTTTGCAGAGGGGTAGACCTATTTTAACGTTGGCATGTACTGCTTCTTCTATAACTTATATGGAGATTCTGCTTAGAGTTTAACCCGATTATCGGATTTCATCGTAATCAAGGGTATGGCAGATGTTTTAGTAGTTTTCTTTAACTCGACTTTAAACCCGTTTCTTTGCTGTTAATTTAAAAGCATTCTTATTACCAATTTCGAATATTCAAGGGAAATACGTGACTCTATCACAGGCCGTGTACACAAAGCTGCTCTTATGAGAAAACATTCTATCATTTCATGACAATCGAGTACGAAGCGCGCTCTTGAGTACCTATCACTACTCCTAATTAAAAGGGTTTGCATGACAGCTCACCACTTCAGGTATTATTTCCGCGCTTAAATTTCATCTGATGGTCAAAAAAAGACTTATGTCATTAAAATTCTGAAAAATGAGAATAAGTATAATGAAAGGATTAAATCTTTGGTTTAAGAACTACTATGCTCTAACCCCTTTTATGTGGTTTTCCTTAACATCTCTCTTTCATTCTCGGAACTGTTACGAATATCACGGAATGATAAATAATGATGGTTGTATGCAAATTTTTGATGAGTAAATAATATGAAAAAAGCTGACGTTGCCATAAATGTCACAAATGAAGGTATATTTCATAGATGAAACGAGAATCATAAAAATTTGGTCAGTCATGTTTAAAAGTTCAAAATTATTTACCAGGATCGACTGATTTCCCACCTCGATTTTTAGATATCGTAGAATCTTGTTCTAAAATATTCCAGAAAATTTGGAAATACTCCTTTATTTATTTTGTCTTGTTGAGTTATGAGCTAAGCCAGGCAAGCTAAGCTGAAACTCATCTTTAAACAGAATATGATGAAATGATGTAGAATGTCACATACTGTTAAGCATATCTTTATAAACAGAGCTCAGGGTTAGCTGCCATTGTTGTAACTAGCCTTTTAAATGCTTTAATTTTGTAATACGGAGCGGAATGGTGCATGGCACGATAGTAGCGGTGGAGAGAAAAAAAGAGAGAGGCTTGGGTCGTGTCCGATCGGGTCGGGTCGGGTCGGGTGAACGTTGTTCTTTACCCGACTGGACCCTAGCCTCACTTTTTTTCACACCACCGTGACTATCGCGCCGTTTATTGGGCACCTCGTTTTGTCAGCTTCGAACAGGCTATGTTGTCACTCGATAAGCTGTCAAAAAATGCTCTGATGCAGAATACAACTGACTTCTACAGATATTTTCTTCGAGTCAGTAATGGAAACTCTTATTGGAAAAGAGGAATCGAGACAAAATGAATGCAATCACCTGTTGTATACATGACAACTTTAAACATTATTATGGTAGTTTTTCAAAAAACTCACACAAAACCCGGGCTAAATAACATGGTCTTGGTGACAATAGACTCACCCAAAGGAAGTTTTCAAACTACTTCCCGACCGAGTAGAATCTGCACTGCAACCTTTTTGTTTTTCAATTTGCCGTACGTATGTGATCATAATTCTGACAAGTCCTGATATAACAGCAGTGCCTAAGCACTTTGTCATATGTCAATAGCTATCAATAAAGGTTTTTCTAGGTCAAACACGGATTTTTTTCACTATTTCTATTGAAACAATGGTCACAGAGAGTATAACTTTGTCCCTGTTATACGATGCCATATCCAAAATATCGCTTATCAATTCGATTAACAGGTAACAAGACAAACAGCATTGTTCAAAAATCAAACTTCCGCCTTAGAACCAGAGATAATTGGCACACAAAATGTCTCCGGTGATAAGAATGTTTGAATTCCTTGTTTGTACAGGCGTGCATTGTTAGTGGTGTTTAAAAAAAAATGTTCACCGCTGCATCTATTTTCAAACATTTTAAGACAAAAAGGCAGAGTTCAAGGCAGTTTGATCGTGAGAGAGGTTTTCATGATCTCAAAGTTCCAGTCAGGTGCGACGCGTATAGAACAAAGAACCAAAATACAAATATTTTTAGGAGTAACTATGCATCTGTAACAATACATTAATTTTGAATAGTTTTATGCAGTCTAGATTTCTATTTTTCCCATACCAATTATCCTTTTGAAAAAATTGGCATTATAGATGTAGAAAATAGAATAATTGAGAAAGTAAATTTTGGGCACGTTACTGAACTAGGGAAAAATGTTTTTTAATCTTGTCACGTGCGTAGGACTGGTAATCTCAGTCGCCTCGTACACAAAGATTTTTCGCGCTGTCGGTCATCATCAAGCTCAAATACAGGATCACGCTCAACAACAGCCGAACCAAGCAAATGTACTGAACATGGTGCCATACATAAAGGCACTACACAGTGCAGTGTGGGTGCAGTTAGCTTTAATTGTTTGTTATGTACCATGTTTTACATTGATCATTCTTTGTGAAGTACGATGTCCGAATGACATCAGAATTGAGGAAATGGCAATTGTCATCGTGTTCTTTAATTTTACTTTAAACCCGTTCCTTTACTGCTGGAAGATAATTGAAGTGAGACAAGCAGTAAAGCAGACAATCAGACAAGCAATCTCTTGCGTATAGGTAGACCTATTTTAACGCTGGCATATACTGCTTCTTTTAGAAATTATTTGAAAAATTATGTTTGTGAGAAGAGAGGAGAAGATTTGCCATTCTATGATAAAAAAGGGTGAGGGAAAATATGAAGAGCTTTTTATGTAATGTTTAAAAAACGAGCAGGAGTGTTTTATCGGGTTTTTGACCCGATAAAACACGTGCTGCGAGTTTTTTGAACGGCTTCAAAAACATTCTTGGAAAAGCGTGTGTCAAGAGAGTTCATAACAATTATGCTTTTGTGAACGTTAGAAATTAGCATACGAGAAAAACATTAGGGATTAAATTAGTATGCAAGAAAATCAAATCTCACACGTGTCAACTGATCTTGAATTCGAAGTTTCAGATGATGTATTGTCTAATATGCCTTTACCAGATTACTGTACTAATGGAATAGAGAATTTTTCCAGATGTGTATTTCACAACTGTAATATTAATTTGGTGCAAAAGTAAATTGGCTGTGTGGAATTTGTTGAAAGAACATTAAATATGTTCCCACAATTTGTTGTGTCAGTTTCTGTGTTGATAATTAATTAATTTTCATAAGTCACGTGCAGTGTCTTTATATCTGATAAAACACCGCATACTAATAAAGATGAGGTTTATCGATATAAAGTCACTGCACGTGATGTATTATCTACCATTTGATAGGTTAATGGGCTTATGAATTATTAATGAGCTTTTGAAAAATAGTATATTGTACTCAAATTATCTAATGAACAACTACCAGGCGAAAAATTGTAGTTTAGTAGCCATAATAAAACAATAACATGTCGCTAATTTGTGCATTTTGGAATCAAAATGCGCTCAGAATTTTTCTTTACGATCAAATCTTGATGCGATATATCACCTTAGATCAAAACTATGGTTTAGTGATAACGCGCTGTTAACGGAGCCAGCCGCTCGATTTTGTCACGATTGGGAATGAGCCATGGTGTTTACAACGAAACTTTGTAAATTAAAGATGAGGACTTTGTTAACATCTGTTAAAATATACAGAAGAAACTGCTTAGAAAAGAAGTTGATCATTTCTGTTTCACATAGAGTTATCGTTTGAGACTAGTCGTTTGCCTAAGATTAAGCTCGCAAATAGTAACAGAAGAAAGTTGTAATAAGGAATGATTTTAAAAAAACTTTAACATATGGTTGATAAAACCAGCTATTTTTCAGTATGTTACTAACATCAATTAAGACTGTTTATCGGGTTGCCTCACTATTTTGACCACTGCTAAGATGAATATCGTTGTCGATAAGAGCACAGACCACAATAAACCATGGCCATGGTCGATTTGTTAAATGGAGAGTTTTCGCTAACAGCAAGTTTCCTACTAGCACCTAACTATGTATAGTAAATACAAGATAATTAGCAGATGAAAAAAATTGTCCGAAACGGAGGACAATTTGTATTGTTAAAGGTGTTTTTCTTTAACTGTTCACCGCTACATTTATTTTCACATTTTTCAGGGCATAAAGGCAGAGATCAATGCAATTTGATCGGTGGAGACGTTGTCATTTTGTAAAAGATCCAGTCACATTTGACACGTAGAGAACAAAGAACAAAATTTTTATTTTTTTTAGTGGTAACTATGAATCTGTAACCATATATGAATTCTGAGTAATTTTAAATAATCTAGTTTTCTATTTACACCAATACCGATTAATGTTTTTAAAAGAGGATTTTTACCTTTTACCAAATATTTTCGGTGCTCTCAGTCATCATCTGGCTGAAGTATAGGATCATGTTAAACATGATAAAGAATACACGAGAAGGCTAGAGATACAATCCAAACGATACCTAACATGATATACGTGCGCCTCAAAGTTACAACCTCTTTGTTTCTCAGTTCCAACAGCCGAACGAAACAAATGCACCGAACATGGCGCGATACAGAAAGGCAGTGTTTAGTGCACTGTGGGTGCCGTCAGCATTAGTTTTCTGCTATGTACAAAACTTAACAGTGGAAATTGTGATATGTACGAGTATAAACCGACTATATAATTTCATCATAATCGTCATTATCATTTGCCATATAGGCGAATGTTTTATTTTTTTCAACTCCATTTTAAACCCATTTCTTTACCGTTGGTAGATCAGATATAAGAGAAGTACGAAAGCAGACAATCCTACAAGCAATTTGCAATATAAAGGTTTCGACCTATTTCGACGTTTACATATTCTGTTTCTTCCAAAGCTATTTATCAATGATGTTTGCCATGAATACAATTTAATAAAGAGTAAGGAAAACCATAAAGAGCTACTTCTAATTTTTATACTGTATTCGAGTTATATCAAGAGCAACCGAAAGATAAAAAAACTCAGTTCGTTAAGTGTATCACAAGGATATCATGTGCCGAATTTGCACACGTATAATGAAGCAATGGAGAATATTTCGGCTTTTCAAGCAGAATGCACGATTTTGCTGTTTTTTCAAAACTTGGATGAAATATATCACTTTGGCTCTGATATACGGTCAAGTGTTTATGGAGTGTACCAGGAGCCTCGATTTGTTTATAACTTTGTAAATATGTAGACTTTGTTTTCATTTGTTTAAATATTTTGAAGTCAATTCTTAAGAAGTTGATCAGTATCACTATTTTACATAGATTTATCGTTTGAGACCAATCGTATGCCAGAGAGCAAGTTCGAAAATTATGAGAGAAGAAACTTATGATAAGAAATAGTTAAAAAAAACTCTAACATGGTTAATAAGACTTAATTCAGGACCGTTACAAATATCGCAAAATGAAAATGCGTTGAATGCAAATTTCTGATTAGTAAATAAGATGAAAAAGTTAAAGTTGCCATAAATGTTATAAATGTTATAAATGTCATAAATGAAGATAAATCTCATGGATAAAATAAGAATCAATTAAATTTGGTCGGTAATGTTTAAATGTTCAAAATTATTTATCGATCGACTGATTTCCGACTGCGATATTTAGAAATCGTAGACTTATGTTCTAAAATACTCCACAAAATTTTAAAAAAATGCTCCTTTATTTACTTTGTCTTGCTGAGTCATGAGCTAAGGAGGGCAAGCCAAACTGAAACTGATCTTTTAATAAAATTTATAATAAAGTTCGGATATAACGCGCGCTGTCATTGGTTGAAAGAGCGTGCTCTATGAGAGTATAGAGCATAGAACTGAGCTAAAGCTGTCACGCCATCTGCCAAATTGTACCATGTTCGACCTTTTCCGGGACTTCTTTTTAGCTTTTTTTCCGATAATTGAAAGTGAAATTTCGGAACAAGCGAGCCGGCAAGTAGTAACAGAAGAACCAAAGAAAGGTTTGTAAACATACCAGGCGCCGTTATTTACGTTATTAAAACGTGGGCAGATACGAAAATCCTCAAAGGAAAAACAAAATAGACATTCCGAGTTTTAAAGATTTTCACGCTCAGTTAGATTGCAAGCTTACGTACGGTAATGAAAATCAAACACAGCCAACACTCGTATAGTATCATGTTCTGGTGAATTCGGCTGTCGTTCATTTAAAAAACACTCGCCTTGAACAGTTTGTTTTCTACCTTGTCATGTGAAAAAACCCGCGTGTTTTTATGAGCCATAATTCGGCTGAAGTTCACTGAACATTTCACTTCAAGATTCTGAATTAAAAACTTCAGGCAAAAGCGTTAAATTCGACCTGCCGAATTATTTTAGTTTGTAAACTATCGCAGAGTGTGAACTTTGATGGTTTTTGAACTTTGATGGTTTTTGAACTTTGATGGTTTGACACTTTTGACAGCTTTTGTCTTGTACAGCCAATCTGATTATTTGAACTATTCTAACAGGGATTCTGATTGGCTTATTGTAGCGTGCTTTATGAGAGTATAGAGCATGCTGACGGCATTGTTCTTCGCTTTGGAAATAAAGTTTGTTTTGAAAATTGAAAGTAATACATGGGGAATTGAACGGATTCTTTATTATAAAACAAATAGAGAAGCCTTGACTGTGCTCTGTTCTGTTATAAAGCACTTAGGAAGCGGCTAGAGCACTCAAGAAGTGGGAAGAAACACTCGACTACGTCTCATGTTTCTCCCTACACTTCTTTCGTGCTCTAGCCGCTTCCCGCGTGCTTTATAACAGAACAGAGCACAGTCAAGGCTTCTCTATTTGTTAAATAATGAAATGATGTAGAATGTCACAGGCTGTTAAGCATATCTCTATAAGCAGAGCTCATATTTAGTTGCAGTTGTTCTCAACAGCCTTTTCCAGGCGTTCATTTGGTAAAACGGAGCGACACGGTAGTAGCGGTGGAACGATGAAACGGGGGAGTTTTGGGTCGGGTCGGGTTGGGTCGGGTCGGGTCGGGTCGGGTCGGGTCGGGTGAACGCCGTTCTTTACCCGTCTGGACCCAAGCCTCACTCTTTTTCGGTGCGCCCTGATTATCGCGCCGTTTACTGTGCACTTCGCTTTACTAGCTGAACGCCTCAAAAAGGCTGTGTTATCACTCGATGAGCTGTCAAAGAAAAAAGCGTAATGCAGAACACAAGAGACTACATCATATATTTTCTTCGAGTCAAAAGTGGAGCCACTTATTACGAATGAGGAATCGAGAGACAAAATAAATGCAATCACCTGTCGTATACATAACAACTTTAATTTTTACTACGGTAATGTTTTGCAATCAAATAATTACTAACACAGAAAATTTAATTCATCTTACTGAATTGTTCATTGAGCAAACAATTTAAAGAGACTTCTGTAGCATTAAAGTCCACACGGCAACCGGGTGGACAATCTGACATGATTTGATGCTACTCTGGTTTACAGATTTAATGAGTGTAACCGAAGAAGTTACAATTCTTCGGTTACATTCATTAAATCTGTAAACCAGAGTAGCATCAAACCATGTCAGACCTCTGTAGCTTTATGCTTTGCGCCTATGAAATGATTGGATATTTTTATTCGGTAGCAAAACCGTATCGTAAAAAAAAAAGCTAATGCATGTATAGTTTTTCAAAAAAAACTAAAACAAAACTTCGGCTAAAATAACATGGCATTGGGGCATTGGTGACCATAGATTCATACAGAGGAAGTCTTCAAACTACTTCCTGACCAAGTAACATCTACCTTGCAATCTTTTTGTTTTTCAGTTTGCCGTAAGTATGTGATCATAATTCTGGCTGACAAGACCCGGTATCACAGCACTGGCATAAGCACTTCATCATCTGTCAGTAGCTTTTAGTGAAGGTTTTCCTTACTCAAACACTAATATTTTAATTTTTTAGATTTTTTTAAAAATTTTTTTTAAACAATGGTCACAGATTAAAAAAATTTGTCCCTGGATGCCACATTCAAAATGTCGTTTACCAATTACAGGTAACTAAGACAAACAGAAATCTTCAGTAGCAAACTTCCGCCGTAAAAAACCAGTGATAATTTGCACACACATCGTCTCCCGTGGGGGGAGCATTTGAATTATTTATGATCTTTTTACCAACATTTCCACCATTTAAAAGTGTGACATTTAGATACAAAAAAATATAAATATTTTTAGAATAACTTTGCATCTCTAACCAACATAAATTTTGAAATTGGACTTTTTCCCTAAGTTTTCCTAAACTGTTAACAATTCATGTCATCCCGAGATCACGTGAATTAATAATTCACGCTATCAGCCGGGTAAGGCAACGAGTCCGATCCAAACAACACGTCGGCCTATGCGTTAATCAAGGTGTCGGCTAACGGTAATTGGTCGACTATCGACGAACTGTCGGTCGACTTTGGATATCCTATTACTGAAGGTTTATTTGAGTAAATGAATTTTTTTAAATATTTTTTTGGGAAATTAACCTATCACAAATGCAGTTTTACTTTCCTCCAATTCCTAATTCAAATTCGCGCAGAAAGACTGGCGTTTTTTGCTCTTTCGTGTCACAAACCTCACAGCGTTCCGGCATTATACATAGTCAGACGCTAGTGATAAACTTTTACTCTCTACAATTGTTATCCAAAAATTAAGGTTTAACCGACCTTGACTTAAAAGGGTGCTGTTAAGACGAAACATTCCTCGTTGTATCTAAGGATAACCTCCAAAAGAGTGGAAACGACAGCAAGATGATGGCGACAACAAATCTAACTGAAAGTGGAACACATACGCAAACATTTCACGAATCGCTCTGTTCCCCGATTTGGTTAGGTGATTTTAAACAACAGTCCATTTCATTCTCAGCAGTCAACATTTTCTTCTCCATCACAGCAATTCTTGGGAATTCCCTTATCCTTGTTGCCCTTCACAAAGAATCTTCCCTCCATCCGCCATCCAAACTCTTGTATCGTTGTCTGGCAACAACTGATCTGTTGGTTGGTCTTGTTAACCAGCCTCTCTACGCTGCCTACTGGATGTCCGTGGTTCACGAACACTGGAGTTTTTGTAGATACGCAAGGGATGCAACCGTCATATCAAACTATGTATTATGCGGAGTGTCTTTGATGACGATGACGGCCATAAGCGTGGACCGACTTCTCGCCATGTTGTTGGGACTGAGATATAAAGAGATTGTAACTTTGAGGCGCACCTATATCATTTTAGCTATCGTTTGGGTTGGATGTCTAGTCGCTGGTTTAATCTCTCATCTCAATTACCGTATAGGTCTTTGGTACCGCATCATAACCATACCATCATGTCTGGTAATCTCAGTCGCCTCGTACACAAAGATTTTTCGCGCTCTCAGTCGTCATCAGGCTCAAATACAAGATCATGTTCAACGACAGCCGAGCCAACCAAATGCACTGAACATGGCGCGATACAGAAAGGCAGTGTACAATGCGATTTGGGTGCAGTTAGCTTTAGTTGCCTGTTATGTTCCACAGTTTACAGTGAAAATTGTGATCTTTCTTAGTACAAAGAGTGGATTTTCGAATTTCTTCATATTCCTGGGAATGGCAAATGTCTTACTGTTCTTTAACTCTACTTTAAACCCGTTCCTTTTCTGCTGGAAGATAAGTGAAGTGAGACGAGCAGTGAAGCAGACAATCAGACAAGCAATCTGCTTTGCAGAGGGGTAGACCTATTTTAACGTTGGCATGTACTGCTTCTTCTATAACTTATATGGAGATTCTGCTTAGAGTTTAACCCGATTATCGGATTTCATCGTAATCAAGGGTATGGCAGATGTTTTAGTAGTTTTCTTTAACTCGACTTTAAACCCGTTTCTTTGCTGTTAATTTAAAAGCATTCTTATTACCAATTTCGAATATTCAAGGGAAATACGTGACTCTATCACAGGCCGTGTACACAAAGCTGGTCTTATGAGAAAACATTCTATCATTTCATGACAATCGAGTACGAAGCGCGCTCTTGAGTACCTATCACTACTCCTAATTAAAAGGGTTTGTATGACAGCTCACCACTTCAGGTATTATTTCCGCGCTTAAATTTCATCTGATGGTCAAAAAAAGACTTATGTCATTAAAATAATGAAAAAAGAGAATAAGTATAATGAAAGAATTAAATCTTTGGTTTAAGAACTACTATGCTCTAACCCCTTTTATGTGGTTTTCCTTAACATCTCTCTTTCATTCTCGGAACTGTTACGAATATCACGGAATGATAAATAATGATGGTTGTATGCAAATTTTTGATGAGTAAATAATATGAAAAAAGCTGACGTTGCCATAAATGTCACAAATGAAGGTATATTTCATAGATGAAACGAGAATCATAAAAATTTGGTCAGTCATGTTTAAAAGTTCAAAATTATTTACCAGGATCGACTGATTTCCCACCTCTATTTTTAGATATCGTAGAATCTTGTTCTAAAATATTCCAGAAAATTTTGAAATACTCCTTTATTTATTTTGTCTTGTTGAGTTATGAGCTAAGCCAGGCAAGCTAAACTGAAACTCATCTTTAAACAGTATATGATGAAATGATGTAGAATGTCACATACTGTTAAGCATATCTTTATAAGCAGAGCTCATGGTTAGCTGCCATTGTTGTTACTAGCCTTTTAAAGGCTTTAATTTTGTAAAACGGAGCGAAATGGTGCATGGCACGATAGTAGCGGTGGAAAGAAAAAAAGAGGGAGGCTTGGGTCGGGTCGGGTCGGGTCGGGTGAACGTTTTTCTTTACCCGACTGGACCCTAGCCTCACTTTTTTCCACACCACCGTGACTATCGCGCCGTTTATTGGGCACTTCGTTTTGCCAGCTTCAAACAGGCTATGTTGTCACTCGATAGGCTATCAAAAAATGCTCTGATGCAGAATACAACTGACTTCTACAGATATTTTTTTCGAGTCAGTAATGGAAACTCTTATTAGAAAAGAGCAATCGAGACAAAATGAATGCAATCACCTGTTGTATACATGACAACTTTAAACATTATTATGGTAGTTTTTCAAAAAACTCATACAAAACCCGGGCTAAATAACATGGTCTTGGTGACAATAGACTCACCCATAGGAAGTTTTCAAACTACTTCCCGACCGAGTAGAATCTGCACTGCAACCTTTTTGTTTTTCAATTTGCCGTACGTATGTGATCATAATTCTGACAAGTCCTGATATAACAGCAGTGCCTAAGCACTTTGTCATCTGTCAATAGCTATCAATAAAGGTTTTTCTTGGTCAAACACGGATTTTTTTCACTATTTCTATTGAAACAATGGTCACAGAGAGTATAACTTTGTCCCTGTTATACGATGCCATATCCAAAATATCGCTTATCAATTCGATTAACAGGTAACAAGACAAACAGCATTGTTCAAAATCAAACTTCCGCCTTAGAACCAGAGATAATTGGCACACAAAATGTCTCCGGTGATAAGAATGTTTGAATTCCTTGTTTGCACAGGCGTGCATTGTTAGTGGTGTTTAAAACAAAATGTTCACCGCTGCATCTATTTTCAAACATTTTAAGACAAAAAGGCAGAGTTCAAGGCAGTTTGATCGTGAGAGAGGTTCTCATGATCTCAAAGTTCCAGTCAGGTGCGACGCGTATAGAACAAAGAACAAAAATACAAATATTTTTAGGAGTAACTATGCATCTGTAACAATACATTAATTTTGAATAGTTTTATGCAGTCTAGATTTCTATTTTTCCCATACCAATTATCCTTTTGAAAAAATTGGCATTATAGATGTAGAAAATAGAATAATTGAGAAAGTAAATTTTGGGCACGTTACTGAACTAGGGAAAAAATGTTTTTTAATCTTGTCACGTGCGTAGGACTGGTAATCTCAGTCGCCTCGTACACAAAGATTTTTCGCGCTGTCGGTCATCATCAAGCTCAAATACAGGATCACGCTCAACAACAGCCGAACCAAGCAAATGTACTGAACATGGTGCCATACATAAAGGCACTACACAGTGCAGTGTGGGTGCAGTTAGCTTAAATTGTTTGTTATGTACCATGTTTTACATTGATCATTCTTTGTGAAGTGCGATGTCCGAATGACATCAGAATTGAGGAAATGAAAATTGTCTTTGTGTTCTTTAATTCTACTTTAAACCCGTTCCTTTACTGCTGGAAGATAATTGAAGTGAGACAAGCAGTAAAGCAGACAATCAGACAAGCAATCTCTTGCGTATAGGTAGACCTATTTTAACGCTGGCATATACTGCTTCTTTTAGAAATTATTTGAAAAATTATGTTTGTGAGAAGAGAGGAGAAGATTTGCCATTCTATGATAAAAAAGGGTGAGGGAAAATATGAAGAGCTTTTTATGTAATGTTTAAAAAACGAGCAGGAGTGTTTTATCGGGTTTAAAACCACGAGGCGTAGCCGAGTGGTTTTTGACCCGATAAAACACGTGCTGCGAGTTTTTTGAACGGCTTCAAAAACATTCTTGGAAAAGCGTGTGTCAAGAGAGTTCATAACAATTATGCTTTTGTGAACGTTAGAAATTAGCATACGAGAAAAACATTAGGGATTAAATTAGTATGCAAGAAAATCAAATCTCACACGTGTCAACTGATCTTGAATTCGAAGTTTCAGATGATGTATTGTCTAATATGCCTTTACCAGATTACTGTACTAATGGAATAGAGAATTTTTCCAGATGTGTATTTCACAACTGTAATATTAATTTGGTGCAAAAGTAAATTGACTGTGTGAAATTTGTTGAAAGAACATTAAATATGTTCCCACCATTTGTTGTGTCAGTTTCTGTGTTGATAATTAATTAATTTTCATAAGTCACGTGCAGTGTCTTTATATCTGATAAAACACCGGATACTAATAAAGATGAGGTTTATCGATATAAAGTCACTGCACGTGATGTATTATCTACCATTTGATAGGTTAATGGGCTTATGAATTATTAATGAGCTTTTGAAAAATAGTATATTGTACTCAAATTATCTAATGAACAACTACTAGGCGAAAAATTGTAGTTTAGTAGCCATAATAAAACAATAACATGTCGCTAATTTGTGCATTTTGGAATCAAAATGCGCTCAGAATTTTTCTTTACGATCAAATCTTGATGCGATATATCACCTTAGATCAAAACTATGGTTTAGTGATAACGCGCTGTTAACGGAGCCAGCCGCTCGATTTTGTCACGATTGGGAATGAGCCATGGTGTTTACAACGAAACTTTGTAAATTAAAGATGAGGACTTTGTTAACATCTGTTAAAATATACAGAAGAAACTGCTTAGAAAAGAAGTTGATCATTTCTGTTTCACATAGAGTTATCGTTTGAGACTAGTCGTTTGCCTAAGATTAAGCTCGCAAATAGTAACAGAAGAAAATTGTAATAAGGAATGATTTTAAAAAAACTTTAACATATGGTTGATAAAACCAGCTATTTTTCAGTATGTTACTAACATCAATTAAGACTGTTAATCGGGTTGCCTCACTATTTTGACCACTGCTAAGGTGAATATCGTTGTCGATAAGAGCACAGACCACAATAAACCATGGCCATGGTCGATTTGTTAAATGGAGAGTTTTCGCTAACAGCAAGTTTCCTACTAGCACCTAACTATGTATAGTAAATACAAGATAATTAGCAGATGAAAAAAATTTTCCGAAACGGAGGACAATTTGTACTGTTAAAGGCGTTTTTCTTTAACTGTTTACCGCTACATTTGTTTTCACATTTTTCAGGGCATAAAGGCAGAGATCAATGCAATTTGATCGGTGGAGACGTTGTCATTTTGTAAAAGATCCAGTCACATTTGACACGTAGAGAACAAAGAACAAAATTTTTATTTTTTTTAGTGGTAACTATGAATCTGTAACCATATATGAATTCTGAGTAATTTTAAATAATCTAGTTTTCTATTTTCACCAATACCGATTAATGTTTTTAAAAGAGGATTTTTACCTTTTACCAAATATTTTCGGTGCTCTCAGTCATCATCTGGCTGAAGTATAGGATCATGTTAAACATGATAAAGAATACACGAGAAGGCTAGAGATACAATCCAAACGATACCTAACATGATATACGTGCGCCTCAAAGTTACAACCTCTTTGTTTCTCAGTTCCAACAGCCGAACGAAACAAATGCACCGAACATGGCGCGATACAGAAAGGCAGTGTTTAGTGCACTGTGGGTGCCGTCAGCATTAGTTTTCTGCTATGTACAAAACTTAACAGTGGAAATTGTGATATGTACGAGTATAAACCGACTATATAATTTCATCATAATCGTCATTATCATTTGCCATATAGGCGAATGTTTTATTTTTTTCAACTCCATTTTAAACCCATTTCTTTACCGTTGGTAGATCAGATATAAGAGAAGTACGAAAGCAGACAATCCTACAAGCAATTTGCAATATAAAGGTTTCGACCTATTTCGACGTTTACATATTCTGTTTCTTCCAAAGCTATTTATCAATGATGTTTGCCATGAATACAATTTAATAAAGAGTAAGGAAAACCATAAAGAGCTACTTCTAATTTTTATACTGTATTCGAGTTATATCAAGAGCAACCGAAAGATAAAAAAACCCAGTTCGTTAAGTGTATCACAAGGATATCATGTGCCGAATTTGCACACGTATAATGAAGCAATGGAGAATATTTCGGCTTTTCAAGCAGAATGCACGATTTTGCTGTTTTTTCAAAACTTGGATGAAATATATCACTTTGGCTCTGATATACGGTCAAGTGTTTATGGAGTGTACCATATGTAGACTTTGTTTTCATTTGTTTAAATATTTTGAAGTCAATTCTTAAGAAGTTGATCAGTATCACTATTTTACATAGATTTATCGTTTGAGACCAATCGTATGCCAGAGAACAAGTTCGAAAATTATGAGAGAAGAAACTTATGATAAGAAATAGTTAAAAAAAACTCTAACATGGTTAATAAGACTTAATTCAGGACCGTTACGAATATCGCAAAATGAAAATGCGTTGAATGCAAATTTCTGATTAGTAAATAAGATGAAAAAGTTAAAGTTGCCTAAATGTCATAAATGTTATAAATGTCATAATGAAGATAAATCTCATGGATAAAATAAGAATCAATTAAATTTGGTCGGTAAAGTTTAAATGTTCAAAATTATTTATCGATCGACTGATTTCCGACTGCGATATTTAGAAATCGTAGACTTATGTTCTAAAATACTCCACAAAATTTAAAAAAAATGCTCCTTTATTTACTGTCTTGCTGAGTCATGAGCTAAGAAGGGCAAGCCAAACTGAAACTGATCTTTTAATAAAATTTATAATAAAGTTCGGATATAACGCGCGCTGTCATTGGTTGAAAAAGCGTGCTCTATGAGAGTATAGAGCATAGAACTGAGCTAAAGCTGTCACGCCATCTGCCAAATTGTACCATGTTCGACCTTTTTCCGGGACTTCTTTTTACCTTTTTTCCGATAATTGAAAGTGAAATTTCGGAACAAGCGAGCCGGCAAGTAGTAACAGAAGAACCAAAGAAAGGTTTGTAAACATACCAGGCGCCGTTATTTACGTTATTAAAACGTGGGCAGATACGAAAATCCTCAAAGGAAAAACAAAATAGACATTCCGAGTTTTAAAGACTTTCACGCTCAGTTAGATTGCAAGCTTACGTACGGTAATGAAAATCAAACACAGCCAACACTCGTATAGTATCATGTTCCAGTGAATTCGGCTGTCGTTCATTTAAAAAACACTCGCCTTGAACAGTTTGTTTTCTACCTTGTCATGTGAAAAAACCCGCGTGTTTTTATGAGCCATAATTCGGCTGAAGTTCACTGAACATTTCACTTCAAGATTCTGAATTAAAAACTTCAGGCAAAAGCGTTAAATTCGACCTGCCGAATTATTTTAGTTTGTAAACTATCGCAGAGTGTGAACTTTGATGGTTTTTAAACTTTGATGGTTTTTGAACTTTGATGGTTTTTGAACTTTGATGGTTTGACACTTTTGAGAGCTTTTGTCTTGTACAGCCAATCTGGTTATTTGAACTATTCTAACAGGGATTCTGATTGGCTTATTGTAGCGTGCTTTATGAGAGTATAGAGCATGCTGACGGCATTGTTCTTCGCTTTGGAAATAAAGTTTGTTTTGAAAATTGAAAGTAATACATGGGGAATTGAACGGATTCTTTATTATAAAACAAATAGAGAAGCCTTGACTGTGCTCTGTTCTGTTATAAAGCACTTAGGAAGCGGCTAGAGCACTCAAGAAGTGGGAAGAAACACTGGACTACGTCTCGTGTTTCTCCCTACACCTCTTTCGTGCTCTAGCCGCTTCCCGCGTGCTTTATAACAGAACAGAGCACAGTCAAGGCTTCTCTATTTGTTAAATAATGAAATGATGTAGAATGTCCCAGGCTGTTAAGCATATCTCTATAAGCAGAGCTCATATTTAGTTGCAGTTGTTCTCAACAGCCTTTTCCAGGCGTTCATTTAGTAAAACGGAGCGACACGGTAGTAGCGGTGGAACGATGAAACGGGGGAGTTTTGGGCCGGGTCGGGTGAACGCCGTTCTTTACCCGTCTGGACCCAAGCCTCACTCTTTTTCGGTGCGCCCTGATTATCGCGCCGTTTACTGTGCACTTCGCTTTACTAGCTGAACGCCTCAAAAAGGCTGTGTTATCACTCGATGAGCTGTCAAAGAAAAAGCGTAATGCAGAACACAAGAGACTACATCATATATTTTCTTCGAGTCAAAAGTGGAGCCACTTATTACGAATGAGGAATCGAGAGACAAAATAAATGCAATCACCTGTCATATACATAACAACTTTAATTTTTACTACGGTAATGTTTTGCAATCAAATAATTACAGAAAATTTAATTCATCTTACTGAATTGTTCATTGAGCAAACAATTTAAAGAGACTTCTGTAGCATTAAAGTCCACACGGCAACCGGGTGGACAATCTGACATGGTTTGATGCTACTCTGGTTTACAGATTTAATGAGTGTAACCGAAGAAGTTACAATTCTTCGGTTGCATTAATTAAATCTGTAAACCAGAGTAGCATCAAACCATGTCAGACTTCTGTAACTTTATGCTTTGCGCCTATGAAATGATTGAATATTTTTATTCCGTAGCAAAACCGTATCGTAAAAAAAAAGCTAATACATGTATAGTTTTTCAAAAAAAAACTAAAACAAAACTTCGGCTAAAATAACATGGCATTGGGGCATTGGTGACCATAGATTCATACAGAGGAAGTCTTCAAACTACTTCCTGGCCAAGTAACATCTACCTTGCAATCTTTTTGTTTTTCAGTTTGCCGTAAGTATGTGATCATAATTCCGGCTGACAAGACCCGGTATCACAGCACTGGCATAAGCGCTTCATCATCTGTCAGTAGCTTTTAGTGAAGGTTTTCCTTACTCAAACACTGATATTTTAATTTTTTAAATTTTTTTAAAAATTTTTTTTAAACAATGGTCACAGATTAAATAAATTTGTCCCTGGATGCCACATCCAAAATGTCGTTTACCAATTACAGGTAACTAAGACAAACAGAAATCTTCAGTAGCAAACTTCCGCTGTAAAAAACCAGTGATAATTTGCACACACATCGTCTCCCGTGGGGGGAGCATTTGAATTATTTATGATCTTTTTACCAACATTTCCACCATTTAAAAGTGTGACATTTAGATACAAAAAAATATAAATATTTTTAGAATAACTTTGCATCTCCAACCAACATAAATTTTGAAATTGGACTTTTTCCCTAAGTTTTCCTAAACTGTTAACAATTCATGTCATTCCGAGATCACGTGAATCAATAATTCACGCTATCAGCCGGGTAAGGCAACGAGTCCGATCCAAACAACACGTCGGCCTATGCGTTAATCAAGGTGTCGGCTAACGGTAATTGGTCGGCTATCGACGAACTGTCGGTCGACTTTGGATATCCTATCACTGAAGGTTTATTTGAGTAAATGAATTTTTTAAAATATTTTTTTGAGAAATTAACCTATCACAAATGCAGTTTTACTTTCCTCCTATTACTAATTCAAATTCGCGCAGAAAGACTGGCGTTTTTTGCTCTTTCGTGTCACAAACCTCACAGCGTTCCGGCATTATACATAGTCAGACGCTAGTGATGAACTTTTACTCTCTGCAATTGTTATCCAAAAATTAAGGTTTAACCGACCTTGACTTAAAGGGTGCTGTTAAGACGAAACATTCCTCGTTGTATCTAAGGATAACCTCCAAAAGAGTGGAAACGACAGCAAGATGATGGCGACAACAAATCTAACTGAAAGTGGAACACATATGCAAACATTTCACGAATCGCTATGTTCCCCGATTTGGTTAGGTGATTTTAAACAACAGTCCATTTCATTCTCAGCAGTCAACATTTTCTTTTCCATCACAGCAATTCTTGGGAATTCCCTTATCCTTGTTGCCCTTCACAAAGAATCTTCCCTCCATCCGCCATCCAAACTCTTGTATAGTTGTTTGGCAACATCTGATCTGTTGGTTGGTCTTGTTAACCAGCCTCTCTATGCTGCCGGCTGGATGTCCGTGGTTTACGAACACTGGAGTTTTTGTCGATACGCAAGGGATGCAACCGTCATATCAAGCAGTGTATTATGCGTAGTGTCTTTGATGACGATGACGGCCATAAGCGTGGACCGACTTCTTGCCATGTTGTTGGGACTGAGATACAAAGAGATTGTAACTTTGAGGCGCACGTATATCATTTTAACTATCGTTTGGGTTGTATGTATAGTCGCTGGTTTATTCTCTTATCTCAATTACCGTATAGGTCTTTGGTACCGCATCATAACCATACCATCATGTCTGGTAATCTCAGTCGCCTCGTATACAAAGATTTTTCGCGCTCTCAGTCATCATCAGGCTCAACTACAAGATCATGTTCAACGACAGCGGAGCCAACCAAATGCACTGAACATGGCGCGATACAGAAAGGCAGTGTACAATGCGATTTGGGTGCAGTTAGCTTTAGTTGTCTGTTATTTTCCACAGTTTATATTGAGAATTGTGATCTTTCTTAGTGCAAAAAGATTTTCGAATTTATTCTTAATTTACGGAATGGGAATTTTTATACTTTTCTTTAACTCTACTTTAAACCCCTTCCTTTACTGCTGGAAGATAAGTGAAGTGAGACGAGCAGTGAAGCAGACAATCAGACAAGCAATCTGCTTTGCAGTGGGGTAGACCTATTTTAACGTTGGCATGTACTGCTTCTTCTATAACTTATATGGAGATTCTGCTTAGAGTTTAACCCGATTATCGGATTTCACCGTAATCAAGGGTATGGCAGATGATTTAGTAGTTTTCTTTAACTCGACTTTAAACCTGTTTCTTTGCTGTTAATTTAAAAGCATTCTTATTACCAATTTCGAATATTTAAGGGAAATACGTGACTCTATCACAGGCCGTGTACACAAAGCTGGTCTTTTGAGAAAACATTCTATCATTTCATGACAGTCGAGTACGAAGCGCGCTCTTATGACAGCTCACCACTTCAGGTATTATTTCCGCGCTTAAATTTCATCTGATGGTCAAAAAAAGACTTATGTCATTAAAATTATGAAAAAAGAGAATAAGTATAATGAAAGAATTAAATCTTTGGTTTAAGAACTACTATGCTCTAACCCCTTTTATGTGGTTTTCCTTAACATTTCTCTTTCATTCTCGGAACTGTTACGAATATCACGGAATGAATTTAAGGTTGTATGCAAATTTTTGATGAGTAAATAATATGAAAAAGCTGACGTTGCCATAAATGTCACAAATGAAGGTATATTTCATAGATGAAACGAGAATCATAAAAATTTGGTCAGTCATGTTTAAAAGTTCAAAATTATTTACCAGGATCGACTGATTTCCCACCTCGATTTTTAGATATCGTAGAATCTTGTTCTAAAATATTCCAGAAAGTTTTGAAATGCTCCTTTATTTATTTTGTCTTGCTGAGTTATGAGCTAAGCGAGGAAGCTAAGCTGAAACTAATATTTAAACAGAATATGATGAAATGATGTAGAATGTCACAAGCTGTTAAGCATATCTTTATAAGCAGAGCTCGTGGTTAGCTGCCATTGTTGTTACTAGCCTTTCAAAGGCTTTAATTTTGTAAACGGAGCGAAATGGTGCATGGCACGATAGTAGCGGTGGAGAGAAAAAAAAAGAGGGAGGCTTGGGGTCGTGTCGGGTCGGGTCGGGTGAACGTTGTTCTTTACCCGACTGGACCTTAGCCTCACTTTTTTTCACACCGCCGTGACTATCGCGCCGTTTATTGGGCACTTCGTTTTCCCAGCTTCGAACAGGCTATGTTGTCACTCGATAAGCTATCAAAAAAGGGTTTTAATGCAGAATACAACTGACTTCTACAGATATTTTCTTCGAGTCAGTAATGTAAACTCTTATTAGAAAAGAGCAATCGAGACAAAATCAATGCAATCACCTGTTGTATACATGACAACTTTAAACATTATTATGGTAGTTTTTCAAAAAACTCATACAAAACCCGGGCTAAATAATATGGTCTTGGTGACAATAGACTCACCCAAAGGAAGTCTTCAAACTGCTTCCTGACCTAGTAGAATCTGCACTGCAACCTTTTTGTTTTTCAATTTGCCGTACGTATCTGATCATAATTCTGACAAGTCCTGATATAACAGCAGCGCCTAAGCATCTTCAATCATCTGTCAATTTTTTTCGCCAGCTATCAATAAAGGTTTTTCTTGGTCAAACACGGATTTTTTTTCGCCATTTCTATTGAAACAATGGTCACAGAGAGTATAACTTTGTCCCTGTTATACGATGCCATATCCAAAATATCGCTCATCAATTCGATTAACAGGTAACAAGACAAACAGCATTATTCAAAATCAAACTTCCGCCTTAGAACCAGAGATAATTGGCACACAAAATGTCTCAAGCAATTACGAGTAAAAACTTATGGAAAAGGTTCAAACTGTTTCGTATACTTAACTCAACACTTTAAATAAATTAAATTTATCATGCATTTTTCTTTGCAAATGGATTGTTTGCTCATGGATATTTGAATCCCGGAGACAAAAATGAAATTCAACATAGGAATGCTCGATTTACTTCATGTTACTAGAAGAAAAGGAGACAAAATTATGGAAATGTTTTCTAAATAGTATATCACCTGTGGAAATTATGTGATGATAAGAATGTTGCTGGTTTCAATAGCACGGCCATAAGTGTTTGTATCTTGAAAATCGTTCTCCCCTCTTACCTTGATACGAAATTTGCGTAATTTGAATAAAAATATACATTACCGTGACAACTTGAAACACATCTTTACAAACTTAAAATATTCGATATGCCATGACCATTATCCATTGTCTCTTGAAACAAGAATGGAGAGCAATGCAACTTTAATTCTCACTACGGTAATGCTTTGAAAAGGTTTCTGTAGCTTTATGTATTGCGCCAATGAAATGATGGAAGATTTATGTTCGGTAGCAAAACCGCATGGTAGAAAGATAGTTTTGTTTTTCAAAAAAGCAAAAAAAAAAAAACCTTGGCTAAAATAACATGGTATTGGGGTCCATAGACTCATCCGAGTGAAGTCTTATAGTTGCTTCCGGACCGAGTAACATCTGCACCGCAACCTTGATCATAATTCTGACAAATCCCGAAAGCACAGCACTGGCACAAGCACTTCGGCATCTATCAGTAGCTTTCAGTGAAGGTTTGGCTTAGTCAAACATTTATTTTTTCACCATTTCTTTTGAAAAACTGGTCACAAGGAGTATAAATTTGTCCCTATTATACGATGCTTTACCTAAAATGTCGCCATTGCTCACACTGAGAGAAAACTTGGGTGCCAGACCTCTCAGGACACCTGGCCGAATTTTAATTGCCAACACTCGTTTGGTTGGGAAGCATTTTGGTCGAAGAGCTGACAAGGGGAGAAGGTGTAAAGTTTGTGCATGCACTTGAAATGCAGGAGGGAACCTGAAACATACCAAAGCTAATTTTTTTTTTTTTAATGTCCGAAATGTGATGCACACCTTTGTGAGCATCCATGCTTTCAAGAGTGGCACACCCTTTGAAGGCTCTGGTTTACTTTTTGGGTGGAAAAGCCACAGAAAAAGTTGTTTTAGTTATTTCCCATACGTTAACTTCTTTGATTAAAATTTCAATTTGCACATTTATTAATACCAAGATTCTGTCAAGAAATTATTATTTTTCTACCTAAAGATACACCCAATAAACCAAGAATTGTGCCATGTGAACAACTGATTTAATATTCTTCCCAATGATGTATATATTGCAAAAATGCAATCTGCGAAAAAATTGGAAACAACAAAAGGATGTCGACTTTTGCTTTTTGGATACTGCTGGTGTCGCTGGTTCATGCTACATTTTAGGCAAGATCGATTAGATATGTGGCACGGCGGTATATTTATACGGCCTCTATATGCAACCTATTGGATGTCCGTGGTTCACAAACACTGGTACTCATTTTACGCAACCAGCGTAACAGGCTATGTGATATGTTCAGTGTCTTTGTCGATGCTGACGGCCATGGGCGTGGACCGATTTCGCGCCATGCTGTTGGGACTGAGATACAAAGAGAATGTATCTCTGAGGCGCATTATATCGCTTTAGCTATCGTCTGGGTTGTATGTATAGTCTCTGGTTTATGTTTTGATGCAAATTACCGTTTAACTTTTTTAGCGCAGCTTCATACTGATGCCGTCCAGTCTGGTAATCTTAATCGCCTCGTACACAATGATTTTCCGCGCTCTCAATCATCATCTGGCTCAATTACAAGATCATGTTCAACAACAGTCGAACAAAACAATTGCACCGAACATGGCGCGATACAGAAAGGCAGAGTATAGTGCACTGTGGGTGCCATCAGCGTTGGTTGTCTGTTATGAACCAAACTTAATAACGGAAATTGTGATATATTTGAGTTTAAACCGATTATCGAATTTTATCATGATCATCATAATCATTCGCCATAATGGCGAACATTTCAGTTTCCTTTAATTCCACTATAAACCCGTTTCTTAACCATTGGAAGATCAGAGATATAAAACATGAGTAAAGCAGACAATCAGATAAGCAATTTGCCATGTGTAGACATCGGCCTATGTTCTGCTTCTCCAAAGCTATTTATGGGTTTTGGAAGAGAGGAGAAGATATACCATTTAATAAAAAGAGTGAGGAAAACGATAAAGAGCTACTTCCTATTTTATATTTTGTTCATTACAAGTTATCTTAAGAACAACTGAAAGGTAAAAAATCCTAGGTTGGTAATGAAATATATCACAAGAATATCATGTGCCGAATTTGCACACTTATCATGATGCAGTGAAGTGGACATTATTCTTTTCAAGCAGAATGTGCTTACGAATTTGTTGTTTTGTGAAAACTGGATGAGATATGTCACTTTGGCTCAGATGTACGGTTAAGTGTTAACGGATTGCAAAAGGAGCCACGGGCTCGATTTGTTTATAACAAAACTTTGTAAATGTGTCGGCTTTTTTCCATCTGTTTAAACGTTTTTAGGAGGTTGATTATCACTATTTTCACATAGATTTATCTTTTGAGACCACTCGTTTGCCAGAAAGCAAGTATCCAAATTATGGCAGAAGAAACTTATGATAGGAAATAGTTCAAAAACTCTAACATGGTTTATAAGAATCGTTATCTTTCAGTATGTTGCTTGCATCAATTACGACCGTTTATAATTATCGAGTGCAAAATTATAGTCCTCAGAGGGCTACCATCGATTTCTATTTTTATGACTAAATTCAAATATACAAATATTCCCGAAAACATAAAAAAGGTTCCTTTTAACTTTGTCTTGTTGAGTCCTGAACTAAGCAAGACAAGGCAAGCCAAGCTGAAACTGATCTTGAAACAGAATTATGTAAAACGTCCCAGGCTGTTCAGTATAACTCTTTAAGCAGAGCTCATACGTAGTTGCTGTTGTTATCAGTAGCCTTTTCCAGGCGACCATTTAGTAAAATGGAGCGAAATGGTACACGGCACGATAGCAGCGGAGTGAATAAACGGGGGAGTTTTGGGTCAGGTAGGGTCGGGTCAGGTGAACGCCGTTCCCTACCTGACTCGACCCAAGCCTCACTATTTTTTTTAATCCGCCCTGAGTATCGCGCCGTTTACTGTGCACTTTGAAATAAAAGAAATAAAAAATTAATAAGACTTGTTGCAGAATACGAGCAACTACGACATATATTTTCTTCGAGTAACTACGGTAATGTTTTGCAATCAAATAATGACTCGACCCAAAAAATATTAATTTATCTTACTAAATGGTTCATTCAGTAAACAATGTAAAAAGCTTTCTGTAGCTTTATGCTTTGTGCCTATGAAATAATTGAATATTTTTATTTGGTAGCGAAACCGTATTGTTAAAAAAACAAACTAGTACATGTATAGTTTTTCAAAAAAACAAAAGCAAAACTTTGGCTAAAATAAGATGGTATTGGTGACCATAGATTCATCCAAAAGAAGTCTTCCAACTGCTTCCTGACCAAGTAACATCTGCGCTGCAATCTTTTTATTTTTTAGGTTGCGTACGTATGTGATCATAATTCCGACAAGTCCCGATATCACAGCATTTGCATAAGGTTTTCCTTACTCAAACACTGCTGTTTTCACTTTTTTTTTAAACAATGGTCACAAAGAGTATAAATTTGTCCTTGTTATACGATGCCATATCCAAAATGTCGTTAACCAATTACTAGTAACTCAGTTAAAAAATGTTCAGTACCAAACTTCTGCCTTAAAACCAGAGATATTTGCACACACAATGTTTCCCGTTTTAGGAGCATTCATATTATCTATGATTTTTTGACCAACTTTTCCACCCTTTAAAAGATGCGACACGTAGAGACAAAAGAATGAAATATTTTTGGAATAACTTTGCATCTCTAACCAAGCTGTTAACAATTCATCGCGTCTCAAGATCGCGTGTATTAATTATTAGTGTAAAGCAACGAGTCCGATGCAAACAACACGTCGGCCACTGAATTGATCAAGGCGTCGGCCGACGGCAATCAGTCGACTATCGACCAACTATCGGTACGATAGATACGCGCACGTATATCATTTTAGCTATCGTTTGGGTTGTATGTCTAGTCACTGGTTTATTCTTATCTCAATTACCATATAGGCCTTTGGTTCCTCATCATAACTATACCACTTGGCCTGGTAATCTCAGTCATCTCGTACACAGAGATTTTCCGCGCTCTCGTTCGTCATCAGGCTCAAATACAAGATCATGGCGCGATACAGAAAGGCGGTGTACAATGCACTGTAGGTGCAGTTAGCTTCAGTTGTCTGTTATGTTCCACAGATGACAGGGAGAATTGCGATCTATCTTAATGCAAAGAGATTTTCGAGTTTCTTCTCAATCTACGAAATGGCAACTGTCTTAGTTTTATTTAACTCTACTTTAAATCCGTTCCTTTTCTGCTGGAAGATAAGTGAAGTGAGACAAGCAGTAAAGCAGATAATCAGACGAGCAATCTCTTGCGCATAGGTAGACCTAATATCACGTTGGCTCTTCCTTCTAAAACTTATTTGAATAATTTTATTTGATAAAAGAGAGGGGAAGATTTGCTATTTTATGATAAAAAAGAGTAAGGAAAATTTGAAGAACTACTTCTAAATAGCATATTGTACTTAAATTATCTAACGAACAACTAACAGGCGTAAATTGTAGTTTAGTAGCCAATAACAAAACAATAATATGTCGCCAATCTGTGCATTTGTAATGAGGTAGTGAAGGCTATCAGTTATTTTGGAATCGGAATGCCCTCAAAGTTTTTCTTTGCGATCAAATCTTGATGAGATATATCACCTAAGATCAGAAATATGGTTTAGCGATAACGCGCTGTTAACGGAGCCAGCCGCTAGATTTTGTCATGATTGGGAATTAGCCAAAATGTTTATAACGAAACGTTGTAAATTAAAGATGCGGACTTTGTTAACAGCTGTTCAAAGATACAGAAGGAATGCTTAGAAATGAAGTTGATCATCTCTGTTTCACATGGAGTTATCGTTTGAGAACCCTAAGATTAAGCTCGCAAATAATGACAGAAGGAAACTATACGAAGGAATGATTTAAAAAAAACTCTGACATGGTTGATACGACTAGCCATTCTACAGTATGTTACCAACATCAATTAAGACTGTTCATCGAGTTGCCTCGTGAGTCTGCACTATTTTGACCACTCTGATGACGAATGTCGTTGTCGATAAGAGCACAGACCACAATAAACCATGGCCACGGTCGATCTGTTAAATGGAGAATTTTCGCCAACAGCAAGTTTCCTACTAGCACCTAACTATGTATAGTAAATACAAGATGATAAGCAGAAAAAAAAAACTGTCCGAAACGAAGGACAGTTTCTATTGTTAAAGGTGTTTTTCGTTAACTGTTCATCGCTACATCTATTTTCACACTTTTCAGGGCATAAAGGCAGAGATTAATGCAATTTTATCGGTAGAGACATTGTCATTACGTCAAAGATCCAGTCAAGTTCGACACATAGAGAACAAAGAACATTATTTATTTACTTTTTTTTTAGTGGTAAGTATGCATCTGTAACCATACATGAATTCTGAGTAGTTTTATGTAATACAGTTTTCAGTTTTCCCCAATACCGATTAACGTTCTTAAAACGGATTTTTACCTTCAACTAAGATAATTCATGCGTTCTAAGTTTACGTAAATTACAAATTAAAAGTCGCCAAACCACCTTATATCGATAAAAGTATTAGTATCTGGTTTATTCTTTCATCTCAATTACCGTGTAGCTTTGGAGGTATATCATCGTTCCTGGTAATCTCAGCCGCCTTGGATATAAATATTTTCAGATTTTGGTGCTCTCAGTCATCATCTGGCTCAAGTATAAGATCATGTTAAACATGAGAAAGAATAAACCAGAAGACTAGAGATACAATCCAAACGATACCTAACATGATATACGTGCGCCTCAAAGTTACAATCTCTTTGTATCTCAGTCTCAACAGCCGAACAAAACAAATGCACCGAACATGGTGCGATACAGAAAGACAGTGTTAAGTGCACTTTGGCGTGCCGCCAGTATTAGTTGTCTGTTATGTACCAAACTAGCAGTGGAAAGTGTGATATATACTAGTTTAAAACGATTATATAATTTTGTCATAATCATCATAATAATTTGCCATAATGGCGAATGTTTTATTTTTTTCAACTCCATTTTAAACCCGTTTCTTTACCGTTGGTAGATCAGATATAAGAGAAGTACGAAAGCAGACAATCCTACAAGCAATTTGCCATGAATAGGTTTCGATTTATTTCGACGTCTACATATCCTGTTTCTTCCAAAGCTATTTATCAATGATGTTCGCTAAGAATACCATTTAATAAAGAGTAAGGAAAACTATAAAGAGCTACTTCTAATTTTTATACTGTTTTCAAGTTATATCAAGAGCAACCGAAAGATAAAAAAAACTCAGTTCGTTAAGTGTATCACAAGAATATCATGTGCCGAATTTGCACACGTATAATGAAGCAATGGAGACTATTTCGGCTTTTCAAGCAGAATACACGATTTTGCTGTTTTTTCAAAACTTGGATGAAATATATCACTTTGGTTCTGATATACGGTCAAGTGTTCATGGAGTGTACCAGGAGCCTCGATTTGTTTATAACTTTGTAAATATGTAGACTTTGTTTTCATCTGTTTAAAAGTTTTGAAGTCAATTCTTAAGAAGTTGATTATCACTATTTTTACATAGATTTATCGTTTGAGACCGATCGTATGCCAGGGAGCAAATTGGAAAATTATGAGGGAAGAAACTTATGATAAGAAATAGTTAAAAAAACTCTAACATGGTTAATAAGACTTGATTCAGGACCGTTACGAATATCGCAAAATGAAAAACGCTTTGAACGCAAATTTCTGATTAGTAAATAAGATGAAAAAGTTAAAGTTGCCATAAATGTCATAAATGTCATAAATGTCATAAATGAAGATAAATCTCATGGATAAAATAAGAGTCAATTAAATTTGGTCGGTAATGTTTAAATGTTCAAAATTATTTATCGATCGACTGATTTCCGACTGCGGTATTTAGACATCGTAGACTTATGTTCTAAAATACTCCACAAAATTTTAAAAAAATGCTCCTTTATTTACTTTGTCTTGCTGAGTCATGAGCTAAGAAGGGCAAGCCAAGCTGAAACTGATCTTTTAATAAAATATAATGAAATGATGTAGAATGTCCCAGGCTGTTAAGCATATCTCTATAAGCAGAGCTCATATTTAGTTGCAGTTGTTCTCAACAGCCTTTTCCAGGCGTTCATTTAGTAAAACGGAGCGACACGGTAGTAGCGGTGGAACGATGAAACGGGGGAGTTTTGGGTCGGGTCGGGTCGGGTCGGGTCGGGTCGGGTGAACGCCGTTCTTTACCCGTCTGGACCCAAGCCTCACTCTTTTTCGGTGCGCCCTGATTATCGCGCCGTTTACTGTGCACTTCGCTTTACTAGCTGAACGCCTCAAAAAGGCTGTGTTATCACTCGATGAGCTGTCAAAGAAAAAAGCGTAATGCAGAACACAAGAGACAACATCATATATTTTCTTCGAGTCAGAAGTGGAGCCACTTATTACGAATGAGGAATCGAGAGACAAAATAAATGCAATCACCTGTCGTATACATAACAACTTTAATTTTTACTACGGTAATGTTTTGCAATCAAATAATTAATAACACAAAAAATTTAATTCATCTTACTGAATTGTTCATTGAGCAAACAATTTAAAGAGACTTCTGTAGCATTAAAGTCCACACGGCAACCGGGTGGACAATCTGACATGGTTTGATGCTACTCTGGTTTACAGATTTAATGAGTGTAACCGAAGAAGTTACAATTCTTCGGTTACATTCATTAAATCTGTAAACCAGAGTAGCATCAAACCATGTCAGACCTCTGTAGCTTTATGCTTTGCGCCTATCAAATGATTGGATATTTTTATTCGGTAGCAAAACCGTATAGTAAAAAAAAAAGCTAATGCATGTATAGTTTTACAAAAAAAACTGAAACAAAACTTCGGCTAAAATAACATGGCATTGGGGCATTGGTGACCATAGATTCATACAGAGGAAGTCTTCAAACTACTTCCTGACCAAGTAACATCTACCTTGCAATCTTTTTGTTTTTCAGTTTGCCGTAAGTATGTATCATAATTCCGGCTGACAAGACCCGGTATCACAGCACTGGCATAAGCGCTTCATCATCTGTCAGTAGCTTTTGGTGAAGGTTTTTTCTTAGTCAAACTGATATTTTCATTTTTTAAATTTTTGAAAAAATTTTTTTTAAACAATGGTCACAGATCAAATAAATTTGTCCCTGTTATACGAAACCACATCCAAAATGTCGTTTACCAATTACAGGTAACTAAGACAAACAGAAATCTTCAGTGGCAAACTTCCGCCGTAAAAAACCAGTGATAATTTGCACACACATCGTCTCCAGTGGGGGGAGCATTTGAATTATTTATAATCTTTTTACCAACATTTCCACCATTTAAAAGTGTGACATTTAGATACAAAAAAATATAAATATTTTTAGAATAACTTTGCATCTCTAACCAACATAAATTTCGAAATTGGACTTTTTCTCTAAGTTTTCCTAAACTGTTAACAATTCATGTCATCCCGAGATCACGTGAATTAATAATTCACGCTATCAGCCGGGTAAGGCAACGAGTCCGATCCAAACAACACGTCGGCCTATGCGTTAATCAAGGTGTCGGCTAACGGCAATTGGTCGACTATCGACGAACTGTCGGTCGACTTTCGATATCCTATCACTGAAGGTTTATTTGAGTAAATAAATTTTTTTAAATGTTTTTTTGGGAAATTAACCTATCACAAATGCAGTTTTACCTTCCTCCTATTACTAATTCAAATTCGCGCAGAAAGACTGACGTTTTTTGCTCTTTCGTGCCACAAACCTCACAGCGTTCCGGCATTATAAATAGTCAGACGCTAGTGATAAACATTTACTCTCTGCAATTGTTATCCAAAAGTTAAGGTTTAACCGACCTTGACTTAAAGGGCGCTGTTAAGACGAAACATTCCTCGTTGTATCTAAGGTTAACCTCCAAAAGAGTGGAAACGGCAGCAAGATGATGGCGACAACAAATCTAACGGAAAGTGGAACACATACGCAAACATTTCACGAATCGCTCCGTTCCCCAATTTGGTTAGGTGATTTTAAACAACAGTCCATTTCATTCTCAGCAGTCAACATTTTCTTCTCCATCACAGCAATTCTTGGGAATTCCCTTATCCTTGTTGCCCTTCACAAAGAATCTTCCCTCCATCCGCCATCCAAACTCTTGTATCGTTGTCTGGCAACAACTGATCTGTTGGTTGGTCTTGTTAACCAGCCTCTCTACGCTGCCTTCTGGATGTCCGTGGTTTACGAACACTGGAGTTTTTGTAGATACACAAGGGATGCAACCGTCATATCAAGCTATGTATTATGCGGAGTGTCTTTGATGACGATGACGGTCATAACCGTGGACCGACTTCTCGCCATGTTGTTGGGACTGAGATATAAAGAGATTGTAACTTTGAGGCGCACCTATATCATTTTAGCTATCGTTTGGGTTGGATGTCTAGTCGCTGGTTTATTCTCTCATATCAATTACCGTATAGCTCTTTGGTACCGCATCATAACCATACCATCATGTCTGGTAATCTCAGTCGCCTCGTACACAAAGATTTTTCGCGCTCTCAGTCGTCATCAGGCTCAAATACAAGATCATGTTCAATGACAGCCGAGCCAACCAAATGCACTGAACATGGCGCGATACAGAAAGGCAGTGTACAATGCGATTTGGGTGCAGTTAGCTTTAGTTGCCTGTTATGTTCCACAGTTTATAGTGAGAATTGTGATCTTTGTTAGTGCAAAGAGATTTTCAAATTTATTCTTAATTTACGGAATGGGAGTTTCCATACTTTTCTTTAACTCAACTTTAAACCCGTTCCTTTACTGCTGGAAGATAAGTGAAGTGAGACGAGCAGTGAAGCAGACAATCAGACAAGCAATCTGCTTTGCAGAGGGGTAGACCTATTTTAACGTTGGCATGTACTGCTTCTTCTATAACTTATATATAGATTCTGCTTAGAGTTTAACCCGATTATCGGATTTCATCGTAATCAAGGGTATGGCAGATGTTTTAGTAGTTTTCTTTAACTCGACTTTAAACCCGTTTCTTTGCTGTTAATTTAAAAGCATTGTTATTACCAATTTCGAATATTCAAGGGAAATACGTGACTCTATCACAGGCCGTGTACACAAAGCTGGTCTTATGAGAAAACATTCTATCATTTCATGACAATCGAGTACGAAGCGCGCTCTTGAGTACCTATCACTACTCCTAATTAAAAGGGTTTGTATGACAGCTCACCACTTCAGGTATTATTTCCGCGCTTAAATTTCATCTGATGGTCAAAAAAATTCATTAAAATTCTGAAAAATGAGAATAAGTATAATGAAAGGATTAACACTTTGGTTTAAGAACTACTATGCTCTAACCCCTTTTATGTGGTTTTCCTTGACATCTCTCTTTCATTCTCGGAACTGTTACGAATATCACGGAATGAATTTAAGGTTGTATGAATTTTTGATGAGTAAATAATGTGAAAAAGCTGACGTTGCCATAAATGTCACAAATGAAGGTATATTTCATAGATGAAACGAGAATCATAAAAATTTGGTCAGTCATGTTTAAAAGTTCAAAATTATTTACCAGGATCGACTGATTTCCAACCGCGATTTCTAGATATCGTAGAATCTTGTTCTAAAATACTCCAGAAAATTTGGAAATACTCCTTTATTTACTTTGTCTTGCTGAGTTATGAGCTAAGCCAGGCAAGCTAAGCTGAAACTCATCTTTAAACAGAATATGATGAAATGATGTAGAATGTCACATACTGTTAAGCATATCTTTATAAGCAGAGCTCAGGGTTAGCTGCCATTGTTGTAACTAGCCTTTTAAATGCTTTAATTTTGTAAAACGGAGCGAAATGGTGCATGGCACGATAGTAGCGGTGGAGAGAAAAAAAGAGAGAGGCTTGGGTCGTGTCCGATCGGGTCGGGTCGGGTCGGGTGAACGTTGTTCTTTACCCGACTGGACCCTAGCCTCACTTTTTTTCACACCGCCGTGACTATCGCGCCGTTTATTGGGCACTTCGTTTTGCCAGCTTCGAACAGGCTATGTTGTCACTCGATAAGCTATCAAAAAATGCTTTGATGCAGAATACAACTGACTTCTACAGATATTTTCTTCGAGTCAGTAATGGAAACTCTTATTAGAAAAGAGCAATCGAGACAAAATCAATGCAATCACCTGTTGTATACATGACAACTTTAAACATTATTATGGTAGTTTTTCAAAAAACTCATACAAAACCCGGGCTAAATAACATGGTCTTGGTGGCAATAGACTCATTCAAAGGAAGTCTTCAAACTGCTTCCCGACCGAGTAGAATCTGCACTGCAACCTTTTTGTTTTTCAATTTGCCGTACGTATGTAATCATAATTCTGACAAGTCCTGATATAACAGCAGTGCCTAAGCACTTCTTCATCTGTCAATAGCTATCAATAAAGGTTTTTCTTGGTCAAACACGGATTTTTTTCACTATTTCTATTGAAACAATGGTCACAGAGAGTATAACTTTGTCCCTGTTATACGATGCCATATCCAAAATATCGCTTATCAATTCGATTAACAGGTAACAAGACAAACAGCATTGTTCAAAATCAAACTTCCGCCTTAGAACCAGAGATAATTGGCACACCAAATGTCTCCGGTGATAAGAGTGTTTGAATTCCTTGTTTGTACAGGTGTGCATTGTTAGTGGTGTTTAAAAAAAATGTTCACCGCTGCATATATTTTCAAACATTTTAGGACAAAAAGGCAGAGTTCAAGGCAGTTTGATCGTGAGAGAGGTTTTCATGATCTCAAAGTTCCAGTCAGGTGCGACACGTATAGAACAAAGAACAAAAATACAAATATTTTTAGGAGTAACTATGCATCTGTAATAATACATTAATTTTGAATAGTTTTATGCAGTCTATATTTCTATTTTTGCCATACCAATTATCCTTTTAAAAAATTGGCATTATAGATGTAGAAAATAGAATAATTGAGATAGTAAATTTTGGGCACGTTACTGAACTAGGGAAAAAATGTTTTTTAATTTTGTCACGTGCGTAGGACAAAGGAGAAACCTTGAATTTCCCAACCGGAAAGTATTAGGAAAACTTATTACCATAACAATCACGATTGGACGCAAAAGCGGGTCAATAAAACCAACGAAGCTTCGATTTTGTTGTGTTGAAAACTTATTGGGGACAAGCAATTACAAGTAAAAACTTATGGAAAAGGTTCAAACTGTTTCGTATACTTAACTCAACACTTTAAATAAATTAAATTGATCATGCATTTTTCTTGGCAAATGAATTGTTTGCCCATGGATATTTGAATCCCGGAGACAAAAATGAAATTCAACATAGGAATGCTCGATTTACTTCATGTTACTAGAAGAAAAGGAGACAAAATTATGGAAATGTTTTCTAAATAGTATATCACCTGTGGATCTGATGTGATGATATGAAGGTTCCTGGTTTCAATAGCACGGCCATCAGTGTTTGTCTCTTGAAAATCGTTTTCCCCTCTTACCTTGATATGAAATTTGCGTAATTTAAATAAAAATATACATTACCGTGACAACTTGAAACACATCTTTACAAACTTAAAATATTCGATATGCCATGACCACTATCCATTATGAACCAGCACGTTACAAGTTTTTATCAGAATTTTACGCGATCAGAGTCAGAATATTCTAAATTATCCGTCAGGAACGAATTCAGACTAGGGTCATTGTGTTTAACACAGTCTTTAAGTTAATTTGATATGAATTATGATAGCTGAAGGTGAATATTCTCGAATTATCTGATGAGTAGGAAAAATATTAGCCCCGATCACTTGTCATGTGATTTAGAAAACAGTTCCTCGTCAAGCAACAAAAAATTTAGGGTAATTTGATATTATAAACTGAGTTGATAACGTATATTAGCCACCGTAAAGAGTTTAGCAACTGACGTTTCGATCGTTAGCCCTTCGCCAGAGCGATTGGAGGAACTGTGGGTTGTGTGTGGGTTTATATACAAAAAAAAGAGCTACGCTATCGGTGGGAATATGGTGACGCGAAATCAATAGTAAATTAGTTAAGTGAAAAGCGCTCGTTGATACCGTGGGATCAAGAGTGCGGATTTAAGAGGTAGATTTTTGTTCTACAGTTTTGCTTCTTCCCGAACTGCTTATGTGCGGAGGCGAGAAAGAAAATCTCCTTTAAAATCAGGCACGTTTAATCGTTAAAAGACGGTAAAACGAAAATGGCTTAAAATACAAACCCAATAACAAAAAACCTCCAGAATGCGACTAAAAACTGAAAAACACACACACGAGAAATCGTACGCGTAACTTGCTTACCAACTGATCAAATTTAAATGTCTCAGCGCGCGCGCGCGCTAATCACACGACACGCCAGTTCGGTACTTTCTTCTTAACAGCCTAGGTGTAGGGAAAGGTCGCAAACTGCCATATACTGCTCGTCATTTCTTTCTACGACGCAAAGGTGTTCTCGGAATCGGTCCACTTAGTCGTCTCCCTTCCAAGAAACAAGACGCTTATCCCGCTATTAATAAGATATTTGAAAAATGGTACCTCAACATTCTTGACCTTTAATTTTCTCGTGACCATAAAAAATAATCCGGCTAAATTTGCGGCCATAAAAGAAGTGGGCAAATAATGAATGAGACGGTTAAGATAGAGATAGGCTAACGACATAATATCTTACACCTGTCGCTGTTTCGTTTCTAAGTCCACACTATCGCGACACGAAGAGAACAAATATTTACATATTAAGAACAACTTTGGAATTTTTCTCTCAATTTCTCTAAGCTGATACAATTCATGGCGTCTCAAGATCACGGGAATTAATGATTTACGCCATTATCCGGATTAAGCAATGAGTCCGATCCAAACAACATGTCGACAGACGTGTCGGTCAAAGCATAGGCAGACAATCGGTTGATTGTCGACCAACTGTCGTTCGACTTTCGATAATCTATCACTGAAGGTTTATTTGAGCAAAGTTTTTTTTCCTTTTGTTGGGAAATTAACTTATCACAAATGTAGTTTTACTTTGCCCTTATTACAAATTCAAATTTTTTCTCTTTCGTGTGACACACCTCACTGCTTTCGGGTATTTTACATTATCAGACGCTAGTGATGAATTTTTACATCCGTAATTGCAATCCAAAACCTAATATTTAACCGATGTTGACTTAGAGGTATTCCTCGTTGTAACTAAGAATAACCTGCAAAAGGGTGGAAACGACAGCAGGATGATGGCAACAACAAATATAACGGGAAATGGAACAAACACAAAAACATTTGAAGGATTGGTTTCGGTAGATAAGTTTAAAGAACAGTTCATTTCATTCTCAGCAGTCAACATTCTCCTCTCCATCACAGCAACTCTTGGGAATTCTCTTATCCTTGTTGCCCTTCACAAGGAATCTCGCCTCCATCCGCCATCCAAACTCTTGTATCGTTGTTTGGCAACAACTGATCTTTTGGTTGGTCTTGTCGGCCAGCCTCTTTATGCTACTTATTGGATGTCCGTGGTTCACGAACACTGGAGTCTTTTTCGGTACGTAAGGGAAGCAGTTTTCACAATAAGCTATGCGTTATGTGGAGTGTCTTTGTCGACGTTGACAGCAATAAGCGTGGACCGACTTCTCGCCCTATTATTGGGATTGTGCTACAAAGAGATTGTAACTTTAAGGCGTGCGTATATCATTTTGGCTATCGTTTGGGTTGTATCTCTAGTCGCTGGTATATGCTTTCATCTCAACAACCGTATAGCCATTCGGTGCAGCCTTATGGGTATATCTTCTTGCATAGTTATATCAGTCGCCTCGTACACAAAGATTTTTCGCGCTGTCGGTCATCATCAAGCTCAAATGCAGAATCACGCTCAACAACAGCCGAACCAACCGAATGTACTGAACATGGCGCGATACAGAAAGGCACTACACAGTGCAGTGTGGGTGCAGTTAGCTTTAATTGTTTGTTATGTACCATGTTTTACATTGATCATTCTTTGTGAAGTGCGATGTCCGTATGACATCAGAATTGAGGGAATGGCAGTTGTCTTTGTGTTCTTTAATTCTACTTTAAACCCGTTCCTTTACTGCTGGAAGATAATTGAAGTGAGACAAGCAGTAAAGCAGACAATCAGACAAGCAATCTCTTGCGCATAGGTAGATTTTAACGCTGGCATATACTGCTTCTTTTAGAACTTATTTGAAAATTATATTTGTTAGAAGAGAGGAGAAGATTTGCCATTCTATGATAAAAAAGGGTGAGGGAAAATATGAAGAGCTTTTTATAAATAGTATATTGTACTCAAATTATCTAACGAACAACTAAGAGGCGAAAAATTGTGGTTTAGTAGCCATAACAAAACAAAAACATGTCGCTAATTTGCGCATTTTGGAATCAAAATGCGCTCAGAATTTTTCTTTGCGATCAAATCTTGATGCGATATATCACCTTAGATCAAAAATATGGTTTAGTGATAACGCGCTGTTAACGGAGCCAGCCGCTCGATTTTGTCACGATTGGGAATGAGCCGTGGTGTTTACAACGAAACTTTGCAAATAAAAGATGAGGACTTTGTTAACATCTGTTAAAATATACAGAAGGAACGGCTTAGAAGAGAAGTTGATCATCTCTGTTTCACATAGAGTTATCGTTTGAGACCAGTCGTTTGCCTAGGATTAAGCTCGCAAATAGTAACAGAAGAAAATTATAATAGGGAATGATTTTAAAAAACTTTAACATGGTTGATAAGACCAGCTATTTTTCAGTATGTTACCAACATCAATCAATTTTCAGGGCATAAAGGCAGAGATCAATGCAATTTGATCGGTGGAGACGTTGTCATTATGTCAAAGATCCAGTCACGTTTGACACGTAGAGAACAAAGAACAAAAATTTTATTTTTTTTAGTGGTAACTATGCATCTGTAACCATATATGAATTCTTAGTAATTTTAAATAATCTAGTTTTCTATTTTCACCAATACCGATTAATGTTTTTAAAAGAGGATTTTTACCTTTACTAAGATAATTCATGCGTTCTAAGTTAATGTAAATTATAAATTAAAAGTCGACAAACCACCTTATCGATAAAAGTTTACTTGAATAAACATAATTTTTTTTGTTGTCAAATTGTGAGTAATTCTATCACAAATGCAAATTTCCGTGCCGCTTATTGCTGATTCAAATTCGATGAGAAACCCGGCCTCATTTTTGCTTTTTCGTATGACACATCAGACAGATCGTTTGGGCATTTTGCGTAGTCAAACGCTGCTGACGAAATTTTAATGTAATTGTTATTCAAAATGTGAGGTTTAACTGATCTTGACTTAGAAATTGCTGTTAAGACCTAATATTCCTCGTTACTATCGATGATCTGCAAAAGAGTGGAAACAACTAAAGGATGTCTCTCTATGCTACCTATTTGATGTCCGTAATTCACTGGAGTCTTTTCCGAGACTCGTTTTACGCAACCGGCGTAACAGGCTGTGTGATATGTTAAGTGTCTCTCAACGATGACCGCCGTCAGCGTGGGCCAACTTCTCGCCATGCTGTTGGGACTGAGATACAAAGAGATTGTAACTTTGAGACGCACGTACATCATATCTATCCTCGTATATAAATATTTTCGGTGCTCTCAGTCTTCATCTGGCTGAAGTATAAGATCATGTTAAACATGATAAAGAATACACGAGAAGGCTAGAGATACAATCTAAACGATACCTAACATGATATACGTGCGCCTCAAAGTTACAACCTCTTTGTTTCTCAGTCCCAACAGCCGAACAAAACAAACGCACCGAACATGGCGCGATACAGAAAGGCATTGTTCAGTGCACTGTGGGTGCCGTCAGCATTAGTTTTCTGCTATGTACAAAACTTAACAGTGGAAATTGTGATATGTACGAGTATAAACCGATTAGATAATTTCATCATAATCATCATTATCATTTGCTATGAAGGCGAATGTTTTATTTTTTTCAACTCCATTTTAAACCCATTTCTTTACCGTTGATAGATCAGATATAAGAGAAGTACGAAAGCAGACAGTCCTACAAGCAATTTGCCATGCATAGGTTTCGATTTATTTCGACGTTTGCATATTCTGTTTCTTCCAAAGCTATTTATCAATGATGTTTGCCAGGAATACCACTTAATAAAGAGTAAGGAAAACTATAAAGAGCTACTTCTAATTTTTATACTGTATTCAAGTTATATCAAGAGCAACCGAAAGGTAAAAAATCTAATTTCGCTAACTATATCACAAGAATATCACGTGCCGAATTTGCACGAGTATAATGAAGCAGTGGAGACTATTCTTTTCAAGCAGAATATATGATTTTGCTTTTTTTTCAAAACTTGGATGAAACATATCACTTTGGCTCTGATATACGGTCAAGTATATATAGAGTGTACCAGGAGCCTCGATTTGTTTATAAATTTATAAATATGTAGACTTTGTTTTCATCTGTTTAAATATTTTAAAGTCAATTCTTAAGTTGATTATCACTATTTTACGTAGATTTGCCGTTTGAGGCAATCGTTTGCCAGAGAGCAAGTTCGCAAATTATGACAGAAGAAACTTACGATAAGAAATAGTTCAAAAACTCTAACATGGTTAATAAGACTTAATTCGGGACTGTTAAGAATATCACAAAATGAAATACGGGTCGTATGCAAATTTTTGAGTAGTATATAATATGAAACAGTTAAAATTGCCATAAATGTCATAATGAAGGTAAATCTCATAGATAAAATGAGAATCAAATAAATTTGGTCGATGATGTTCGAAAGTTCAAAATTATTTATCGATCGACTGATTTCCGACTGCGATATTTAGATATCGTAGACTTATGTTCTAAAATACTCCGTAAAATTTCAAAAATACTCATTTATTTACTTTGTCTCGCTGAGTCATGAGTTAAGCCAGGCAAGCCAAGCTGAAACTGATCTTTCAATAGAATATGATGAAATGATGTAAAATGTCCAAGGTCGTTAAGGATATCTCTATTAGCAGAGCTCATATTTAGTTGCTGTTGTTCTCACCAGCCTTTTCCAGCGTATATTTAGTAAAACGGAGCGAAATGGTGTACAGCACGATAGCAGCGGTAGAGTGATGAGACGGGGGAGTGTTGGGTCGGATCGGGTCGGTTGAACGCCGTTCTTTACCCGACTCGACCCAAGCCCCTTTCTTTTTTCGGTCCGCCCTGAGTTTCGCGCCGTTTACTGTGCACTTCGTTTTGCTAACCGAACGCCTCAGACAGGCTGTTTTATCTGTCAATAAGCTATCAAAAAAGCTGTGATGCAGAATACAAAAGACTACAACATATATTTCCTTCGAGTTAGTTGTGGAGCCACTTATTACGAAAGAGGAATCGAGAGACAAAATGAATGCAATCACCTGTCGTATACATAACGACTTTAATTAATACTACGGTAATGTTTTCCAATCAAATAATGACTCTACACAAAAAATATAACTGGTTTATTGAGCAAACAATGTAAAAAGGTTTATGTAGCTTTATACTTTGCGCCCAGAAAATGATTGAATATTTCTATTAAGTAGCAAAACCGTATTGTAGAATGAAAAGCTATAACATGTATAGTTAAAAAAACAAAAAACCAAACCAAAACAAAACCTCGGCTCAAATAACATGGTCTTAGTGACCATAGATTCATCCAAAGGAAGTCTTCCAACTGCTTCCTGACCAAGTAATATCAACGTTGCAATCTTTTTGTTTTTCAGTTTACCGTACGTATGTGATTATGATTTTGACAAGTCCCGATATCACAGCATTGGCATAAGCACTTCATCATCTGTCAATAGCTTTCAGTGAAGGTTTTCCTTAGTCAAACTCTAATGTTTTCACTTTTTTTTTCTTTTGAAACAATAGTCACAGAGAGTATGAATGTGTCCTTGTTATACGATACCATATCCAAAATGTCGTTTACCAATTTGATAAACAGCTAACTAAAACAAACATTACTTTTCGGTACCAAACTTCCGCCTTGAAACCAGATATCATTTGCATACAAAATTTTTCCCGTGGGAGGAATATTTGAATTGTTTATGATCTTTTGAGTAACATTTCTACCCTTTTATCTATCATGAGACCTTTCAGGGTAAAAAGGCAGGATGAATTGTCGTCGGTAGAATTTCTTGTCGCTGGACAATTGATTCCCTTTTAGGATGGTTATTTAATGCAAGCTACACATGCCAACCTCTGGAGGAAATGTTGATATGTTTTCAAGCACGAGAGACACTTGAGATCGTTCGCGCTTTCCAAATAAGGTAAATATACCGTTAAAACGCTTGATTATCTATGTATTACTAAAACTTGAAAAATCCCTCAAGGTTTGATGATGATGACGAAATTCACGTATTTTTGAATATAACATCAATTTTGACATTTTCCTCTGGTCCGGCGATTGAATCTTCAACAAGTAACTGTAAAGTGCAGGATCCGGCCAGCCTAGAGAAAATGAATACAGAAAGCGGTCACGATCACAATTAAACAAACTGGTTCTCGATCGACAAGAACTTTGGAAAAAGATAGTTGCAGAAGGAACGAGTTAAGAATTTCAAACTCGAAGGACTGGCAAGCGACACAGAACTTTCATTCTGGCCACGAAGCTCTCCCACAAGCGGACGAGGTCATAAAATTTTTCTAAGAAGCTTATCTCAAAGTTTGGCCACATTAAACAGCCTGTTTAAAGGCACCGAGTCAAGCTTTTTATTTAGTTTTCGAGTGGGTTGCACAGTCCCACTTGATCACAGAAACACCTGTCTGTTTGTTTGTTTTTTTTTCTTTCTTTTTCGGCTGTTGTCGTTGAAAACTCAAAATCCCCCAGTGGCTTTCATTCGTTGTTTTTCTGATCCGGAAGCCACACAGAACTCGTAAGTACTTACATAAACTCTGAACTTGAAAATATTGCGTAGATCTGGCAGCCTACACTTGAAATACTCTGAGAGCCTAAAAAAGGTTTGCAATAAACGTATTTGAACTGATTCGTGGGATTGTCTGCACAGTTCCCACATGACTGAGTTCGCCATCTCTCGCCGATCTGGAATGAAAGCGAACTTCGCAATGATGAACACTACATGAGCAGTAGTGAAAATAAGACCTGAAAAAAAAAAAGAATTCAGGCCTTAACGGGATTTGAACCCATGACCTCTGCGATACCTGCGCAGTGCTCCGCCAACCGTGCTGACATGTCAATTAGAGCTGGTCACTATTTTGGTTCCAAAAAACGCTTGAATTGGTGAAAAAATGACTGTGAATATACGAAAACAAAATATGTGAATTGCGAATGAAGTCGGGAATGAAAGCGATCTTCGCAATGATGCACCGCCGATCACAAATCTGTAGAAAACAATTTGCCCAATTAATATGCTCAGCACATCAAAAGGGGAAACGAGAAACATTAGTAAAAAGATCTGAGCCTCACAAGACGGAAATATTAAAAAGGCCCTAAAAAACCAAAAAGAAAAACGATCGGTGAAAAGCAAATAAAAATCCATTATAAAAAAAAACCCTTAGAAGTGAAGAGAAGAAACGAAAACAACAGGGAAAAAATCACGGGGAAAAATGAAATAAGAAGCACCAAATATGATCTAAGCACCCAATGTCAGGATTTGCGTGATGTGTATGGGCCGCAATATATTTTTTCCTGTCTGTTTTGATTTCCATGCTTGAAGAAAACAAAATACTTCAGAATCCATATTGTTCATTCTAATCTTTAGCCTATTCAGGACGGCTACGCAGACCATTGAAGCGAACTTTTCACAATTGACCAGTACCTCCCATCGTAACGAAATGGAAATGAAATTTCGGAGTTCGAGGCGCAATTCTTCTCCAATATGTCTATGAACTTGACAAAAAGAAACGTTTCAAAAACAGTGCTCCTCATGAATCTCCATGATGACGAATATCGTTGTAGACAAGAATACATTGCACGCTTAACCACTGTCGATTTGATGATTATTTAGTCTTGATTATATTATGGTGGAGATCTCAAATGTTTGGTTTTCTAAGGGTTATTCCAAATTAGATGAAACTATGGCAGTAAGAATAAAAATTATTATTTGTTAATTTGTTTCGACCATTTCTTTATTGACAGCCTTGATCCCCGTTACCACAGTGAATCTGAATTTTCATCACAAGGAATTAAAATTTTACTGATATCCCTCCGCTCGAGAAAACTACGTAAGTAATGTTATCTTAACGTCTAACTATGGATAATCTTCCAGGAAAATAGGCAATTGGAGTTCTCAAGAGAAAATCGAATTTTAACAAATTATTTCTCAACTAAATTTGAATTTCGGCATTATAATCCTCAATTGTAGCTGCAGACTGTCTTTCTGATGTCACCGGCCAAATTATGAATTTGACGCTTGTGTAGTTAATTGCTAATTTAAAAGGAATTTAATGGGTGTGCAATGCTTTTGTTTAAATAACCAGCTGCCAATAGAGTTTTTCACTATTCAACAGAAATTCCTGTCACGTCCAAAAATTTTCTCTGAATCTGAGTGATTCCACTTTACAACGAAGAAGTTCAAAAGAGAAAAAAAGGACTGAGAAAATTTCACGCTGGATGATGCTTAGCAAACAGATCCAAGCCTTTTTCTTTTAAATTCATCGATTCAGGAATAGATGGAGAGATTATAGTAACATCAAATTTCGGTAAGAAAAAAGGAAGCGGCTTCCTATTCAAAGGCTACCGCGAGACTGATATTCGTATTGTGCTTCACAGTAATTCTCTGTTCAGTTTCGGACTGTTCACCACCTAAACTTGAATGCAACAAAAGTATTAATAATTTAAAAGAAAGCTCTAAATTGTGCGCAATTTCGGCAAATTATTGGTAAGGAAAATGGTTTTAACCGACGCACTTTTGTTCTGACGAATCATATGCCATGACCAATCACGGGACGCACAGCGTTTAGTCCGTTTTGTGATGAACATGGGTTTCTTTTGTGGATTATAAACTTCCTTCTAAACAAAGCACAAAAGATAACCTTTGTAACTGAAGAGGTAACAGCAGTTATTTCTCATAGCAGGCCTTCCATTTTCTACGCGATAGATTATTTTCACGGAAATCAGTCCACAAGCCTGAACATAAAACACACGGTGATAAAACTGAGTTTAACAAAATGAATGTAAGTAACTTTGAGGATGCATTTAACAATTCCTCCAAATCAGGGTTTTTTGGTCCAAGCATGACGAAATTCCAATGGGACTCAAAGCAAACACTTTCGCTTCAGCTCACCATTGGCGCAACAGCCGTTGCTTGTCCATGGATCATATTTCTAAACATGTTAGTGATCTTAGCAATCAAGAAAGTAAGAGAGCTACAGAAAAACTCAAATATTCTGATTGCTAATTTGGCCGTGACTGATCTTTTAGTTGGCACAGTTTCTATGCCACTTTCAATCGCTATGGATGCACTGATTCTTCGGGGAACTGTACCACGCAGCACAATCTATCTGATGGGTGAAATCGGTCTCTCTGTAATGATCACCTTATATATTACCTCCTATCACCATTTATTACTGATAGCTTGGGAGAGGTATGTGGCGATAGTTAAATGGACAGAGTACAAAGTGTTAGTCACAGAAGGACGCATAAAGAAGTACACTTTAATCGCTTGGATGGACAGCGTCACAAAAGTGGCTCTATATCGAGCATTAGTTTTCGCTAAAGTTCCCCAAGAGGTTCTACTTGTGATGAATCTTGCGATCAACTTCAGCTGGCTCACTGAAACGTTAACGGTGGTATATTTTTATCGCATGATTTATATCGAGGTACGGAGGCAAAACAGATGTCAAATCAGCACATTGAGTGCTCTAATTAAAGCAAAAATGGAAAGGAAACTTGCCTACACTGCGTTTCTGCTGTTAATAGCCGCTTTAATCTGTTGTTTTCCGATACTAGTAGTCATGACCTCCGTATCATACTCACCAGTTTTTCGCACGTATTTAGCTTTGCGATGGGCATATATCGGGATTCAATTAAACTCTCTAGCGAATCCCGTCCTATATTTCTATAGAAACAAACGTTACAGAAAAGCTCTGCTACAAATGATAGGATTGGAGAAGACACAGGAAATCGAGCGAGTAGATCCCAAAGGGCGTTGTGCAAGACAGAACCGTTGCACCGTGGAGCTTGTGGACCCCGAAGGAGCTCTAAGCCTCAAACGATCATACTCATTTCCGAAGCAGACTCTTGGACCGAGGAGCACGAGAGTGTCAAAAACCACAACGACGGAAAGAAAAATATCTGCTCCATGTTTGACGATAATAGAAAGCTTGCAAAGCGGGACATGGTATGGAGATGGAGATGGTATGACGCAGATAGAAAATATTCCATTTAAGACAACATCAGAATTTGTCCATCCTGATAACCAAACTATGGGCTCACATCACCACGAAACGATGAGGTCAAAGTTTTTAGATGGCGCGAACGAGTGAGACATCGAGTTGAACACGAGAAGAGAAATTTCATACCCACAAGCAACCATGTATTATTTTGTTCATCATATAAACACAATAGCCCTTTATTGACAACAAAAGTCGACTCTAATAATGAATGAGAATTAAAGGATTGACAAACCCCGAGAGTGTTCGTTGGTGCACTCAAGATGAAAACATTCGTTGAATCACTACAAAAACAAACAATGGGCCTAATTTTCAATATAAAAAATTATCAGTTTTTGAATTGGTCCTTACCGACTGAAGAAATCTTTCAGACACACGGTAAAAATCGGCCTGTAGCAAATCTTCCAGTGGCCGATTTTTTTATCTCAGCCATTAGAAATGCTATTACCAAAGCCACTGAATACGTAACTTTCGGTTTTTATTTTCGTATTTTGGTTTTCTTCCCTTTCTAGGAAAGTTTGAACGTCACTGTCTATAAGCGATACGGATTTTTCAATGTTTTAGCAGCCATGATCCAAAAAACTTTCCGACGAACGATCTTGGATGGAGGATGGTGAAGGCTTTGCCCTTCATTCATCAACCTAACCAAGTGGCGCAAAAAGCGAGTGACGTGTCAGTAGGTTATGGACAATATCAAACACGCGTGAAAAAATAACATATTTTTTCACGTGTGTTGTTACGGCTTTCCTCAGGGCTGGAACTCCTCGTAGAACACGGGAGTTTATATGGTAATCGTTTATTGTCATGGACCTCTATTTGTTGACCTAAGATTTTATTCAAGTTGCAACCAAAATCACCTGATCCATAAGTAACGCAATACTCATTTAAATTGTACGCGTTCATAAACTTCTGCTCAGGAAACTGAACTAAAAATGAGGCGATTTGATACAGAAATCTCCAACACAACCTTGAGAAAGCCTTGAAAGAAAGGGTGTTCAATTCGTATTGCAAAATCGGGAAACAAGGCAATATGTCATTCATGACTAGCTGGAAAAATTTTTATTTAGTTTAAAAAAATCGATACCCGATTATTAACAGCAAATTTAAACTAGCACCCAATAGAAATATATATTTTTTTTTTCACACAGACCGACAAGCACAAGGCAAATAATTTCGTAGCCAGTAGTCTCCTCTTTGAGACAGCCGAGGAAATGAAAAATGGGTAATCCACTTTATCAAAGTCTTAAAAATGGGAAGATAAAAGTTGACTTGCATCCACTTAATTACCCCATGTTCTCCCCCTTAGTTGCCCTGTATTTGTTGTTTCCTTTTCGTCTTTTTTTTTTTTATTAAAAAAAATATTTTCTTTTAAGTCTTGCGAGGTTGATTCTGTAGATGTGCTGTGTTCGTTGTTTAGCCCGCCTTGAATGACTCCGCTGACCTCGTACTACCCAGGACTCGGTATCTCAATAAGAATTTAAAGAATTAACATAAAGTCTATTATTTTCGACTGTGATTAACAGACGACTTTATTACATTTACTTTTCGAATTTGATTTTCATTACCAAAGGTAAATCGTTAATCGCACAGAAAAACAGCAGCAAAATGAATCCAATCACTTGCCCTGTGCATGGCAGCATGTTGGAAACATAAACAAGTAACAAGAAATTTTGGGTTATTCGGTATTTTCAACTGAGTTCATAACGTAAATTGGTCACTGTAAAGAGTTTAAAAGCTGACGTTTCGAGTGTTAACCCTTTCCCAGAGCAATTGGAGGAATTGTGGGTTGTGTGTAGGCTTTCTTACAGAAAGTGGAGCTACGCTATTGGTGAAAATATGGTGACGAGAAAACAAAAGTAAATTAGTTAAATGAAAGGCGATCGTTAATACCGTAGGGATTAAGAATGCCGATTTCAAAGGCAAATTTATGTTCTACAGTTTTGCTGCTTTCCGAACTGCCTAGGTGTGGGGAAGGGCCGCAAACTACCATATGCTGCTCAGAATAATCAGAGAGATTGATGTGTCTAGCGACTGGTTTGAATGCGTCCTTTGTCCATGCTCTCAGAATCGGTCACATGGTCGTTTCCCTTCCAAGAAACAAGAAGCTTACCTTGCTATTAATTAAATATTTGAAAAAAATGGAGCCTCAAGCTTCTTGAACTTTAATTTTCTCGCGACCATAATAAATAATTTGGCTGAATTTGCGGCCATAACAGAGGTGGGTAAATAGTGGATGATAAACCTAAGAGAGAGACAGGCTAAAGATGTAACATATTACGCTTGTCGCTGTTTCGTTCCTAAGTCAACACAGGTGCGACACGTAGAGAGCAAAAATTCAAATATTTTTAGAATAGCCTTGCATCTGGAACCAGCATTAATTTTGAAATTGGAGTTTTACTCTCAGTTTGCCTAAGCTGATAACAATTCATGGCATCCCAAGATCACGTGAATGAATAATTCACGCTATTTCCGGGTAAGAAAACGAATCTGATCCAAACAACAATTCGGCCGATGCGTTGGTCAACGGTCTACTGTCGATATCCGATCACAGAAGGTTTACTTAGGTGAAGAGGCTTTTGTTCTGTTGTATTGTGAAATTAACCTATCACAAATACAGCTTTACTTTCCTCTTATTACTAATTCAAATTCGCGCAGAAAAAGTTGGACTTTTTTTCTCTTTCGCGTGACAAACCTCTCACCCCACGGGCATTTTATGTAGTCAGATGTTACTGATGAATTTTTGTTCTTTGCAGTTGGTATTCAGAAACTAAGGTTTAACTGATCTTGACTTGGAGGGTGCCGTTAAGACGAAATATTCCTCGTTATAACTAAGGATAACCTGCAAAAGAGTGGAAACGACAGCAGGATGATGGCGACAACAAATATAACGGGACCACAGACAAAAACATTTGAAAGATTGATATGCTCTCCGGTTTGGGAAGTTGATTTGAAACAACATTCCATTTCATTCTCAGCAGTCAACATTCTCCTCTCCATCACAGCTACTCTTGCGAACTCTCTTATCCTTGTTGCCCTTCACAAGGAATCTTCCCTCCATCTGCCATCCAAACTCTTGTATCGTTGTCTGGCAACATCTGATCTGTTGGTTGGTGTTGTTAACCATCCTCTCTATGCTGCCTATTGGATGTCCTTGGCTCACGAACACTGGAGTCTTTGTCGATACGCGAGGAACGCAGGCTACATATCAAGCTTTACATTGTGTGGAGTTTCTCTGTTTACAACGGCGGCCATAAGCGTGGACCGACTTCTCGCCATGTTGTTGGGACTGAGATACAAAGAGATTGTAACTTTGAGGCGCACGTATATCATTTTAGCTATCGTTTGGATTGGATGTTTAATCGCTGGTTCATTCTCTCATCTAAATTATCGTACAATCTTTTGGTACACCTTTACAAGTATATTATCTTGCCTGGTAATCTCAATCGCCTCGTACACAAAGATTTTCCGCGCCCTCAGTCATCATCAGGCTCAGATACAAGATCACGCTCGACAACAGCCGATGCAACCCAAAGCACTGAACATGGCGCGATACAGAAAGGCAGTGTACAGTGCACTGTGGGTGCAGTTAGCATTAGTTGTCTGTTATGTACCAAAATTCACAGTAGAAATTGTGATCTTTCTTAGTGCAACGAGATTTTCGAATTTTTTCTTAATCTACGGAATGGCAAATGTATTAGTGTTCTTTAACTCTACTTTAAACCCGTTCCTTTACTGCTGGAAGATAAGTGAAGTGAGACGAGCCGTAAAACAGACAATCAGACAAGCAATCTGCTATGCAAAGGTGAAGACCTATTTTAGCGTTGGCATGTACTGTTTATTCGATAGCTTACTTGAAAAATGACAGTTGTTTGGAGAAAGGGGAAGATACGTCATTTCGTGATAAAAAGGGTAGGGGAAATATGAAGAGCTACTTCTAAGTAATATATTATATTCGAATTATCTAACGAACAACTAGGTGAAAAGAGTATAGTTTAACAAAACAGTAACGTACCTCCAATTTGCGAATTTGCAGTGAAGTAATGAAGGCTATCGGTTATTTTGGAGTCATAATGTACTCAGTATTTTGATGAGGTATGTCACCTTAGCTCAGAAATATGGTTTAGTGATAACGAGCTGTTAAAGGAGCCAGCCGCTTGATTCTGTCATGATTGGCAATAAGCCGTAGTGTTTACAACGAAACTTTGCAGGTTAAAGATGCAGACTTTGTTAACATCTGTTCAAATACACGGAAGGAAATATTTAGAAAAGAAGTTGATCATCTCCATTTCATATAGAGATACCGTTTGAGACCAATCGTTAAACTCGAAAATTTTAACAGAAAAAAATTATCATACGAAATGATTGAAAAAAACTCTAACAGAGTTAATAAGACTAGCTATTTTTCAGTATGTTACCATCATCAATTAAGACTGTTTATCGAGTTGCCTCGTGACTCCGCATTATTTTGACCGCTGTGATGACGAATATCGTTGTCAATAAGAGCACAGAGCACAATAAACCATGGCCATGTTCGATTTGTTAAATGGAGAGTTCTCGCTAACAGCACTGCTTATTACTAGCGCCTAACCTTATATTGTAAGTATAAGATGATTTGCAGAGAAAAAAAATTGGCTGAGGCGAAGGAGAATTTGTAATGTTTAAGGTGTTTGTCGCAAACTTTTCACCACTAGATCTATTTTCAGACTTTTTAGGGCATAAAGGCAGAGTTAAATACAGCTTGATTGATAGAGATTCTGTCATAATCTCAAAGTGCCAGTCAGGTTCAAGACGTAGAGAAAAAAGAACAAAAACTCCAATTTATTAAGGGGTAACTACGCATTTGTAACCATACATTAATTTGAATAGTTTTATGTAATCTAGTTTTTTATTCTTCCCAATACCGATTAACGTTTTCAAAAAAGGCTTTTTTTCTTTGGATGAAGATAATTGAGGGCGTCCCAAGTTTGCGTAAGTTAATATATTAACATTGGATAAACAACTCTATCAAAAAAAGTTTATTCGAATTAAGAGGGTTTTTTACTTGTCGTATTGAGAAATAGTTCATCACAAATGTATATTTACGAATACAAACTCGCAGAAAACCCAGTCTTTCTATTTCTGTTTGGGAATTTTGCATAGTCAAACGCTACTGATGAGGTCTGTATGTAATTGTTATTCACAAAGTGAGGTTAGACTGATCTTGACTCGGAGGATGCTTTCAAGACGAAATATTCCTCGTTGTTACGATGAATAGTCTGCAAAAGATTGGAAACAACAAAAGGATGTTGCCTATAGCCTTTTGGATACTCTCTGGTTTGGGTTGTACCAGTTTCTTTACCGTTCCGTTGTAAGATAAAAGATATAAAACAAGCAGTAAAGCAGACAATCAGACAAACAATTTGCCATGCAAAGGTTTCGACCTATTTCGACGCTTACTATCGTGCTTCTTCCAAAGCTATTTATGGTTTTTAGGAGAGAGGAGAGGATATACAATTTGACGAAAAAGATTAAGGAAAGTAGAAAGAGCTACTTCGAATTTTTCTATTGTATTCAAGTTATCTTCAGAGCAACTGAAGGTAACAAATCTTAGTTTGATGGCTATATCACAAGGATATTATATGTCAAATTTGCACAATTATCATGAAGCAGTGAAGACTATTCTTTTCGAGAAGAATGCGCTTACGAATTTGCTGTTTCGTCAAAAGTGGATGAGATATGTCACTTTGGCTCAGATATACGGTTAATTGTTAACGAATTGTAACAGGAGCCACGGGCTCAATTTGTTTATTACAAACTTTGTAAATATGTAAACTTTTTTCAGCTTTTTAAATATTTTAAACGGGTGAATTCTTAAAAAATTAAGTTGACTATTATTATTTTCACATAGATTTATCGTTTGAGACCAATCGCTTACCAAAAAGCAATTTCGCAAATTATGGCAGAAGAAACTTGTGATTTACGAAAAAGGTCAAAAAATCTAACATGTTTGATAAGAATAGCTGTATTCCAGTATGTTACCAGCATCAACTAAGACCGTTTATCGAGTGCAAAACTGTAGTCCTCACAGGATTATCCTTCGATTTCTTTGAGCAAGTAATTGTAAAACCTTCTTTAGGACCAAATTCAAATACACCAGAAGACTTATGTTATAAAATACTCCAGAACATTTTAAAAACGTTCCTTTATTTACTTTTTCTCGCTGAGTCATGAGCTAAGAAGGGCAAGCCAAGCTGAAACTGATCTTTAAACAGAATATGATGAAATGATGTAGAATGTCCCAGGCTGTTACGCATATCTCTTTAAGCGGAGCTCATATTTAGTTGCTGTTGTTACCACAAGCCTTTTAATAAAACGGAGCGAAATAGTACACGGCACAATAGTAGCGGTGGAGTGATAAAACGGGGGAATTTTGGGCCAGGTCGGGTCGGGTGAACGCCGTTCTTTACCCGACTTTTTCGGTCCGCCCTGACTATCGCACCGTTTACTGTGCACTTCGTTTTACTAGCTGAACGTCTCAAATAGGCTGTGTAATCACTCGATAAGCTGTCAGACAAAAAAAAAATAGGCTGTGAGGCAGAATACAAGAGACTACAATATATATATTTTTTCAAGTGAGTAGTGGAGCCACTTATTACGGAAGAGTAATCGAGAGACAAAATGAATGCAATCACCTGTGGTATACATAACAACTTTAATTGTTGCTACGGTAATGTTTTGAAATCAAATAATGACTCAACGCAAAAAATTTAATTTATCTTACTCAATGGTTTATTAAGCAAACGATGTAAAAATGTTTCTATAGCTTTTTGCTTTGCGCCTATAAAATAATTGATTATTTTTATTCGGTAGCAAAACCGTATATAGTAGGAAAGAAAGCTAGTACATGTATAGTTTTTCAAAAAACCAAAAAAAAAAACCTTGGCTAAAATAACATGGTATTGGTGACCATAGATTAGTCCAAAGGAAGTCTTCGAACTGCCTCCTAACCGAGTAACATCTGCACTGCAATCTTTTTGTTTTTCAGTTTTCCGTACGCACGTGACCATAATTCTGACAAGTCCCCTATATCGAAGCATTGGCGTAAGCACTTCATCATCTGTCACTTTTTTTTTGTTTTTCTGTTTTTGAAACAATGGTCTCAGAGGGAATAAATTTGTCTTTGTTATACTATGCCATATCCAAAATGTTGTTTAACAGTTACAGGTAACTAAGACAAACAGCAATGTTCAGTAGCAAAATTCTACCTTAAAAACCAGAGATAATTTGCACACACATCGTCTCCCGTGGGAGGAGCATTTGAATTATTTATGATCTTTTGATCAACATTTCCCCCGTTTAAAATGTGCTGTTGTGTTGGGAAACTAATCTATCACAAATGCAGTTTTACTTTCACCTTATTACTTATTCAAATTCGCGCAGACAAACCGTCTTTTTTTTTCTTCAGGAATTTTACATACTCAGGCGCTACAGATTAATTTTACTCTCCGTAGTTGCTATTGAAAAATGAAGATTTAACTGACCTCGAATCGGAGGGTGCTGTTAGGACGAAGTATTCCTCGTTGTAACTAAGGAGAACCCGCAAAAGAGTGGAAACGACAGGAGGTTGATGGCGACCACAAATATAACGGGAAGTGGAACACATCCGCAAACATTTGAGGCATCGCTTTGTTCCCCGGTTTGGGTAGGTGAGTTTAAAAAACAGTCCATTTCATTCTCAGCAGTCAACACTCTATTCTCCATCACAGCGATTCTGGGGAACTCTCTTATCCTTGTTGCCCTTCACAAGGAATCCTCCCTGCATCCACCATCCAAACTCTTGTATCGTTGTCTGGCAACAACTGATTTGTTGGTTGGTCTCGTTAGCCAGCCTCTCTATGTTACTTATTGGATGTCCTTGGTTCACAAACACTGGAGTCTTTGTCGATACGCAAGGGAAGCAATCGTCATATCAAGCTATGTATTATGTGGAGTGTCTTTGTTGACGATGACAGCCATAAGCGTAGACCGACTTCTCGCCATGTTGTTAGGACTGAGATACAAAGAGATTGTAACTTTGAGGCGCACGTATATTATTTTAGCTATCTTTTGGGTTGTATGTATAGTCACTAGTTTATTCTCTCATCTTAACTACCGTATAGCTGTTTCGAGCAGCTTGATAATTACACCATCTTGCGTGGTAATCTCAATCGCCTCGTACACAAAGATTTTCCGCGCTCTCAGACATCATAAGGCTCAAATACAAGATTATGCTCAACAACAGCCGAGCCAACTAAATGCACTGAACATGGCGCGATACAGAGAGGCAGTACACAATGCACTATGGGTGCAGTTAGCTTTAGTTGTCTGTTACATACCACAATTTACGATGAAAATTGTGAAATTTCTTAGTGTACAGATATTTTCGAATTTCTTCATAATCCACGAAATGGCAAATGTCTTGATGTTCTTTAACTCTACTTTAAACCCGTTCCTTTACTGCTGGAAGATAAGTGAAGTAAGACGAGCAGTAAAGCAGACAATCAGACAAGCAATCTGCTATGCAGAGGGGTAGACCTTTTTTAGCGTTGGCATGGACTGTTCCTTCTTTAGCTTATTTGAAAATTATAATTATTAGATGAGAGGAGAAGATATGCAATTTCATGATAAAAAGAGTAAGGAAAAATATAAAGAGCTACTTCTAAAAAGCACACTGCAGTAGCACATTCGAATTATCTAACGAACAACTAACAAGTGAAAAATTGTAGTTTAATAGCCATAACAAAACAATAACGTGTCTTTAATTTGCATATTGTAGTGAAGTAGTGAAGGCTATAATTTTGAATGAGTATGCGATTAGGATTTTGCTTCATGATCAAGATTTTAGAAAATACGTCATTCGCCATGCCGCTGATTATGAAATAATCAGCGACATGCCGAATGTTTTAGTTTTCTTTAACTCCACTTTAAAACGTTTCTTTACCATTGGAAGTTCAGAGATATAAAACAAGCAGTAAAGTTGACAATCGGACAAGCAATTTGTCATGCATAAGTTTCGACCTATTTCAATATTTACTCGTTCCGTTTCTTCCAAGGCTACTTAACTGTTATGGTTGTTAGGAGAAAGGAGAGGATATAACATCTGATAAAAAGAGTAAGGAAAAAATAAAGAGCTACTTCTAATTTGCATATTGTATTCAAGTTATCTCAAGAACAACTGAAAGGTAAAAATCTTAGTTTGTTAGCTATATCACAAGGATATTATGTGCCGAATTCGCACACTTATAATGAAGCAATGGACACTATTCTTTTTTGAGCAGAATGTGCTTACGGTTTTGCTGATTTGTCAAAACTGGATGAGATATGTCACTTTGTTTACGGATAGTAACAGGAGCCACGGACTCGATTTGTTTAAGGCAAAAATTTTGTAAATATGTAGACTTTGTTTTCATCTATTTAAATTTATCACTATTTTCACATAGATTTATCGTTTGAGACCAATCCCTTGCCAGAGAGCAAGTTCCCAAATTATGACAGAAGACAGTTATGATAAGAAATAATTAAAAAAAACTCTAACACGTTTGATTAGACCAGCTGTTTTTTTTTATTATGTTACCAGCATCAATTAAGACTATTTATCGAGTGCAAAATTGAAAGACACTTTTGATAAGAAATAATTAAAAAACTCTAACATGGTTGTTTAGACCAGTTGTTTTTCATCATGTTTTCAGCATCAATTAAGACTATTTATCGAGTGCAAATTTGTAGTCCTCAGGTTATCCATCAATTTCTTTGAGCAGGTAATTTTAAAAGCACTTTTATTACCAAATTCGAATATTAAAGAAGATTTCTTGACTTTATTACAAACCGTGTACATACAGCTGGTCTTATGAGAAAACATTCTCTCATTTAATGACATTCGAGTTCAAAAGCCGCTATTCACGCGCTCTCGAATGCCTACCACTGCTTCTAATTAAAAAAGGTTTTTATGACAGCTCACCACTGCAAATCACTTCCGCGCTTGAATTTCATCTGATAGTCAAAACATTATTTATGTCATTCAACTTCTGAAAAAAAAGCGTGTTTTGAAAGCTATAAATATTTGTTTCAAAAAGTACTACGCTCGAATCTATTTCATGTGGTTCCCTTTAACAATTCGCGTTTGTCCTCGAGATCGCTATGAATATCAAGGAATCAGTGACAGGTTGTATGTAAATTTTTGACGAGTGAAATAACATGAAAAAGTTAGCGTTGCCATAAATGTCATGAATGTCATGAATGTCATAACGGAAGGTAAATCTCATAAATAAAATGAGAATAAATAAATTTTGTCAGTAATATTTAAAAGTTCAAATTTATTTATCGATGGACTGATTTCCGAGCGTGATTTCTAGATATCGTAGACTTATATTCTAAAGGACTTCAGATAATTTTAAAAATGTTCATTTATTTACTTTGACTTGCTGAGTTAAGAGCTAAGCTAGGCAAGCCAAGCTGATACTAATCTTTCATTAGAATATGATGAACTGACCTAGAATGTCCCAGGCTGTTAGAAATATCTCTATAAGCAGAGCTCATATTTAGCTGCTGTTGTTAGATAGCCTTTTTCAGGGGTTCATTTAGTAAAACGGAGCGAAATGGTATACGGTACGATAGCAGCGGTGGAGTGCAAAACGGGGAAGGCTTGGGTCAGGCCCATGAAATGATTGAATATTTTTATTTGGTGGCAAAGCCGTCTTGTAGATAAAATGGCTTGTACAGTTTTTCAAAAAAAAACTAAAACAAAACCTTGGCTAAAGAATATGGTATTGGTGAACATAGACTCGCCCAAAAGGAAATTCTCAAATTGCTTCCTAACCGAAGGGAATATGTGCTGTTACCTTTTTGGATGTCAGTCTGCCGTACGTATGTGATTATAATTCCGTCTGAAAAGTTCCGAAATCATAGCGTTGGCATAAGCACCTTGTTCGTCTGTCGAGGCTTTCGATGATAGTTTTTCTTAGTCAAAGACTAATGTTTTCACAATTTCTTTCGAAACAAGGGTCACAGAGAGTGTAAATTTGTCCCTGTTATACAATGCTATATCCAAAATATCGTTTGCAAATTTGATAAAAAGGTAACTAAGACAAACAGGATTGTTCATTAGGAAAGTTCCTCTTAAAACCGGTGATAATTTGCACACAGAATGTCTCCTATGGGAGGAATGTTTGAATTATTTATGATCTTTTCAGGAACATTTCAACCCTTTGGTTTATGTTGAGACTTTTCAGGGTATAACGGCAAAATAAATAGTCCTTGAATTTCTTTTCGCTGAAAAATTGATTCCCTGTTAGGATGGTCATCAAATGCAAGGTACACATGCCAACCTCTGGGGAATTTTAATATGTCTGTGGCACAAACAACACTTGAGATCGTTTGCGCAATTCAAATAGGGTAAATGATACCGTTTAAATGCTTGAGTATACATGCATTATTTAGAGGTGATATTCAAGCCACAGTGGATGTGAAGTTGTTGTGAAGGCGAGATATCTCTGTAGATACTGATGATGCCCAGTACAAATCTAACAGCATTCGAAAGGCAAACAAAAACATTTGAAGACCTAGTTTGCTCGCCTGTTTGGCAGTTGGATTGCAACAAAATTTGATTTATTTAACGGCAGTCCACAATCTCCCCTTATTCATTGCATTTTTTGGGAACCATCTCATCCTTGTTGCCCTTCACAAAGTATATCCCCTTCTTCCGCCGTCCAAACTCTCGTATCGTTGTTTGGCAACAGGGGTTGAAGATGTTGCGCCATAGCAAATGGTGGCATTTTTAACTTTAGATATTGCAATGGGAATTATATACCACTCAGATGTCAAGAGTTGTTGTTTATAGACTCCATACTTTATCATCCTTGGTTCACTTTCATAATGAACAGGGACAGATTCCTTCAAATTCTCTATTACCTTCATCTGACTGAAAGTCAAAATAACACTTGGAATAACAAACTTTTCAAACTGAGACCAGTGTTGGATTATGTAGTAAGACAGTGCAAAAAGCACTACTACCGAAGGCGTGATGTATCAATTGATGAGTGAATGATTGGTACAAAATGCAAAACAGGATTTGGCTGGTACTTGCCTTTAAAACCAACTAAATGGGGCATAAAGGTTTGGGTTACGGCAGATTCAATGACAGGATACTGCTGTAATCTACAAATATACACGGGTAGGGAAGGAAATCACGCAGAGAAAGGCTTAGTAAACAGGGTGGTGAAAGATGTTATGGTAGACTATCAAGGACTTGGTCATCGGATTAATGTTGACATCTTTTATACTTCTCCTAAGCTATTCAAGGATCTCTAAATGCACTGAAGTCTGGCTTGTGGTACAGTGAGAAGTACTAGAAAGGGTGTGCCCCCAACATTAAAAGAAAATGTTAACCAGAATAAATACATGGGTGTTGTGGACCATAATGACCAACTGTTGGTGTGAAATGTGATACACACCTTTGTGAGCATCCATGCTTTCAAAAGTGGCACACCCTTTCAAGGCTAAAATAGGTTTGCTTTCTTGCTGTTTTTGCCAGATTATAGTAACAGCACTTTCTTTATAAAGAATTAAAAGGCTTTGATGTAATTTCGGGTGGAAAAGCCACAGACAGAATTTATTTTAGTTATTTTCCATGCGTTAGGTTCTTCAATTTCAATTTATATTTGCACATTTATAAATACCGAGGGTCTGTCAGGAAATAATTATTTTTTTATTTGAAAAAACATCTGTTGAACTAAAAATTGTACCATATGAAAAACTGATTAGATATTCTTTCTCATAATGTATAAATTTTTTTTCTAATGGGCAGAACCTCTGGGGAAAAAATAGTATAAATCAAGAAATTATGATTTAATTTGCATAAACTGCATTGATTATGTCGTACAAATTAGTTACCATGGAGACTGAAGATAATTATTTGTTTATGTTTATGACCCCACGATGTTTACAATTGTATAAGCTTTCTAACAATGTACAGCATTTCTACAATGCATCCAAGTGGACTTTTTTTTATAAAAGGATTAATGTTATACACATATGAAACTTTTTTATTATTATTTTCTATCAAAAAATTCAGATTGGAAAGGGTTAAAGACTGCTCAAGGAAAGTGGCAGAAAGGAGATCTGGGCCCCTATTTGTTGACCTAAGATTTAAGTTAAGTTGCATCCCTTCGCATGTTGACGATTAGCACAATTGTTCACGTCAGATACCGTGTGATTCAGTATATTTATTGCATTGCAATGTCAGAGCTAGAATGGATGTCACATTTTGCAGGACGTATTTCATATTAGTTAATCCTTTACATCGTGAGTAATATTACTCCACGATGCATCGATCAATTCGAAACTTCAACATCCCCTTATCCTGGGCAACCCACGGGCATTAGACCGTTGTCCGTGCCCGAGGGGTGGGGAATTTGAACCTTGGCTGGCTGAGTAGTGAAATTTGAGCCGCACGCTTCAAGTCTTTCTAGCGATAGACAAGTGCTGTATCTTTAAATTTGGAGGTGTTTAAAGGCAAAAAGTTACCTTTTGCGACCGAATGGCTTTGAAGAAAAGGTCTCTCAGATCTTGGGAGGGGGGGAGGGGGGGAAGGGGGTGCCCGAGGGGGGAATTTTGTAGCTTCGAAGCATCCAATCAATCGACACATTGGTAAACATAGACACATTGGTAAACATAGGTAACGCAATACACATTTGAACCGCGCTCGTTTATAAACTACTGCTTGGGAAATCAAACCCAAAATGAGGCAATTTGGTATAGAAATCTGCACAACAACTGTGAGTAAGCCTTAAAAATCAGGGTTTTCAATTTGTATTGACAGGGTTGCAAATCAGCAAAAAAAGCTTTACTTCATTCGTTATTAGCTGGAAAAATGTTTGTTTAGTCAAGAAATTCGATTCTCTATCATTTACAGCAAATGTAGACTAGCGCATAATTTGATTCGATTTTTATTTCCACACAGACCAACATGCACAAGGTAAATCATTTTGTAACCGGAAGTCTCCTCTTTGAGACAGCCGAGCAAAGGAAAATTGAGTAACTCACTTTATCAAAGTCCTGAAAATGGGGAGATAAAAGTTGACTCGACCAACTGACGGTCTCCTTTCGATAACCTTTTATGAAGGTTTATTTGAGTGAAGAAGATTTTTTACGCTGTTTTGGGAAATTAACCTGTCACAAACGCACTCTTTCCTTCCGCTCATTACAAATTCAAATTCGCGTCGAAAAACCGTGTTTTTTTTCCTCTTTCGTGTGAAACATCTTACCACCTTTGGGTATTTTACATAGTCAGGCGCCACTGATGAACTTTTACTCTCTGTAATTGCTATTCAAAATCTAAGGTTTAACTCATCTTGACTTAAAGGGTGCTGTTAAGACAAAATATTCCTCGTTGTAACTAAGGATAACCTGCGATAGTGTGGAAACGACAGCAGGATGATGGCGACAACAAGTATAACTGGAAGTGAAACACAGACAAAAAAAATTTGACGGATCGCTATGCTCCCAAGTTTGGGCAAGTGAGTTTAAACAACAGTCCATTTCATTCTCAGCAGTCCACATTCTCCTCTCCATCACAGCAACTATTGGGAATTCTCTTATCCTTGTTGCCCTTCACAAGGTATCTTCGAATTCCCTGCATTCATCATCCAAACTCTTGTATCGTTGCCTGGCAACAACAGATCTGTTGGTTGGTCTTGTTACCCATCCTCTCTATGTTACCTATTGGATGTCCGTGGTTCACGAACACTGGAGTCTTTGTCGATACCCTTTTGACGGAGGTGGCATAACAGGCTTTGCATTATGTTCAGTGTCATTGTTGACAGTGACGGCCATAAGTGTGGACCGACTTCTCGCCCTGTTGTTGGGACTGAGATACAAAGAGATTGTTACTTTGAGGCGCACATATATCATTTTAGCTATCGTTTGGGTTGTGTCTCTAGTCGCTGGTTTATTCGATCATCTCGGATACCATATAGCTTCTTGGTACAGCCTTATAGGTATATCATCTTGCCTAGTTATTTCCATCGCCTCGTACACAAAGATCTTTTGCACTCTTAGTCATCATCAGGCTCAAGTACAAGATAACGCTCAGCAACAACAGAGCCAACCAAATGCACTGAACATGGCGCGATACAGAAAGGCAGTGCACAGTGCACTGTGGGTGCAGTTAGCTTTAGTTGTCTGTTATATACCCTATTTTACGATGGAAATTGTGATCCCTCCTAGTGAAGAGCGAGATCGGAATCGCATCATAATTGAAGGGATGGCAGCTGTCTTAGTGTTCTTTAACTCTACATTAAATCCGTTACTTTACTGCTGGAAGATACGTGAAGTGAGACGAGCTGTAAAGCAGACAATCAGACAAGCAATCTGGTATGCATAAGGGGTAGACCTATTTTAATGTTAGCATGTGCTGCTTCTTCTATAGCTTATTTTATCGAGTTGCCTGATGAGTCCACAACATTTTGACCTCTATAATGACGAATACTAAAGCCCAACCTTATATTATAAATAGCCGAAGACGATCTGCAGAAAGAAATTGTCCCAAGAGAAGGAGAATTTTTATTTTTAATAGTGTTTGAAATAAACTGTACACCGCTAGACCTATTTTCAGACTTTTAGGCCACAAAGACTGAGTTTAATGCGGTTTGATCGGTAGGGAGCTTCTCATTATCTCAAAGTTCCAGCCAGGTGCGACACGTAGAGAGCAAGGAAAAAAAACGCAAACATTTTTAGGGGTAACTATACATTTGTAACCATACATTAATTTTGAACCGTTTTATGTAATCTAGTTTTCTGTTTTTCCCAATACCGATTAACGTTCACAAAAAAGGATTTTTACCTTCACTTAAGATAATTCATGACGTCCTGAGTCTGTGTATGTCATATTAAAAGTCGACAAACCACCTTATCAATAAATTTTTTCTTAGGTAAACATAGTTTTTGTTGTCGAATTCTGAAAGAACTCTATTACAAATGTAGATTTCCTTGCCGCCTATTTTCAATTCAACTTCGAAGAAAAATTCGGCCTCATTTTTACTTTTTTCGTATGACACAACAGACAGCTTGGCTGATGAAGTCTTTATGTAATTGTTATTCACAAAATAAAGTTTGACTGATCTTTACTTGGAGGGTGCTATTAGGACGAAATATTCTCGTTTTACCATTGATAATCTGCAAAAAAAGTGAAAACAACAAAAGGGTGTTGCTTTTTGCCTTTGGATACTGCTGATGTCGCTGGTTAAAGCTACATTTTAGACTATACCGATCAGATATGTGGCACTGCCGATACTCATTTTACGCAACCGGTGTAACGGGCTATGTGTTATGTTCAGTGTCTCTGTCGAGCGTGTAACGAATTGTAGTCCTCAGAAGGTTATCCATAGATTTGTTTAAGCAAGTAATTTTAAAAACACTTTTATTACCAAATTAGAATATTCAAGAAGATTTCGTGACTCCATCACAGGCCGTCTATGCACAGCTGGTTTTATAAGAAAACACTTTCTCAATTTAATGACAATCGAGTACAAAAGCTGCTAACACCCGCTCTTGAGTACCTACCACTGCAGCTCAACACTGCAGCTCATCCCTACAAGGATAATTCTGCGCTTTAATTTCATCTGAGGGTCAAAACATCATTATTCTATATCATTAAAATTCTTTAAAAAAAATATGTATTTTGAAAGCTGTAAGTATTTGGTTCAAAAACTACTACGCTCTAACCTCTTTTATGTTGTTCCCTTTAACAATTCCCTTTCTTCCTCGGGATCGTTACAAATATCACGGAATGAATAACAGGTTCTATGCAAATTTTTGATCAGTAAATGATATGAATAAGTTAACGTTGCCATAAATTTCATAAATGTCATAACTGAAGGTACATCTCAGATAAAATGAGAATCAAATAAATTTTGTCGGTGATGTTTAAAAGTTCAAAATTATTCATCGATCGACTGATTTCCGACCGCGATATTTAGATATTGTAGACCTATGTCCTAAAATACTCCAGAAAAATGTTTAGTTATCTATTTTGTGGTGCTGAGTCATCAGCTAAGCCAGGGAATTCCAGCTGAAACTGATCTTTAAATAGAATGTGATGAAATGATGTAGAATGTCCCACAAGTCTACCTCTTTTTTCGCTCCATTGTGACTATTGCGCCGTTAACTGTGCACTTGGTTTTACTAGCTAAACTCCTCCAACTGACTGTGTTATCACTCGAAAAGCTGTCAATAAAGGCTGTGATGCAGACTACGAGTGACTACTACAGATGTTCTCTTCGAGTCAATAGTGGAGCCACTTATTACGATAGAGGAATCGAGCCAAAATGAATACAATCACCTGTGGTAGACATTACAATTTTAATTGTTACTACGGCAATGCTTTAAAATCAAATAATAACTCAACAAAACAATTTAACTTACTTACTTAGTGGTTTATAAAGTATATAATATGTAAAAAAGGTTTTTTAGCTTTGTGCTTTGCGCCTATGAAATAATTGACTATTTTTTGTGTGTAAAACCGCATTGTAGAAAAAACACTAGTATAGTCTCAGTTTGCCTTAGGTTTCAGTTTGCCGTACTTATGTGATCATAATTCTGACAAGTCCCGGAATCACAGCATTGGCATAAGCACTTCGCCATCTGTCAGTAACTTTCGGTGAAGAGTTTCCCAAGTCAGACACTGATGTTTTCATCATTTCTTTTGAAACAATGATCACAAAGAGCATAAATTTGTTCCTGTTATATGGTACCATATCCAAAATGTCGTTTACTAATTTGAAGAACAGGTAACTGAAACAAACACCACTTTTCGGTAACAAACTTCCGCCTTGAAACCAGAGATTATTTGCATTCAAAATTTTTCCCGTAAGAGGAATATTTGAATAGCTTATGATCTTTTGAGCAACATTTCCACCCTTTTATCTATCTGGACATCTTTTAGGGTAACACGGCAGGATAAAATGTTGGACAATTGAATCCCTTTTAGGATGGTTATTTAATGCAAGCTACACATGCCAACCTCTGAGGGAAATGTTGATATGTTTTCAAGAACGGAAGACACTTGAGATCGTTCCGCTTTCCAAATAAGGTAAATATGCCGTTAAAACGCTTGATTATCTATGCATTACTAACACTCGAAAAATCTCTCAAGGTTTGATGATGATGACGAAATTCACGTATTTTGGAAGATAGCATCAATTTTGGCATTTTCCGCTGGTCCGGCGACTGAATCTTCATCAATTAACTGTAAAGTGCAAGATCCGGCCAGTCTAGAGAGAACGTATGAACAAAGCGGTCACAATCGTAAACAAACAAACTGGTTCTCAATCGAAGAGCACTTTGGAAAAAGATAGTTGCAAAAGGAATTGGTTGAGAATTTCAAACTTGAAGGACTCGCAAGCGATACAAAACTTTCATTCTTGCTAAAATGCTCTCCCACGTGATCACAGAAACACCTGTTTGTCTGTTTGTTTGTTTGTTTTTTGGCTGTTGTCGTTGAAAACTCAAAATCCCCCAGTGGTTTTCTTTTTTTTTTTTTTTTTTTTTTTTTTCTGATCCGGAGGCCTCACAGAACTCGTAAGTACTTTCACAAACTCCGAACTTGAAACCGTTGCGCTTTATTTCTTTTTTATGTGTGTTTCTTTTGGTCTTACCGCAGGTCTGGCAGCCTACACTTGAAATACTCTGAGAGCCTAAAAGAGGTTTACAATAAACGTAGTTAAGAACTGATTCGCGGGATTGTCTGTACAGTTCCCACATGACTGATTTCGCCATCTCTCGTCGATCTGGAATGAAAGCGAACTTCGCAGTGATGAACATTACTTGAGCAGTAGAGAAAATAAGACTTAAAAAAAGCATACAGGCCTGTGCGGGATTTGAACCCATGACCTTTGTGATACCTGCGCAGAGCTTTACCAACTGAGCTGACACGCCAATTAGAGCTGGTCTCTATGTTGGTTCCAAAAAAACCCTTGAATTGGTGAAAAAATGACTATGGATATATGGAAACAAAATATGTGAACTGCGAATGAAGTCGTGAATGAAAGCGATCTTCGTAGTAATGCACCGCTGATCACAAATGTGTAGAAAACAATATGCCCAATCAATATGTTTAACACATCAAAAGGGGGAACCATAAACATTAGTAAAAACATCGGAGCCTCACAAGACGGAAATGTTAAAAAAAAAGGTTTAAAAACCCAAACAGAAAAACGATCGGCGGAAAAGTAAACTAAAATCCATAAAAAAAAAAGAAAGAAAAAAGACAAAAAAGAAAAAATTGGAAGTGAAGAAAAGAAGCGACAACAACAAGGAAAAAATCACGGGAAAAATGAAATAAGAAGTAGCAAGTATGATCTGAGCGTCCAACGTCAGCATTTGCGTGATGTGTATGGGCTGCAATATATTTTTTTCCTGTCTGTTTTGATTTCCTTGCTTGAAAAAAACAGAAAGACTTCAGAATCCCTATTCTTCATTCTAATATTTAGCCTATTCAGGACGTCTAAGCAGACCATCAAGCGAACTTTTCACATTTGACGAGTACCTCCCATGGTAACGAAATGGAGATGAAAGTTTGGAGTTCGAAACGCAATTCTTCTCCTATATGTCTAAAAACTTGACAAAAAGAAACGTTTCAAAAACACTGCCATTCATGAATCCCCATGATGACGAATATCGTTGTAGACAAGAATACATAGCACGCCTAACCACTGTCGATTTGATGATTATTTAGTCTTGATTATAGTATGGTGGAGATCTCAAATGTTTGGTTTTCTAAGGTTTACTCCAAATTAGATGAAAATATGGCGGCAAGAATAAAAACTCTTATTTGTTAATTTGCTTCTACCATTTCTTTATCGACGACCTTGATCCCGGTTACCACAGTGAACCTGAATTTTCATCGCAAGGAATTTAAATTTTATTTATATCCTTCCGCTCGAGAAAACTACGTAAGTAATGTTATTTTTACTTCTAAATATGGATAATTTTCCAGGAAAATAAGCAATTGGAGTTCTCAACAGAAAATCGAATTCTAACAAACTATTTCCCAACTAAATTTGAATCCGGCACAATAATCCTCAATTGTAGCTGCAGACTGTCTTTCTGATGTCACCGGCCAAATTATGAATTTGACACTTGTGTAGTTAATTGCTAATTTAAAAGGAAGTGAATTGGTGTGCAATATGGTGACGAGGAAACAATTATAAATTAGTTTCATGAAAAGCGCTGTTTGATATCGTGGGGATTAATAGTGCTCGTTTAAAATATAAATTTTTGTTCTACAGTTTTGCTGCTTTCCGAAATACCTAGATGTAGAGAAAAACCGCAAACTGTCATACGCTGCTTAGGGAGATTAAAGTGGATGCGTCCCAGTCATTTCTTTCTACATCGCGAAGGTGTTATCGGAATCGGTCACTCAGTCGTCTTACTTCCAAGAAAGAAGAAGCTTGACTCACCATTACGTAACTATTTAAAAAAATGGAACCTCAAGCTTCTTGACCCTTTGTTTTACACATGTCGCCGTTTCGTTCCAAATTTAACAAATTTGCATCTGTAACCTAAATTAATTTTTAAATTGGAATTTTTCTCTCAGTTTGCCTAAGTTGATAACAATTCATGGCGTCCCAAGATAACGTGAATTAATAATTCACGCTATTATCCGGGTAAGGCAACGAATGCGATCCATACAATACGTCGGCCGATGCGTTGGTCAAACCGTCCGGAGGATTTATTTGAGTGACGACGTTTTTTTTCTGTTGTGTTGGGAAATTAACCTATCACAATTGCAGTTTTACTTTACCCTAATTACTAATTCAAATTCGCGCAGAAAAACCGGTCTTTTTTTCTCTTTCGTGTCACAAACCTCACAGCTATACTTGGTCAGACAATAGTGATGAATCTTTACTATCTGAAATTGCTATTCATAAGCTAAGTTTTAACTGATCTTGACTTGGAGGGTGGTGTTAAGACGAAATACTTCTCGTTGTATCTAAGAATAACGACTGCAAGATGATGGAGACAAAAAATATAACGGGAAATGAAACACATACGCCGTTATTTGAAGAATCGCTACGTTCCCCGGTTTGGGTTGGTGAGTTGAAAAAACAGTCCATTTCATTCTCAGCGGTCAACATCCTCCTCTCCATCACAGCAATTCTCGGGAATTCTCTCATCCTTGTTGCCCTTCACAAGGAGTCATCCCTCCATCCGCCATCCAAACTCTTGTATCGTTGTCTGGCAACAACTGATCTGTTAGTTGGTCTTGTTAGCCAGCCTCTTTATGCTACCTATTGGATGTCCGTGGTTCACGAACACTGGAGTCTTTGTCGATACGCAGAGACAGCAACTCTCGCAACAAGCTATGTATTATGTTCAGTTTCCTTGGCTACGATGACAGCCATAAGCGTGGACCGGCTTCTCGCCCTGTTGTTGGGACTGAGATACAAAGAGATTGTAACGTTGAGTCGCACGTATATCATTTTAGCTACCGTTTGGGTTGTATCTCTGGTCACTGGTCTATTCAGTTATCTCAATCACACTATAACTTCTTGGTACGGCTTTATAGGTGTGTCATCTTGCCTAGTTATCTCCATTGCCTCGTACACAAAGATTTTTCGCACTCTCAGTCATCATCAGGCTCAAGTACAAGATCACTTTCAACAACAGCCGAGCCAAGCAAATGCTATGAACATGGCAGGATACAGAAAGGCACTGTACAGTGCACTGTGGGTGCAGTTAGCTTTAGCTGTCTGTTATACACCCTATTTGACAATGCTCGTTGTGACCTTTTTTAGTAACAGACATTTCATCATACTTAACGGAATGGCATTTGTCTTAGCGTTCTTTAACTCTACTTTAAATCCGTTTCTTTACTGCTGGAAGATAAGTGAAGTGAGACGAGCAGTAAAGCAGACAATAAGACAAGCAATCTGCTATGCATAGGGTAGACCTATTTTAACGTTGGCATGTACTGTTTCTTCTATAGCTTATTTTAAAAACTATAAACGTTAGGAGAGAAGCGAGGATAAGCCATTTCATGATGAAAAGAGGAAGGTAAAATATGAAGAACTACTTCTAAATATATATTGTATTCGAATAATCTAGCGAACAAGTAACAGGTGAAAAATTGTGGTACATTAGCCATAACAAAACAATAACATGTCTCCAATCTGTGCATTTGTAATTAAATAGTGAAGGCTATTATTTGGAATAAGAATGCGTTCAGGATTTTTCTTTGCGATCAAAACTTGATGAGATATGTTACCTTAGCTCAGAAATATGGTTTAGTGATAACGTGCTGTTGGCGGAGCCAGTCATTCGATTTTGTCAAGATTGGGAATTAGCCATAGTGTTTAAAACTAATTTTTGTAAATTAAAGATGCTGTTTCCTGTGCACTTCATTATACTAGCTGAAGCAACAAAAAGGCTATGTTATCACTCGATAAGCTGTCAAAAAAAAAAAAAAAAAAAAGAAAAAGCTGTAAGGCAGAGTACAAGAGACTACTACAGATATTTTCTTCGAGTCAGTAGTGGAGCCACTTATTACGAAAGAGGAATCGAGAGACAAATGAATGTAATCACCTGCTGTATACATAACAGCTTTAATTGTTATTACTGTAATGTTTTACAATTAAACGATGACCCAACAAAAAAATTTGACTAACCTAACTTAATGGTTTATAAAGCATAAAATATAAAAATATATATTTTTTAGCCTTGTGCTTTGCGCCTATGAAATGACTGAATATTTTTATTCGGTAGCAAAGCCGTATTGTAGAATAAAAAAACGCTGGTATAGTTTTTTCAAAAACAAAAACGAAACAAATTTTTGGCGTAAATAACATAGTATTGGTGACCATAGATTCATCCAAAGGAATTTTTTAAACACACCGATTGACATCTGCGCTGCAACCTTTTGTTTCTCAGTCTGCCGTACGTATGTGATTATAATTCTGACAATTTCCGAGATCACAATATTGGCATAAGCACTTCGTCATCTGTCAATAGCTTTCAGGGAAGGTTTTCCTTCGTCAAACACTCATGTATTCATCATTTCTTTGGAAACAATGGTCATAGGGAGTGTAAATTTGTCCCCTTCAAACGATGCCATATCCAAAATGTCGTTTATCGATTTAATAAACAGATAACTAAGACAAACACCATTGTTAGGTTGCAAACTTCCGCCTTGAAGCCAAAGATTATTTGCATACAAAATTTTTGTCAACAACATAGACAAAAACAAAATTCAGGTCTGTACGGAATTTTAGTTCCAGATAACCCATGAAGTGGTGAATAAATGACTGTGACTATATGAAAATCATATATGTGAACTGCGGATAAAGTCGTGAATAGAAGGGATCTTCACGATAATGAACCGTCGATCGCCAATCTGTAGAAAACAATATATCCGACATAACACACTCGCACACCAAAAGGGGTAACGAGAAACACAAATAAAAAACATCTGAACCTCACATGACAGAAATAATTAAAAGGCCTTAAAAAACCCAAACAGAAAAAAACGATCAGCGAAAAATAAAATAAAAATCCATTAAAGGAAAGCAAAAGTTAAGAGAAGAAACGACGAAAACAGGGGAAAAATCACCGGGAATGATGAAATAAGTAGTGCAAAGTATGATTTAAGCGCCCAACGTCAGCATTTGCGTTATGTGTATGCGCCGCATTTTTTTTTTTCCCTGTCTGTTTTGATTTCGTTGCATGATGAGAACAGAAAAACTTTAGAATCCCTATTGTTCATTCTAATCTTTGGTTTATTCAGGACAGCCACGCGGACCATCGAAGCGACCTTTTCACGTTTGACGAGTACCTTCCATCGTAAGGAAAAGGAAATGAATGTTCGGGATACGAGACGCAATTCTTCTCCAACAAGTCTACGAACTTGACAAAAAGAAACGTTTCAAAAATACTGCGTCTCGTGAATTTAATCCGGCATCATAATCCTCAATTGTAGCTGTAGACTGTCTTTTTGATGTCATCGGCCAAATAATGAATTTGACGCTTGTGTAGTTAATTGCTAATTTAAGAGGAATTTAATCGGTGTGCAATGCTTTTGTTTAAATAACCAGCTGCAGAAAACAGAGTTTTTCACTATTCAACACATATTCATATCACGTCCAAAACTTTTCTCTGAATCTGAGTGACCCCACTTTACAACTAGATTTTAAAAACTGAATAAAGGACTGAAAAAATTTGATATTGGAGGATGATTAGCAAACAGATTCGACCCTTTTTTTAAATTCATCTATTAAGGAATAGATGGAGAGATTATGGTAACATCAAATTTCGTTAAGGAAAAGGAAGCGGCTTCCTGTTCAAAGACTGCTGTAGCACTGATGTTCGTGTTGTGCTTCATATTAGTTTTCTGTTCAGTTTCGGACTGTTCACCACTTAACTTGAATGCCAAAAAAAAAATTAATGATTAAAAAAAAGATCTAAATAGTGCGCAATTTCGGCAAATTATCGATAAAGAAAATGGTTTTAATCGACGCACTTTTGTTCTTACGAATCATATGCCAATCACGGGACGCACAGCGTTTAATCCGTTTTGTGATGAGCATGGGTTTCTTTTGTGAATTAGAAACCTCCTTTTAAACAAAAAACCAAAGATAATTTGTGTAACTGAAGAGGTAACAGCAGTTATTTCTCATAGCAGGCCTTCCATTTTCTACGCAACAGATTATTTGCACGGATATCAGTCTACAAGCCTGAACGTAAAACACATGATGATAAAACTGAAGTTTAACAAAATGAATGTAATTAACTTTGAGGATGCATTTAACAATTTTCCAAATCAGTGTTTTTTGGCCCAAGCAAACCGCAATTCAAGTGGGACTCAAGGCAAACACTTTCGCTTCAGCTCACCATCAACGCAACAGCCGTTGCTTGTCCATGGATCATATTTCTAAACATGTTAGTGATCTTAGCAATCAAGAAAATAAGAGAGCTACAGAAAAACTCTAATATTCTGATTTCTCATTAGTAGGCGCATTTCAATGCCACTTTCAATCGCTGTGGATGCGTTGATTCTTCGGGAACTGTATCACGCAGCACAATCTATCTGATGAGTGAAATCGGTGTCTCTGTACTGATCACTTTATGTACTACCTTGCATCAATATTTATTGCTGATAGCTTGGGAGGTGTATGTGGGAATAGTTAAATAGACAGAGTACAAAGTATTAGCAAGAAAAGGACGCGTAAAGAAGTATACTGTAATCGCTTGGATGGAAAGCGTCACAAAAGTGGTTTTATATCAAGGATTAGTTTTCGCTGAAACGTTAACAGTGGTTTATTTTTATCACATGATTTATATCGAAGTGCGGAGGCAAAACAGATGTCAAAACAGCCCATTGAATGCTCTAAAGATTAAAGCAAAAATGGAAAGGAAACTTGCCTAAACTGCGTTTCTGCTGTTAATAGCTGCTTTCGTTTGTAGTGTTCCGATACTAGTAGTCATGACCTCGGTATCATACTCACCAGTTTTTCGCACGTATTCGGCTTTGCGATGGGTATATATCGGGATTCAAATAAACTCTCTGGCGAATCCCACCTTATATTTCTATAGAAACAAACGTTACAGGAAAGCTCTTCTACAACTGATAGGATTGGAGAAGATACAGGAAATAGAGTGAATAGATCCCAAAGGGCGTTGAGCAAGGCGGAACCTTGTCACCGTGGAGCTTGTGGACACCGAAGGAGCTCGAAGCCTAAAACGATCACATTCATTTCCAGAGCAGACTCTTGTTTGCAAATTTTGGCTTGTGATCTTTAAGTGTCATGAATGCGTCTTTATCGGCTGTAGTGTCTACTCTGTCGTCGATTCCCAGTTTCGTCGCGATGTGCTTGTTTTCTTTATGGATTGCTTGTGTTGTCTCAGGCAGTGCTTTCTTGTAGGATTTCGTGATGCTGATCGTTGTATGTCGAGGGCTCAAGTTTGTAGAGGTTGGTTGTTTTGTCAGCGGCGATTAGTAGCATGGGTTAATTTTTGATGTGGTCGGTGTCTTCAACGACTATCTTCAACGACTCATCGAAAAGACCGAGCAGTTTTTACGTAGAATGCGCTGGAAAGCCCACTTCTTTCTCAACCCCGACACGGCCTCGCCCTCCAAGGAAACTTACGGCTTCAAATCAACCAAGAACCCGCCTCCCATTGAAGAATTAAAAGATGCCGAGGACGACATGCTAAGGATGATCCAGTCCGTAAAATTCAAGCAAGTAAACAGCCCCTTCTTCAATAAGCTAAAAGAAGACACCGACCACATCAAAAATGAACCATGCTACTAATCGCCAGTAAGAAAAACCCAGTTGCCAGAGCGGTCACGGAACCGGGCCGACCTCCAATTCCTAATGCTTGTTCGGTTGGGAAGAATTTTGGTCATAGGGCTGACAAGAGGAGGAGATGCAAAGTTTGTGCAATCACTAGAAATGCAAGAGGGAAACCTAAAACATACCAAAACTAAATTTTAATGTCCTAAATATAAATCACCTTTGTGAGCATCCATGCTTTCAAGAGTGGCACACTCTTTCAAGGCTTGCTTGCTTTCTTGATGTTTTTGTTGGATTATGGTAACAGCACCTTCTTTATAAAGAAATGAATTACTTTGGTGTACTTTTGGGTGGAAAAGCCACAGAGAAAGTTATTTTAGCTAATTTCCATACGTCAGCTTCTTCAATTTTAACTTACATTTGCACTTTTAAAAATACAAAGCGTCTTTCAGGAAATTATCATTTTTTTACTTGAAGAAACATCCATTGAACTAAAAACTGTGCCATGCGAACAACTGATTAAATATTCTTTGTAATTATGTAAATTTTTTTTTGTTAATGCGCAGAACATCTGGGAAAAAAAATTGTGTAAATCAAAAAAATTATGATTTAATTTGTATAAATTACACTAATTATGTCAAATAGATTAGTTACCATGGCGACTCAAAATAGATATCTGTATATATCTATGGCTCATGATATTTTCAATTGTATTACTTTCCAACCATGTATAACATGTCTACATTGCTTTCAAGTGGACTTTTTTATTAAAGGAAAAATATTATATCTCTCCAAAAATTCAGTCTGGAAAGGGTCAAAGACTGCTTAAGGAAAGTGGTAGTAAGATTTTCGTTAAGTTGCATTAGTTGGCATGTTAGTGATTTGCACAATCGTTCACGTCAGGTACCGTGTGATATAATGGATGTCGCATTTTGCAGGACGTATTTCACAATAACTAATCCTTTACGTTGTGAGTAATAATTACTCTATGATGCATCGATCAATTCGAAGCTTTAACGACCCCCTACCCTGTGCAACCCATGGGCATTGGACCGTCTTCCGTGCCCAAGGGGTGGGGAATTTGAACCTTGCCTGGCTGAGACGTGAAATTTGAGCCGCAAGCGTAAAGTCTTTCCAGCGGTAGACAAGTGTTATACCATTAAATTTAAAGATGTTTAGAGGCAAAGAGTTCAGTTTGGCGACCGAATGGCTTTGAAGAAAAAGTCTTTTAGGTCTTGGTTTATAAGCCTCGTCTATGTGGATGTGGGGGAAGGGGGGTTATCGGGGGAAGGAGATTTTGAAGCTTCGAAGCTTCCAATTGATTGACACATAGGTAACACAATACACATTCAAACCGCTAACGTTTATAAACTACTGCTTGGGAAAGCAAACTCAAAATGAGGCGATTTGGTATGGAAATCTGCACCACAACCGTGAGTAAGCCTGAAAATCAGGGTTTACAATTTCTATTGATAGGGTTGCAAAATCAGGGAAAAAGGCCTTATTTCATTCGTTTTTAGCTGGAAAAATGTTTGTTCAGTTAAGAAATTCGATTCTTTATCATTTACAGCAAATGTAGAAGAGCGCACAATTTGATTAGATTTTTTATTTCCACTCAGACCAGCAAGCACAAAGCAAAATCATTTTGTAACCAGCAGTCTCCTCTTCGAGACAGCCGAACAAATGAAAATTGGGTAACATAATTTATCAAAGTCATGGAAATGGGGAGATAAAAGTTGACTTGTATCCCCTTAATAAGCTCTTTTTCTCCCCTTTAGTGCCATGTATTTGTCGCATCATTTGTTTCTGTTCCGCCTTTTTATCATGTCCACCTTTCAAATGTTTTACATCTTGCGAGGTTGATTCTGTAGATGTGCTGTGTACGTTGTTGGGCCCGACTTACATGACTCCGCTGACCACGTGCTATGCAGGACTCTATACCTCAATAAGAATTGAAAGAGTTAATAATCAGTCAATTATTTTCGTCTTTATTCTCCCTAATATAAAGGTAAATCGTTTATCCTTCAGGAAGAAAGGAACAAAAAGAATCCAATCACTTGCTGTATACATGACAGCGTGCTTGAAACAAGAACAAGAAATTTAGGGTAATTTTGTATTATGAGACGAGTTGATAACCTAAATTGGCCACTGTAAAGAGTTTAAAAGCTAAAGTTTTGAACGTTAGACCTTGGAATTGTGGGTTGTGTGTGGGTTCGTATACAGAAAGTGAAGTTACGCTATCGGTGGAAATACGGTGACGAAAAAAACAATAATTAAATAGTTCAATGGAAAGCGCTTTTTGATATCGTGGGGATTAGGAGCGCCGATATGAAAGATCAATTTTTGTTCTTCAATTTTGCTGCTTTCCGAACTGCCTAGATGTAAGGAAAGACCGTAAACTGACATACGCTGCTTATGCAGATAAAAGTGTCTAGCTAACGACTGGTTTGGATACCTCCTTGTCATTTCTTTCTACCATTACGACTCCAGCCCGGATTATTTGTGACTTACTGAAATGGGTGACACCGCTGGATTTTTTACCTCGAAGGCTCGGTTTATTCCTTTGGGCATTGCTTTCGGTGGCTGCCGAAAACGTGTCGAATGATTTCGGTTTTATTCGTTTCGAATAAGGTGAGATATTTTGGAAGAAGACCAAAGGAACCGCGGAAGGTACTTCAAAAGACTTGGACAATAGTGTAATTAAGCTACCTTGCGCGAACAGACTTGTGATCTTGTATCCTTTTGTTTACATTGTCTTGAGATGAATGAACTCGAGATCGATAAACTGCAATCATTTGAATGGATTTAGTTTCTATTCACGATGTATTTTTAGCCTTAATATGTTTTTAAGATTAAAGAGCGTCGCAAAAGATTTAAAAATGGATCTTGGACGAGTTGTTGTAATCACTACGAAGAGCAAAAGCGAAAATAGTTTATCATTTCGAGCGCCGATCGTTTTGTTTTGATCCGAATGAGTGCACTTGAATTAAACTACTTATTTATTATGTAAATATTGCGTGTCATAAATAGTGCTCGTGTTCGCGCGCTGGCGGTTCATTCTTTCACAACTTTCGTCTTGTTCGAATGAACTTGTTGTGATCTGACCGTGTTGTTCGAAGGTGTTCTCGGAATTGGTCACTTAGTCGTCTCCCTTCCAAGAAAGAAGAAGCTTACCTCACTATTAATTAGATACTGATTTGAAAAAATGAGACCTCAAGCTTCTTTACCTTTAATTTTAACTTTAATAATCCGGCTGAATTTACAGTCACAAAAGAAGTGGGTAAATAGTATTTGAAAAACTTAAGATAGAGATGGGCTAACGACATAACATCTTACACCTGTCCCCGTTTCGTTCTTAAGTTCAGACAAGTGTAACACGTAGGAAACAAAAATTCAATTATTTGTGGAATAGATTTGCATCTGTAACCTATATTAATTTTGAAATTGAAATTTTTCTCTCAGTTTGCCAAAGGTGATAACAGTTCATGGCATTTCAATTAATAATTCACGCTATTATCCGGGTAAGGCAACGAATCCGATCCCAACAACACGTCGGCCGACTGTCCATCGACGATTTTTTTCTGTTGTGTTGGGAAATTAACCTATCACAAGGGCAGTTTTACTTTCCCCTTATTACTAATTCAAACTCGCGCAGAAAAACCGGCCATTTTTTTCTCTTTCCTGTGACAAACCTCATAGCTTTCGGGCATTTTTCTTAGTCAGACGCTTCTGATGAGTTTTCACTCTCTACAATTGCTATTCAAAAACTAAGGTTTAACTGGTCTTGACTTGGAAGGTGCTGTTAAGACAAAATATTCCTCGTTGTAACTAAGGATAACCTGCCAAAGAGTGGGAACGAGTATAGGATGATGGCAAGAACAAATATAACGGGAAGTGGAACACCGACGAAAACATTTGATGGATCGGAATGTTCCCCCTTTTGGGTAGGTGAGTTTAAAACACAGTCCATTTCATTCTCAGCAGTCAACATTTTCCTCTCCATCACAGCTACTCTTGGGAATTCTCTTATCCTTGCTGCCCTTCACAAGGAATCTTCCCTCCATCCGCCATCCAAACTCCTGTATCGTTGCCTGGCAACAACTGATCTGTTGGTTGGTGTCGTTAACCATCCTCTCTATGCTACCTATTGGATGTCCGTGGTTCACGAACACTGGAGTCTTTGTCGACACTCATTTAAGTTAACTGGCGTAACAAGCTATGCATTATGTTCAGTGTCATTGTTGACACTAACGGCCATAAGCGTGGACCGACTTCTTGCCATGTTGTTGGGGTTGAGATACAAAGAGATTGTAACTTTGAGGCGCACTTATATCATTTTGGGTATCGTTTGGGTTGTATGTCTAATCACTGGTTTATTCTTTCATCTCAATTACCCTATAGCCGCTTGGGGCAGCCTTATAAGTATATCATTTTGCCTAGTTATCTCAATCGCCTCGTACGCAACGATTTTTCGCGCTCTCAGTCATCATCAGGCTCAAATGCAAGATCATGTTCAAGAACAGTCAAGCCAACCAAATGTACCAAACATGGCGCGATACAGAAAGGCAGTGCACAGTGCACTGTGGGTGCAGTTAGCTTTAGTTGTCTGTTATGTACCCTATTTTACGGTGGAAATTGTGATCTCTCATAGTAAAGAGCGATATCGGAATGGCATCACAATTCAAGGGATGGCAGCTGTCTTAGTGTTCTTTAACTCTACTTTAAACCCGTTCCTTTACTGCTGGAAGATAAGTGAGGTGAGACGAGCAGCGAAGCAGACAATCAGACAAGCAATTTGCCATGCACATATAGAGGTAGACCGATTTAAACGTTGACATATTATTTGAAAAATTATAATTGTTAGGAGACAGGGAAATTTATGCCATATCATGATAAAAAGAGTAAAAATATGAAGAGCGACTTCTGAATAGTATATTGTATTCGAATAATCTAACGAGCAACTAACAAATAAAAAAATATAGTTTGGTGGCCATAACAAAACAATAACATGTCTCTAATTTGCGCATTTGTAATGAGTAGTGAAGCCTATTATTTTGGAATCAGAATGCGCTCAGGATTTTTCTTTGCGCTCAAAACTTGATGAAATATGTCACCTGAGCTCAGAAATATGGTTTAGAAATAACGTACTGTTAACGGAGCCAGCCGCTCGTTTTTGTCATCATTGGGAATTAGCCCTAGTGTTTATAACGAAACTTTCTAAATTAAAGATGCGGACTTTGTTAACATCTATGCAAATACACAGAACGAAATGCTTAGAAAAGAAGTTGATCATCTCTATTTCATAAGAAGTTTTAGTTTAAGACCGACCGTTTGCCTAAGTTAAGCTCGCAAATTATAACAGGAGAAAATTATTATAAGAAATTATAAAAAAAACTCTGACATAGTTGATGAGACTAGCTGCTTTTAAGTATGTTTCTGGCATCAATTAAAAAATTATATCGATAGCAATGCTACAGTTCTCAAAAGCCTATCCATAGATTCTTTGTGCAAATTTAAAAGCACTTTTTTACGAATTTGACTGAATATTTAAGATGTCGTGGCGCTATGACAGGGCATTTAAATACAGCTGGTCTTGTGTTAAACATTCTCTCGTTTTAATGCCGATCGAAAGCAAAAGCTGATAACACGCGCTCAAGAAAACTCAAGATAGCTTGTTGTTATATTAAGAAGGATCGTTAATCACCTCAAGATCACCGTCATGAAATATCACCTATTCGTCTACCCTAGCTATAGTTTCTAACTATCGATGAAAGTTATGTCTCTTTCAATGTGAAAGAGCAATAACACAAACGAATTGATGTTTACTCGGTAAGTTTACCAAACCATAACAATTTTACTACCATTGGCAGTAATGTCGCAATCTGATTGGCCAATTTGCCGTTGTCGAAAAGAGTACAGACAACGCTTCTCGCATCAACGTGTCATGATCTTGATCACGCACTGAAAGGATCGTTTAATTTCACATGGATATTGTGGTTAAAAAAAAGTCGACAGTGGTTTATCGTGGTCTATACTCTTATTGACAACAGTATTCTTCATCGCAGTGATCAAAATTTGTTGCGGAATCACTCGGCTTCACAGACTACGGTCGATTTGATAAATGGAGGGTTTTCGCCAACAGCACTGTTTACCCCTGAAACATAATCTTATGTTCTACATAGCTGAAGATGATTTTCAGAGAAAGAATTGTTCCATGAGAAGGAGAATTTGTATTGTTAATGGTTTTTAAGTAAACTGTTTACTGCTAGATCTATTTTCAGACTTTTTAGGGCATAAAGGCAGAGTACAAGGCATGCAGTTTGATCGGTAGAGAGATCGTCATTATCTCAAAGTTCTAGTCATGTAAGACATGTAGAAACTCAAACATTTTTAGGGGTAACTATGCATCTGTAACCATAAATTAATTTTGAATAGGTTTGTGTAATCTAGTTTTCTATTTTTCCCAATACCGATTAACCTTTTTAAAAAAGGACTTTTACCTTCAACTAAGATAATTCATAACGTCCTTAGTTTGCGTATGTCATATTAAAAGTCGACAAACCACCTTATGAATAAAATATTACTTGAGTAAACAGAGTTTTTTGTTGTCGAACTGTGAAATAATTCTATCATAAATGCAAATTTCCTTGCCGCTTATTGCTAATTTAAATTTGAAGAAAAACCTGGCCTTAATTATATTTTTTCGTGTGACACACCAGACGGCTTGTTTGGGCATTTTGCATAGTCAAACACTACTAATAAAGTTTTTATGTAGTTTTCAATTACAAGGTGAGGTTTGACTGATTTTGACTTCGCTGCTGCTGTTAAGACCTAATATTTCTGGTTGTCACCATGGATAATCTGCAAAAGAAATGGAAACAGCAAAAAAATTGTTTCCTATTGCCTTTTGGATACTTCTGGTGTCGCTGGTTTATTCTACATTTAGGCTATACCGACTAGATATGTGGCACGGTCTTATAACTATACGGCCTCACCATGTTACCTATTGGATCTCAATGGTTCACGAACACTGGAGTCTTTGCCGATATTCATTTTACGCAACCGGCGTAACAGGCTATGTGATATATTCAGTGTCTGTCGTCGCTGACGGCCATGAGCGTGGACCGTGCATAGCAGCTTTAACTGTTAACTCGGTAATGTTTTGAAATCAAATAATGACTCGACAAAAAATTTAACTTACCTTACCTAATGGTTTATTAAGCAAACAATGTAGAAAGGTTTCTGCAGCTTTATGCTTTGCGCCTATGAAATGATTGAACATTTTATATTCGGTGGCAAAGCCGTATTGTAGAAAAAAAGGCTAGAGCAGTTTTTCAAAAAAACTAAAAAAAACCTAGGCTAAAGAACACGGTATTTGTGAACATAGACTCATCCGAAGAAAATTTCAAATTACTTTCTCACCGATTGAAATCTGCGTCGCAACCTTTTTGGTTCTTAGTCTGCCCTACGTATGTGATCATAATTCCGTCTGACAAGTCCCGCAATGACAGCATTGGCGTAAGCATTTCGTCATCTGTCAATTGCGAATGTTTTTGAGATGTAAAACACTGATTTTTTCACAATCTATTTTGAAACAATTGTCACAGAGTGTATAAATTTGTCCCCGTTATACGATGTTATACCAAAATGACGTTTGCCAATTTGACGGACGCAGTGAAGCGCTCTGCAAATTTCACAAAATTTATCGTTAGTTTCTGAATTGTGAGTCCCTATTTAACATGGGAGACAATGTGAAGTCTTTAAGAAAAGCCATCGATAACCTTAAGAGGCAGTTGCAAGATTTAACGACAGATTTCCAAACTTTCAAGAATAAGATGGCGGAAAATAATGACGCCACGAGAGCATCTTTCATCTGAAAATGATGTTCAATACCTCAGTGATGGTTACGATGCTCTTGTGCAGTCCAAAACGAATATGGTAGAAGATTTAGAAAATCTATCCTTGCGATTGGTTATATTGACGTAGAATGTCACAGGGATCGACAAAGCCATCGACGAAATGCTGTTCTACAGTTACCAATATAGTATAAAAATTGTCGGTGTCCCACACATTAGTGAGAATGAATTAATCTTCCGAAGAGACTGTATAATTATGTATCAAGTTATTCTTGGTCTTGGGGGCCGAAATACCAATCTCTGACATAGACATAGCACACAGGGTCCCTCAACGAAACAACACGAGCAGCAATGACCGCCGAAGACCTAATCCAATCATTTGCAAATTCACGAGAAGGATGACTCGTGAAAAAGTCTCAGCCGCGAAGAGCAATACCAGTACTCTAACAGTAGATGATTAGGGTCTGCCCGCAGGGCAACCGTTGACCGTATTGCGATTTACAGCCGCTTAGCATCCAAGTCACAGGAGTTGCTGTATGCCGCAAAAGTCCACTAGAAGTCATTCAATTACAAGTGGTGCTGGGCGGAGGGGGCGGCTGTATATCTTTACAAGACAGATACATTTGCATCACTCCTGCTGAGATCAACAAATGATTTGACAAACCTAAGAGCACGTGAATCTTCTCCATCTGGCCATCAATCCAGCGATACCTGAAGCTTGATCTGTAAACAACTCATTCTAAGCAGCTAAGTGCACTTTTAGTTAATTTAGTCCTCGTAATATTGTTATTCCTATAATATGGAAGGTACGAGTAAAGACGCTGATAAATCTAGAAGATCTTTATTGAAGGAACTGCCATATTTTAGCTCCAGAGATTTATCTATGATCCACCGACGATTTAACAATTCTTTCGTGATTCCCTAAAAAATTATGAGAGATTTGGACAAGTTGTCGAGTATTTATGACCTGGATTTGTTTACTCTTAACACCAATATAGATCATAATTTTTCTCCCGTGGGACAGTCTCACATGCGAATACACAGCCGATATTTTCCCCGCATGGTTTTAGGGAAATGAAAACCAAGCAATTGGAAGATGAAATCAAGACAAGTTTTTCTGTTTTTTACAGCAATGTAGTTCGTTTAAACCGGCACTTCATTTTTGCATGAGCTTGAGTTTCGCTTTAATGTTATTGGTGCCACTGAGACAAAAATTATCAATTTCAATTTTTACACATGCAATGCAAATATTCCAGGCTATGTTTTCCAATGTGCTCCCACTTCTCTAGAGTGTTGGGTTGTTCATTGACGAGACATTAAGCTATTGTGTTTCAGAAAAGATCTCGAATGAAGCCTTTTAGTTGCTGTGGATTGAGATTTCTTTTATCAAAAAGAAAAGCGTTATTTGCTGCATCTTATACAGGCAGCATAATTCACCTAAACGCTTTCAGCAATATTTTGATGAAACAATTGAAAATTTGACTTCTTCGGGAAAACACGTTGTAATCATGGGTGATTTCAGCATACATCTTCTTAAATGAGACACGTCCTCTTATAGCCATGACTTTATGTCTTCTCTTCAAAGCTGTTATCTAATCTCCACAATTGACAAACCAGCCCGGGCTCGTAGCTCTTCTGCTACTCTTATCGATGATATCTTTATTAACAATCCTGACCAAGTTGTGACCTGCGGAAACATAGTATCGGATATTAGTGATCATTTCTCGCAACCATTTAAAATTTTTTGACTCTAACTTGACTAATATGAGAAAAACGTGGGGATGAATTAATAGCATACTTGCACGCAAATCAAAGAAAAGTAAATCCATCACTTCCATTAAAGATCCTTCGGATTCTGACAAAGTTATCAGAGACCCTATCAGTATAGCTAATGTTCTCAACAAACATTTTGCCTCTGTTGAACCAACTCTAGCAAATAACCTGCCACCCGCTAAGCGCCATTATGTTGACTTTCTTAAGTGAACTAAATCAACTGATTCGTCGTTCGCTTTTAACTTAGTTACTTGGAATTTCTTGCATACCAAAAAATAAATCTCATGGCTTATACTCTTGTAAGACACAGATATTAAAGTGCTCTTTAAATCTTATAAGTGGCATTCTGGCGGATATTCTAAATACATCTATTTCAACTGGAGTTCATCACTCTTACTAACATTGAAGCTAAAAATGGCAAAGATTATTCCGATTTTCAAACAAGATGATGATACAACGTTAACAATTATAGGCCGATCGCTCTGCTTTCTAATTTCAACGGGATCTTTAAAAAAATATTGTTTGAAAGAATTGAGTCTTTTATTGAACAGAAGAATCTGCTCACTCCATCCCAATATGGCTTTCGCAAGGCACATTCTACTCAGCATGCAGCCCAGATATTGTGAATGCAATACAGACAAATATGAACAACCGTTTATTCTCATGTGGGATTTTCATTGATCTGAAAAAGGCTTTTGACACTGTAGATCACGAAATTCTTTAGCGCAAGTTAGATCACTATGGTTTTCGCGGCATTATAAACATCTGGTTTTCTTCCTACTTGCAAGGGCGAACTCAAACAACTCAAATTGGTCCTCATATTTCTGAAAGGTTAGATTCTACCTGTAGAGTGCCTCAGGGTTCTGTTCTAGGCCCACTGCTTTTTTTGCTATATATGAATGACATACAGGAATCATCAGATAAGCTTAGTTTTTACCTTTTTGCGGATGATACAAATATCCTTTTTGCTAATAAAAATCTGAAATCGTTTGAATTCGACGTAAATCACAAACTTAACAAAGTATATGATGGGTTAATTGCAAACAAATTGACCTTGAATATTAAAAAAAGTAATTTCGTAATACTTTGCCCTGCCCAAAGGAAACTTTCTTATCAACCTAAAATCGTGATGTTTGATAACAAACAGAACATGAAGGTGGCTCCGGAGCATAAAGATTATGTCAAATACCTCAGGATTTTAATTGATAAAAATTTGTCTTGGAAACACCATATTGACCATATAATCAATAAAGTAAGCTGAACCGTAGGATTAATCGCAAAATTACGACACTTTCTGCCAACGCATATCCTCTAAAATATATATATACCGACGCATACCCTCTTAAATAAATATATACCAAGTTCTTATAGCCCCTTACTTAAAATACGTTCTGACAGTATGGGGCCAGGCTTGTAAATCGTACCTTGACAAGCTCCCAAAGTTGCAGAAATGAGGTCTTTGCTTTATCTACTTTTCTGATCATAATGAGCATGCAATTCCTTAATTTGTTGACGCTCATATCTTACCGCTAAAATTTGTTCATTATGAATCTATAGCTAATTTGATGTTTGACGTTCGAAACAGAACAGCTCCATCCAATATTCAAGATCTATTTCAAGATATATCTAATGTTCATTCTTACAATACACATTCTTCTGCCTCTAATAACTTCTATACCAAACCTTCTAGATTATCCGTTTAAGCGAATTCCTTCTCTCGAATAGGAGTTAAAGTGTGGAATGCAATACCTCAAGCATTAAGAAATCTTTTCCGCTTGAAATAATTTAATTTCGAAAGCTTGCATTTCTCTTCAGTAAAAATACTTCGTGAATAAAATTAATTTTCACCATGTGCTAAACCTTCAAATGGATTAAGCTTTTGGTGGTTGAATTTCGAAACGATGTTCTCAATATTACTGTAAAAATTTGTTTGGGCAAATCATCGAGAGCGATACAAAAGCTTTTCAAAGTCCGTTAAAATGCAGTTATTTGACCTTTTGCGGTCAACATTCCAGTCGCGAGTCACACACATTTTAATATGTTTCAACCCATATGAGGCCGAAAAATGTACATAGAAAGATAATTCCAAATGCTCTAACCTCATTTGCCGCAGAAGACTGATCCAGAGACCATTTTAGTGTGATTCTCTTGTCGTTCGCCGTATTTAGGTCTGTATAAGTGATAACGTCCGATGAAACCACCAACCCTGTCGAACACCATCTTGTTGTCAAACGTTCGATATCTTTCTTCACTGTGGCATCTTATTCAACGGTTCAGTTGACTGCGAGTATTGCTCAGTTTACAATGCACTAAAAAATTACATCTGACAGTCTCATTCAATGCTAAACTGAGTTGAATACAAACATGTACGCTCTTTGAGTATTTGGGTTGTCACGCAATACCGGTGACAAAGGAACTTTAGGGGGTAGGTGAAGGGCATAACTCCATATAATTAAGCACTATCGGAATAGAACTCTTGGAACCTACAAATTATTTTATTCTGTAAACATTTTTGTAATAGTGTCATCTTTGTCTGGCGACAAACAGTAAAATACATTTATTAATTACAGGGAATTATTCTTGTTTTTTTGGCGCTCTGTGCTTGTCGTACTTATTAGGGGTGTTTTTCTTTCCACTAAAATTGCAAGGAATACCCTAATAGCATGAAAGAGAACCTTTTGTACATTTTTATAACACCATGCTACAAAACGCAGTGGTGGGGATGTGTGGCTTATGTGAGGCTGGGGTGCTATGCTCCGTGGCCAATGTGTGGGGATTGCATAAGGGAGTATTATTATTAACCGCAACAGAGGGGCCGACATATGTGCGCTCGGCACAAAATAAGGTCGATCTCATCTTCAGGACCGGTAAATTTGAAAGCCGACTCATGACTTGCGATATTCTTGGTGCATGAAAGTAAAGAAACAATTTCCGTTTCACGCATTTGATCTCTAGTGCTGTAACCAAAAACTCCGCCAATAAGCAACTTAAACGAACAACAACCTTTCATTTTTTATGTAACAAAGTTGACTGTGTAAGTTAGTGTATTTGTGAAAAACAAAGTCCGAAGTCCCGCCTCAAAGCGAACAATTGGCATCGTGTAATTACCATAAACCAGGTTTTGTTTACTTAGGCTTACTATTTTTAGCAGGTACTAAATTTAGCTTTCCAACGAGTATTGGCCAAAGGCCCGATCTCCGCGACTTACATGTAAGAGATTTCGATGTTCACAACAACAAAAAAGCTTAGCAGCAGAGTGACGTCTTTTTACTTTCCACTTCCCCTACCCCCTAAAAAATAACTTTCCATTGTATGATTTGCATTGCGTGACGACTCTCCGTATACAAAACTACGTTGGCTGCAACGTGTAGTGCAATGTGTAATGCCACTTTTAAAAGCATCGATCAGATCTACTGCACCACAAACCGAACAACACTCACAGTCAACTGAACCGCTGGATAAGATGCCACAGTGCAGAAAGGTGTTAAACGTGTTACAACGGTTGGTGACAGTTTGCAGGTTGACAGGCAGTTTCATCGGATGTTATAAATACGACGAGCGACAAGATAACCAAAGTAAAATAGTCTTTGGATCTCTCTTCTACGGCAAATGAGGTTAGAGCATTTGGAAATATGTACCCATTTACATTTTCAGGCCTCATATGGGTTGAATCATATTAAAGTGGGTGTGTGACTCGCAACTGGAATGTTGATCGCGAAAGGTCAAATAACTGCATTTTAACGGACTTTAAAAAGCTTTCGTATCGCTCTCAATCATTTGCCCAAAGAAATTTTCATAGTAATATTGAGAACATCTTTTCGTAATTCTACCGCCCAAAGCTTAATCCATTTGAAGGTTTAGCACATGCTGAAAATTAACTTTACTCACAAAGTACTTTTACTGAAGAGAAATGTATGCTTCCGAAATTAACTTATTTTACACGCAAAGAGAACGCAGTGTTTACAAAAATCGTTTTGTGAGGTCTTATGAGGTTGAAAAAGAAGATTTGAGTGTTAAAAAGACGAGATTGTGATTCGTTTTTGAATGCGAAGCCCTCAAACTTGTGCAATAATTTGCAGCTAAAAATGACGATTTTAACGGAATTTTTTTATTTGTATTTTTCTCTGAAATAAAAAGGCATTTTGCCAAAAAAAGTATCCAGTAATTTTAGTTATAGTCTAGCCTATCTAATATTAAAATAAGAGAGAAATCGAATTTTTCACCCTTGCCGCGAAATTTAGAATTTGTCTGATTTTTACAGACAAGCGCTCTTAAAAATATTCCTTTATTTACTTTTTCTTGTTGAGTCATGAGCTAAGCAAGGCAAGCCAAGCTGAAACTGAACTTTTGATAGAATATGATGAATTGATATAGAGTGTCCCAGACTGTTAGCATGTCTCTATAAGCAGAGTTCATATTTAGCTACTGTTGTTATCACTAGCCTTTTCCAGGCGTTCATTTAGTAAAACGGAGCGAAGTGGTACACGATACGATGGTAGCGGTGGAGTGATAAAACGGGGGAGTTTTGTCTCGGTTTGGGTCGGGTCAGGTGAACGCCCCTGTTTACCCCACTAGACCCAAGCCTAACTCTTTTTTCGGTTCGCCCTGAGTATCGCGCCCTCTACTGAGCACCTCGTTTTACTCGCTGTACGCCTCAAACAGGCTGTGTTATCACTCGATAAGCTGTCAAAAAAGGGGCTCTTATGCAGAATACAAGAGACTGCTACACATATTTTCTTCGAGTCAGCAGTGGAGCCGCTTATTACGAAAGAGGAATCGAGACACAAAATAAATGTAATCACCTCTCGCATACATAACAACTTAAATTGTTACAACGGAAATGTTCTACAATCAATTAATGACTCAACAAAAAAAATTAAAAGTTTATCTTAATAAATGGTTTATTAAGCAAACAATGTAAAAAGGTTTCTGTAGCTGTATGCTTTGCGCCTATGACCGTATTGTAGAAAAAAAAAGCTCTTACAAGTGTAGTTTTTCAAAATAACTAAAACAAAACCTTGGCTGAAATAACATGGTATTGGTGATCATAGGCTCATCCAACTGCTTCCTGACCAAGTAACATCTGCGCTGCAATCTTTTTGCTTTTTCGAGTGTTCCGTACGCATGTGATCATGATTCTGGTATGTCCCGATATCACAGCATTAACATAAGCACTTCATCATGTGTCAATAGCTTTCAGTAAAGGTTTTCCTTATCAAACACTGATGTTTTCACATTTTTTTTTTTGAAACAATGGTCACAGAGAATATAAATTTGTCCCCTTTATATGGTGCCATATCCAAAATGTCGTTTAGTTTATCAATTAAAAGTAGGAAACTTCCGCCTTAAAACCAGACATAATTTGCATTCACAATGTCTCCCGTTAGAGGAGCATTGAATTATTTATGATCTTTTGACCAACATTTCCACCCTTTAAAATGAGCGACACGTAGAGACCAAAAATTTTAATATTTCTAGAGCAACTTTGCATCCCTAATCGACACAGATTTTGAGATTGGACTTTTTCTCTAAGTTTTCCTAAGCTGGTAACGATTCGTGGCGTCCCAAGATGTCGGCCGATGCATTGAACAAGGTGTCGGCCAACGGCAATCGATCGACTAAAGACCAACTGTCGGTCGACTTTCGATATCCTATCACTGAATGTTCATTTGAGTAAAGAAGTTTTTTGTTTTTTTTTATTTATTTTATTTTTTTTATCACAAATGTAGGTTTACTTTCCCCTTAATACAATTTTTTTTTTCATGTGACAAACCTCACAGCTTTCGGACATTTTACAAAGTCAGAAGCTAGTGATGAATTTTTACTCTGTGATTGTTATTCAAAAATTAAGGTTTAACAGGCCTTGACTTAAAGGGTGCTGTTAAGACGAAATATTCCTCGTTTTAACTAAGAATAACCAGCAAGAGAGTGGAAACGACGGCAGGATGATGGCGACAACAAATCTAACGGAAAGGGAAACACATACGCAAGCATTTGCAGAATCGCTATGTTCCCCAGTTTGGGTGGGTGAGTTTAAACAACAATCACTTTCATTCTCAGCAGTCAACATTCTCCTCTCCATCACAGCAACTCCTGGGAATTCTCTTATCCTTGTTGCCCTTCACAAGGAATCTTCCCTCCATCCGCCATCCAAACTCTTATATCGTTGTCTAGCAACCACAGATCTGTTGGTTGGTCTTGTTATCCAGCCTCTCTTTGCAACTTACTGGATGTCCTTGGTTAAAGATTACTGGAGTCTTTGTCGATACGCGAGGGACGTAGGCTACATAGCAGGCTTTACATTGTGTGGAGTTTCTCTCTTTACAATGGCGGCCATAAGCGTGGACCGACTTCTCGCCATGTTGTTGGGACAGAGATACAAAGAGATTGTAACTTTGAGGCACACGTATATCATGTTAGCTATCGTTTGGGTTGTATGTCTAGTCGCTGGTTTATTCACTCATCTCAATTACCGTATAGCCCTTTGGTGCAGCCTTATATATACACCATCTTGCCTGTTGATTTCAATCGCCTCCTACACAAAGATTTTCCGCGCTCTCAATCATCATCAGGCTCAAATACAAGGCTATGTTCAACAACAGCCGAGCCAACCGAATGCACTGAGCATTGCGCAATACAGAAAGGCAGTCTACAATGCACTGTGGGTGCAGTTAGCTTTAGTTGTCTGTTATGTACCACTTTTTACAGTGAAAATTGTAATCTTTTTTAGTTCAAAGAGATTTTCGAATTTGTTCTTAATCTACGGAATGCCAATTGTCCTAATGTTCTTTAACTCCACTTTAAACCCGTTCCTTTACTGCTGGAAGATAAGTGAAGTGAAACGAGCAGTAAAGCAGACAATCAGACAAGCAATCTGCTATGTCGAGAGGTAGACCTACTTAACGTTGGAATGTACTTTTTCTTCTTATTTGGAAACTGTGATATCTTTGAGTTTCACCGATTATCGAATGTCATCATAATATGGGGGCATGGCGAATATTTTAGTTTTCTTTAACCCGACTTGAAACCCGTTTCTTTACTGTTAATTTTAAAAGTATTCTTATCACCAAAATCAAATATTTAAGGGGAATACGCGTCTCTATCACAAGCCGTGTACACAAAGCTGGTCTTATAAGAAAACAGTCTCTCATTTCATAAGAATCGAACAGGAAAGCTGCTGACACACGCTCTTGAGTACCTATCACTGCTCTAAATTTAAAAGGTTTGTATGACAGCTCACCACTTCAAGTTATATTTCCGCGCTTCAATTTCATCTGATGGTCAAAAACTGATTTATGTCAATACGATTGTGAAAAAGGGAATGATTATAGTGGAAGGATTAAGACTTTGTTTTAAAAACTATTACGCTCTAACCTCTTTTATGTGGTGTCCTTTAACGCTTTCCTTTCGTCCATAGGACTGTTGTGAATATCACAGAGAGAATATCAGGTTTTATGCAAATTTTTGACCAGTAAATAATATGAAAAAAGATAACGTTGCCATAAATGTCATAAATGAACGTATATCTTTTAGATAAAATGATGTATAAAGGTATAAGATTATTTATCGATCGACTGATTTCCGATCGTGATTGCTAGATGTCGTACACTTATGTTCTAAAATACTCCAGAAAATCTAAAATTTTCCTCTATTTACTTTGTCTTGCTAAGTCATGAGCTAAGCCAGGCAAGCCAAGCTGAAACTGAACTTTAAATAGAATATGTTGAAATAATGTAATGTATCCTAAGCTGTTTAGCATATATCTATAAGTAGAGCTTATATTCAGTTGTTGTTGTTATCACCAGTCTTTTACAGGCGTTCATTCAGTAAAACGGAGCGAAACGTTACACGGCACGATAATAGCCAAGGAGAGGAGAAACGGGGAAGGTTTGGGTCGGTTCGGTTCGGGTCAGGTCGGGTCGGGTGAAAGCCATTCTTTACCCGACTCTATTCAAACCCCCATTTATTTTCGGTCCGCCCTGAGGTTTGCACCGTTTACTGTGCACTTCTTTTACAAGCTGAATTCTTCGAAAAGGCTGTGTTATCACTCGATAAGCTGTGAAAAGGCTGTGATGCAGACTGCAAATGACTACTATAGATATTTTCTTGGAGTCTGTAGTGGAGCCATTTATTTCGAAATAGGAATCGAGAGACAAAATGAATGCATTTTCTCGTCATGGCGACGAGAAAAAATTGAAGTAAAAATAACGGAGTTAAATGAAAAGCACTCGTTGGGGATAAATTAAATACTTACATATTACTGATTATATACCAAATTCCCCCAAACTTTAGCCCTATATGAATAAAATCTTGATAAAAATTAATATCAACCACTGGTGTTGGGATAAAGTACGTACACAAATCTTAAAGGTGGTGTGAGACTTCGGATAACCTTCGCAAAAAGAGCACACCGATTAACTATAAAAAAGTATTTTAGGGTCTAAAAACAATACAAGTTTTTAAGATCTGGGGAATTAATGAGGGCGTACATTCAACTTTGGTATAGTTTTTAAAATCTTAGCTGGCCTTAATTATGTAAGTAAAAGATCGAACGATCCACAGCAATAGCTGATCCCTCGCTTAAGCTCGTTTAGTTATCAAGCTGTTCTCCTGACAGATACGCCTTGATTACAACAAAACCTGGCAGACTCCTCCACTGGTTTTAGCTCAGTGTTGTGCATTTGATGAAACCAGTATTACAATGTTCGTTGATAACGTGGATAAATCAGAGTTTATCGTGTGTCTAATCAAAGCTTAGTTTCTTCAGCCGTTTCAGCTCAGGGCCTGGGTGCCACAAGGCGTGTGCAACACATCATTTCCTTGACTGATAGTTCAGGAGGGCACACACAAAGAGGGTTGGCAGCTGAGTTAAACAGCATCTTCATGTCGACAGTAGTAATATGGACAAAGATGATGTTGAGATTCGAGACGATTCTTAATACGTATTCAACTGACTCTGCTCCCCAACAAATTGCGAACATGACACTGACTGTTGTGACCATCAGAGTGATACGTTTCCGCACCCTCAGCACACCCTGAGAATGGAGAAAGCTCAATTCAGCTCAGCGGTATGTGGAGATCATATTTTAATCTCAAACCGTGACTTCTGTTGGGCCTTATGATAAACCAAATTGTTTGAGGAGGGAGGGAGGGTGTGGCGGTCTACAGGGTCAGTTTGAACCCAATATGCTGCAAAACATGTCATTCTAGATATACATCGAAGGCATCCCTACTGAAGAATTCATTTGACAACTCTGGTCAGTGAATCTAATCCTGAAATGTAAAATTGTCATCCAATTTTCCATATCTACGCACAGAGATTCCTAAAAGTGTCTGAGCTCAAAGACCAGGTTAGAATCGGTTTATATTGCCATTTTGTTTTGGGAAAAATGATGTTGGTCTAAAAACTCACGTGTTGTCTATAGTTCAATGGATTGCCATCATTAGGATCGCACCAGAAGATGAAAAGGACTGTGGCGTGACACGCGTGGCTAGAGTCATGTGATCAGCAAGTCTCACGAACCGTCGAGACTCGTGGCACCCGAGTCATCACAAACACAAACCTGAACTGGACATTATTTATTTTTTTTTTTAAGCTACAACAAAAATTTTTAATGTCCAGTTCAGGTTTGCGTTTGGGACGACTCGGGTGCCACGAGGCACGACAGTTCGTGTGACTTGCTGATCACATGACTATAGTCACGCGTGTCACACCACAATGACCTGAGAGTATAACACGATCATAGTGACAGCAAAAGCTACTTGGTGGAGTACTGCATTGGTATCGCGGAGGTAACGGGTTAAAATCCTGTAAAAGCCTGAATTTGTTTCAGGCCTTATCACCATTGCTTAAGTAGTGTTTATTACTGCGAAGATCGCTTCCATGTTAATTTCTTAAATCGAAGTTCCCATATACGATTTTCATATATTCACAGACAATGTCCCTTGCAGATTTCGAAAAATTTCTTACAAGTTTCGAGTCAATATGGAATATTAAACAACACCTCCATGGTTATCATCTTTCAATGATTCATTACCAAGTTTTATCTTTGTCTTGTATTCCTCGACGATGGCAGGCATATCCACGATTTTGTTATATATGCTTTGACAGTCTAACAGAAGGCGGGTCAATTTGCAGTTTTTAGCTTTCGACTGATGTTTATGTTTGTTGCTGTTTTTGTGGTACGTCTAATGAAAGTTTTGCAGCGGTGTTTCTGAATCAGTTAGCGTTTCCTGTAGTGGTGAAAGCGAGAGAATCGATCGAATCATTAAAACGAGTCAGAGAAGTTGAGGAACTCGCAGTTTGAACATATCTATGAACATATGAATGAACATAGCCAAGTCAATAGCATGGCACTTTACATCGCACTTTGCATGGAACCAGACATCGCACATATCACATTCGATTCCATTTTGGTTACTTTTAACGGGTGTGGTACATACACCGCGAGGATACTTATACTGAAGACCTGAATTGCTTACAATATTTCCACTAAACGAAAATAAGATTAGAAGAAGTTGCCGGAAAGCATCCTTTGAGGACCTAGAAAAGATGGCAGAACGAACAAGGTCACGCCGAGAACGATTTACGGCCGCCTCAAGTCCTGCCTGAATGGTTTGTTTATAGGCCAAAGTTATGTTTAAGCCAAAGTCGATGTACTCTTCTTAAAACCCATGCCAACTTGGTAGTATTGAACTCAAATGTAACTCAAATAGGAGCAAAATAGCCACCAATAAATATAAATAATAAATAAATATAAATAAATATTTATAACCCTATTATGAAGTAAGAACTCGAGGTAGTCATCGTTTCAAATATAGGCAAGGTATGGCGACAAAAAACGTTTATTTTTATTCCTTTCCTCAAAGACCATAAGATTATAGAATGAGCTACCTGCGGAAATAGTTGAGTCAAACTCCTTGGCTGTTTTAACTCTAAGTTACTTTCCTATTTAGTTAACAATCACAAGGCACTTTTATTTTATATTCTCATATTTTATAGTATACAGTCAATAAAGTACTATCCGAGTTTCTTTATTCATTTTATCCGAGTGTTGTATATTTTATATCTTTGTATAATGATAGTTCGTGTGGTGTATTTACAGATTTTACCAACTTAAAGAATCTAGAAGTACATTAAAAATTGAAAATTTACTACTTCAATTGAATATCAAACATGCATCATCACAGAATGTGCACGTACAGATGATTTCCTGGTAATATTTCTTCTCCGTAATTATTACTCGTTTTAAAAGAGAAGAAACGACAGAACAATGACATATTCGGGTAAATATTTAAATTTTTTGCTCAAGATTTCTTAATTTTCAGGATGACTTCTAGGCTGATGTGTACATTTCATATGTCATGTAACAATTGCGAGAAATCCTGAGTATACAAAAGCCACCATAAGTACTCTTCATTAGTTTAATGTACAAATAATCTTTAGCTCTAAGACACTACTCCTTAACACAACTTTCTATTTTCTAATCAATAAAGTCAACTATGCTACCAACTAAAGCTTAGTCTCTATATTGGTATTTTCCTCGATAGTTATAGTCCTTTGCCTAGGTGCTACAGCGCGTGTGCCGCAAATCACTTCCCTGATCTTTTGTCTAAACTGATGGTTCAGGAGGCCATACACCAAAGGGTTGACGGCTGAATTGAACAACACCAATATGTCGACAATGGCAATGTGTACAAACGTGATTTTTAGGGTGGTAGTAGTCCTTAAGACGTATTCAACTGACTCTGCTCCCCAACAAATCGCAAAAATGACACTGACTGTTATGACCATCATGGTGATTCGTTTTCGCACCCTGATCACACCCTGTAAATAAAGAAAACAAAGATAGTCATTTTGATTAAATTTTGACAATCAATCTCTTGATTTATCTTCAAGGCTTCTTTTCAGCAAAATCAAAGCAGGTGTATTTGTTATATATGAGAGAATTCCTACTTTTATTAATTCCGTCCTTTGCTTGACGTTTTCATTTAATCTAGTTTTCGTTCAAAATGATATATATATATCATATTTTCATAGAGGGTGATGTTATAGAAGAATGACTACAATTGGGCTATCGATTATTAAGAGACGCACAGATAGGATTACTGAGATGTGGATCATCTGATTAAAATGAAGAATAAAGCGTTCAAGTTCCCAAATGTGAACAGGTCAGTTATAGCGAATATATATAAAAAAAAACCCGCGTCCGATTGGCTGAAAACGAGTTCGGTTCTTTATATAATACGAATGCAAAGTTGTAACATGAGTGCAAATTACAAATAGCGTGCACGCACTGCTGAAATTTCTTCCGTTAGTGTGAGGGAAATGTCGCGAAAAGTGTTAAAGATGAGAATTTGAAGGTAAAAGAAACCGACGGCGAGAAGCGCAGAAAAACGCAAGTTTCCATGCCGCCATCATTATGCAATGTATTATTAATGAAATACATTTTGACTTACTTGTTGCTTATAGCTTAAAGGAACGCAACTCTTTGGTTTCAACCATAAAGGACGCACGACTTGAGAGTAAAGAGTAATCATCAAACCAACAGCTGCTACAACCAGGAACAACCATGCATAACAATTGGCTGTGGACATCCACTTTTTGGGCCAGCTTAGCACACAGTGGTTTTTTCCATCTTCCCTCTTATAAGTACGGGCAAGAAAGAGAGGTATATTAAAAATCACCGAGAATATCCAAGAACAAAGAAGGATCACCTGGAAAGGTAAGTGGAAGGAAAACATGTAAGTGAGTGGTTTTTTGGGCACGACTAACAACAAAAAAATATATCGTTTCTCAGTTAATATGTCACTTCTTTGCACGCGTGCGCTCTCGCGGCCAAACTGCATTTTCACTTATTATGCGCCACCGACGCCAAATTTCCGGCGCTGTCTCTGTTGAACTGGGAAAATGATTAATTTTATCTCACTTTGACGTGATTTCCTCTTTATTACCCCATGATGATTGCTTTCGTGAAACTAATCACTTTTCATAGCCTGTATAACCATCATCATTTATTCTGCTATTAAGTGGCATTGCCAAGTTTACGAGAACAGCGCAACGATAGTATACGCGAATAAAAAAAAAATAAATACAAAATAAAAACATTTTGTAATAGTACAAAGGTAAATAAAGATGCATAGCAATCACCCTCGTCCAGTGCGCCACCAATTTATACCATAACTCACCTTCAGCTTATGCTTAGTCATTTTTCTATTTGGATCCATTGGATGTACTACAGTATAATATCGTTCCACGGCAATCGTAACCAAAGTAACAACAGAAGAAACTCCAGGAATCCAAGCAAAATTTCCGCCAGTCACCAACTTGCAGAGGATGGAACCTGTTGCTCCCTCTGGGTGGCTCAAATTCAAGCCGAAAATAAGTTTTGGTGCAATAAACGTCGCAAACAGAATATCGGAGACAGCCAGGTTCACGAGTAAATAATTTATGGGAGTCCTTCAGAGTCAAACAAAAGGTAGACATGATGATAATGACGTTGGCAGAATTTTAAAGTATATAATTTATGATCGTAAGCAATAAATCTACAAGCACAGGTCTCAATCTAACTGTATAAAAACGTATCCACTTTACTGTTCGATCGTTACCGGCGACATACCTCATTTGCCGACTTCTCTTGATAATCAAACAAACAACTATATTGCCAGTGACGACCAAAACGACGAGGACCAAGAACACAGTGGTAATCACAATAGAAGAAACCTCGTACTTGACCATCGTGACTCAAGAGTTAGTTCTCTGCCAAAAAAATTATCATCAAATGTAAAACGGACGCTGATTTAGCACTTTGCAAACAACCCGCATATTTTTCTTCTAAAGTTGGTGCCATTTCGAGAATGAACACGATCACTTCGCTATAGATGAGGACGGTCTGAGAAATGGAAACCTTTCAACTTCCGAGTTTCAACTAAATATCAAGTGGAAATAGAAAAAGTACAAAATAATTAACGAGAAAAAGAGACTCATTCCGCGGTTCTTTATTGAAGTCAACATTTGCTATGCTTTTACCCGTTTTTTTGTCCAATTTTTCCCAATAAAAACACAGCTGATCTAAGTTCTGTTCACTTATCACAACGTTTTAACCATATCATTGAATAACAATAGGAACGTCTTACCTGTTAAATATCGAGATAGAGTAGTCTTAAAACCAAATAATTCAGACAAATCCGTTAAGGATCCAGCCAATTCGACGATGTCTTCCACTTCCCAAAAAAATGGCTTGTGGCCAAATAACGGGGAATTAATTTAACCCTTTTATACGAACAACATCGTGCAATACCAATTTACGCCTAGCTCAGACGCGTTGACTATAAAAACATGAATAAGATTAATGAAAGTATACTGACAAGAATCTACGCTTGATAATACGTTTAAAACGGGCCAAGCCGTTGATATGTGGGTTACAATGTTGAACAAAGAGGGGCCATTACAAAAAATTGCTATCTGGACTTGCACGTTTAGATTGCGACGATGACAACTTCTCAGAAAGATCGGAAACGATTTGAAAATTTATCCAACTGCATGTGTAAATTTTCGCAGAGAAAGTTGACAATTACTGTTCTCAAAACAAGGTGATTTGATAAGGCGCGCAAAAGTAGGTATCATTAATCCAACTAGGTGTCTTTACCGTAATTTCATGACTGATTAGCAAATTAACTATCCTTCTTTATATCAATATCTTAGATGCTTCATGCAAAACAACAATAAGGTAATTTAAAAAAAGAGCGTGGGGACGAATATAGATATTGCCGACATGTTAAGAGAGCAGAATTAAGCACATGCCGAATCAAGAGCGAGGAGGTGTAGCACTTACCTGATCTAGAGTAAACTTAAGGGAGAGAACACCACATGGCTGAAGCGTTAGAGATCATGCAATGGAAAGTCTTGCTTAGTAGACTAATTGTTTACCATTTGCGTTTATTTTATTCTCAAAAATAGACAGTCATGGTTACTAATGACGTAAACTTTAAAATTAATGCAATCAGCTGGTGGTACTCTTATACATTATCTCATGCAATATGTCAAAGCGAGTGTACTTTACATGACCCAGACACAGATCTTTGAGAAAGTTTGAAAAAAGCTGAATATTCTATTTACGAAGTGATTTGCTGACAAGATTTTACAAGGTGCATTAAAAGCGAACCATTGCTCCTGTCAACGTAGACGTTTCGTGCATTAACAATTCAACTTAAGTTGACAGTCGCACGACAGTTATAATTAAAAAGGGAAAGAAACGTCACCGAAGGGTAGGCGAAAAACGAAATGCTGTCCAACATCTCAATTTTTTTTCCGTAACTTAGCAGACGAGGACTGAAGCCAGAGTAAGTTTCAAAAACCTATCTTAAGAGAACGCTTATGCGGCCTTCCTGGCGTACGCCAATAGATTGTAGGTTTTAATAATTATAAATAGAGTAATAAAAACAAAGTTAGATTTTCAACCCAACTATCATATCGTCAGCCGCTTATGCCATTTGTTGGTTTAAAAAGGAATCTTAAGCCTTTTTCTCTTGCAAAGGCTGTTTTCTTGCGAAGGCTGTTGCTTAAAATATTAATACGATAATAAAAGATATGGTTGGAGACAGGTTACCTGCATTTTAGTATTGCGTTTTGCGGTTAAACATCCCTCATCTTTCGGATTATTTCTCAGCCGCGGACATTATAAACGGTAGTTTAATTCAAAAGGAACAACGCTTCAGAACTTCAGAATTTTTTTCTCCAAATCGGGTTAATTTTCAAAGTTATGTGGCTTTAGTAATCATTTTACCTAACTTTGTCTCTTAAGGTTACTTCCCATCTTCAGAGGCCGAAAAATTCGGCTTTTCGATTTACTTGGATGAACTGAATTCAAACATTCAACCTGACGTTTCTATTGGAAAAAAAAAGAAAAAAGAAACCGAGTTTTTTTCAAACAAAAGTAAGTAAATCAGAAAGGTGTCATGATCTCGGACCTGGCGGAATTTTCGCGGCAACCGCTCATGTTGAGGCTCGATTTTTGTGTTATTTCCATATTTTGTTTACATCGCGCACTTTATACAATTCACACGAGGAATTTTTTGCTTTTGAAAAAATCTTTCCTATGGAAAAATCAAAGGCAGAAGAAAGTACTTGGTAAAAAAAAGAAAAAAAGAAAAAGAAAAAAAAAAACAGGCCCAAGGGAGAGCTTGCGGAGCTCCACTTTGGCGTCCAAATTTCGAACAATGATGTCGCTGTCAAACCAAAATTTGCCATACATAATTAATGTTAAAAACGGGTTTCCTTACTTTTATGCAATACTTGATATGAATTGTTATTTTGAAAGCTGTGTGTCGATTCATTGTCTTTTCCTCAGCAAATTTTCCAGTTTTTCCATTTTTGCCACCGATTTTTCCTTTGCCTTTGACAACTTTGCTCATTGATGTGTTATCTTCCTCAACGCCCCACTGAGCGATTGAGATGAAAAAACAAAACAAAACACACACACACGAAAAAAAATCGTGTCTGCAATAGGTTTATTGTCCCAGCTTCAGGAAATCTTGGTTCATCGTCATTGACACCAGAAGGTCCTGTTGTCCCATTGGTGTGCGGTTTCAAGAGGCGAGATAATCTCCTGGCGTGGCGCTAGTTGTTTGTGAACCTTTATGAGCTAAAATATCTTGTTTGATCTTGGGAGGAATACAACCACTTCAAATGAATTTATAGGGTATATAGATTTCTCCGATTTTCGAAAGCGTGTTAGGAAATTTTGATATTTGAAATATTTTTACGCAACACACCTCGCATGTTTTTAGCTACTCCAAATTGAGATGCCGATATCTAAGCAACCAAGAAGTATATCGAAAAGCCTGATATACTTTAATTGATTGATGCCTTGTAAATAAGACTGCCAGCCATTTTGCTCGTGCTGCAGCATCCAATAAATTCATCCGATAAATTCAACAGAAGAACCCTCGCTTTTTTCACGCCTTACTGACTCCTGACACTTCCTTAAAAGAAGAGTTGCTTAAATTATATTTTCATCGTAGACTTCAGCCATTAAGGTTTATTCGGATATACAGTTTGTTAGGATGTTAGTGAAACTAGTGCGCTTGCGAACTTTTTCCAGAAGGACACCGCGAAGGTGGGAAGTAACCTTAAAAATTTGTGTTCAAGCTGTGAATATCAAGCCAGTTAACAACTTGCGTCGCGTTCCAATCGAATTTTTTTTACATTCATCGAGGAAATATTGCGAATTACTGATGAGAAAATGCTGCAAGTTAGTAAGCTTAATCTTCACAAATATGTCTATCGATAAAACCATTGTAGTAGGCTTATAGTGGTAATCTACCTCAGTGAGTTTCGTTTACTAAATTCTCTTTATTTTCCAGTTATTGGGAACTTCCATTTTCCATTTAACACCATCGAATGTGTTCCCAGAAAAAAAAATATTGGAAAATTATTGCTAAAAAATCATCAAGGAAGGACAACTAGTTATTAATTTTAAAATTTTGCCAAAGCTGTGAACCTAGAATTGATGTTAAAAAGATCTTGTGATCCTTTACAAGGTTTAGTTTCCACACCGTGTGACGGTAACAGCAGAAACATTTGTTTTACTTTACATAAGAAAACAATTGAGACAGTTAACAAGAAAAGGATGTTTGAAGTTTTTACACTTAACTAAGGTGCTGGAGGCCCGCGATGTCATCCGATACAGCTCAGCAGTAACAGCAGACAATGAAATAAGATAAGGAGAAAAGAGATGGAAAGAAGCTAAAGGAAGAGAAGAAGCACTTCTTTAGTTGTCAAATAACCAACTCGCTCCATTCAGTCTATAACAAACAAGAAGAGGACGAATGTGGTGTGAGATTGACGCAAAAAAGAGCTTCAACCGTTTAATTTGGGGAGTGATGATCGCTTACAAACCTGAACCAAAAGAATACGGACTAGCTTACAAATGAGTAAAACAACTGCAAAATAATTTGTTTTTAAGTTGACCGTATCTACCTTATGATCGATCTAACTTATGTCGATACACTGTTCCTTTTACCTTTAGAAATGCTATGGCACTCGTCAAAATGACGCCGGTTTTCGAATCCTCAGCACACTCTGGAAATAAAAAAAAGAAATAACCATTCCAGTCATCAATTGCGCTTTTATAAGATAGCCATTAAAAGGAAAACAACAATATTCTCTATAATTCCTTCAAGGTTTCATTTTTTGTGAAAAATTTTGCCTTAATATTGAGAAAATAAGAAGATGGAAAGTGACAAGAGGGGAGAATTTTATCTGTTTTATTTTTTTAATTTTTTTTCCCTTTAACTTGTCTTTTGACTGTTATGTGAAAAGCTTTACCAAGCATTTGTTCACAAACTACGCAAGATTAAGTAGATTTACTTTCAAGCTGAACGTTTACCAACGATTCTTCCTCTTTAATTTCTTTGCTTATTTCTGTCTACCCACAGATGAAAAAAGTGAGGTATCTACGTTTGATAAAAAAGTTTCCTTGTGTAAAACATGACTAAAAGCTGAGGGGAACTATTCTCTTGCCAAGGCTCTGCCAGCGAAAAAGCTTAATATAAGGTATGCACTATGTGTTAAAAAAAAAAAACAAAACAAAAACAAAAAAACAGAAATATGCAATAAGAAATTACTTGCTGTTGACAGTTTAATGGATTGTTGCCATTACGCTTAAACCACATTGTGTAGATTGTTTTCTATTTCAGTCAAGCGGATAAACCACTGTGAAATATCTCTCAAAGGAGATCGCCACCAAAGTAACAACTAAATTAATTCCGGGAATCCAAGCCAGCTTCCCACCGGTCAGCAGTTTACAAAGGACTAAACCTGCTACTCCATTTCACTTCCTTAGATTGAGGCTGACGATAACCTTTGGTGTAATGAAGGTTGCGAACAGAATATTGGAGAAAGCCAGGTTCACAGGCAGGTAATTGATGGTGATTCTTTAAAGCAAAAGAGCGTGTTCAAAAAGCTATACATACGAGAGTTTTAATTCTTAATGAAACGAAAGTACATGGATGGAACTGTGCGAGAGACGACCTCTCAACCTTTATTTCTAAAATTTAGGTGTAAATGAACTTGTTTCATGATTTTCACATCCTGCACATACCTCGTTTGAAGATTCCTTTTGATAATCAAACAAACAAGTATATTGTCGGCGATGTCAATATCGACAAGTAGTAAGAGGACGGTAGTGATCACTACATGAGTTGATTCAAACTCCATGACCATCCTGTTATCGAAAAAAAAAAAGGCTTACGACTCCTACACTTATTTTTTTAAGCTTAAGGAAAGGTCGACATAACAGGAGGAGCCCAAGAAATGGACTCTATCTGAGTTTAAATATCGAGAAGTTATAATCATTTTCGCATGAAATTGAGACTTAATTACAAAGTGTTGTTTTAAGTAGACATATGAAAAGCATTTAGTGTAAACATGTCACGAAAAGTTTGCATTAAATGTAAACTCGCACACTTCCATTAAAAAATTAACATTTGTGACAAACAAGGATTACAGTGCGATATTGCCCGGTTCACTTCTATCGGACAAAAAAGCCATAGAATTGCCTTGTTATTGAAATTTCTGTGTTTAAAATAGTACGCTGTATTAAAACAATTATCAAAACCAGATCACACCTTTCCGCTCAAAATTTGAATTTTGTATGAATAAACTAAACCGTCTGCATAGAATCAACAAACTAAAGTTATTCAACGCTTTTTTTTCCCTTTTTTTTATTTTCAATGATAAAAGCAAGGACATCAAAAGCATTTACAAAAGAAGTGGATATGAATTATTTTTAATTTTCAGCGTCATACACCAATCGGCTCTATTGGAAACACTTATGACTTAAACCGTGGGAAATAGTTTTCCAACGATACAACACCTGCTTCTCGCAAACATTTCAGGGAAAGTTTACTCGCGATACCCTCAGATTATTACAACGATGAACTAACTAATAGAAGATTATTTTCCGCAAACTTAAGAAGAACAAAAAAGTTTACAAAGTAATGATAAGGTCAAGACTGGTTATTTTTTTTGATAATTGGACTTCCGTTCACTAAAAAGCAGAAACCTGTACATTCTTCGAAAAAATGTTTTTTGTTTTGTTTTGTTTTGTTTTGTTTTTTTTTTTTCTTTTCTGTTTGTTTGTTTGATTGTTTGTTTCTTTAAAGCGCACTGATGAAGGACAGTCATAAATGTTATACCAACTCAAAGGAGAACACGATTAGTTTGATCGGCTTTAACTTGACGAAAATCAGAAACAGAGAACTGAAAAATTAAATTTTTGATAATCATGTATATATTAATTTTCGCGGCCCTAGCAAAATATCCGAATATGTTCAGGTTACTGATGAGTGAACATATGTCTAAAGGGAGTTAGTTTCTAAAAACTTTCGTGTTGCGTCAATGAGAGAGCATAATGGGGTAATTTAGTATTACTAACTGAGTTGATTGACCACTGTAAAGAGTTTAAAAGCGTTCTTCCTCAGCACGTCACTTACCACGAGTTTGCGTTCAGACAGATTTCCTTTGTTGCTGAGAGGATACATCACCGCATAGTAACGTTCGATCGAAATATTTACCGAAGTAAACACGGGAGATACCGTTCCTATTCACGCGAAGTTCCCACCAGTTAACAACTTGCATAAAACTTTACCAGTAACTCCGCCAGGATGGGTGAATGTCTGACTCAAGATGTACTGCGAGGCGATAAACGTAGGAAACATGATATCTGCCTTAGCCAAGTTCACAAAAAGATAGTTGATGGAAACTCTGAGGAGGTGAAGAAATAAATCAAAAGCAATTGACTCTTTTGTCTTCTGTAAGTTGACCATAGGTCTAATGATGTTAGAAAGAGCTGGAACATCATAAACAAACGTTTAATTTAGAAGCAAATAAAACATTGATTTTGGTTCACGGGTTATGCCCGCCTCATACCTCAATGCTTTAGTATGACACTACAGACCATTGAGTTTCCCATGATTCCCACGAAAATCAGAACAGAGAGCACTGTAGTCGTGAAAACACCAGCTGAATCTGCTATTGTGGTTCTTGAACTAAAAGCCAGCTCAGCCTAAAAGTTAAACATTAATAGGTATTTTGAAATAACTATCAAGTAGCTGTTTCTATATCGTTCCAATTTTTTCGAAAAACGTGAATCGATGAGACCATGTGGAGTACAAAAATTCCCCCTGCTGGTTTGTCTTGTTACCCAGCCTCTTTATGCTACTTATTGGATAGTTCACGAATGCACTGAACATGGCGCGATACAGAAAAGCAGTGTACAATGCACTGTGGGTGCAGTTAGCTTTAGTTGTATGTTATGTACTACTTTTTATGATAAAAATTGTGATCGTTCTTAGTACAAAGCGATTTTCGAATTTGTTCATATTCCTGGGAATGGCAAATGTCTTAGTGTTTTTTTAAATCTACTTTAAACCCGTTCCTTTACTGCTGGAAGATAAGTGAAGTGAGACTAGCAGTAAAGCTGACAATCAGGCAAGCAATCTGCTATGCAAAGGGTTGACCTTTTAACGTTGGCATGTGCTGTTTCCTCTCTAACTTGTTGGGAAGTTTTGATATCTTTAAGATAATCCGATTATCGAAAGCTCATCACAATCATGGGCATGGCGAATGTTTTAGTTTTCTTTAATTCGACTTTAAATTGAACCCGTTTCTTTGCTGTCAATTTTAAAAGCATTCTTATTACCAAATTCGAATATTTAAGGAGAATACGTAACTCTATCACAGACCGTGTACACAAAGCTGGTCTTATGAGAAAATATTCTCTCATTTCATGACAACAGAGTACGAAAGCTACTGACACGCGCTCTTGAGTACCTACCACTGCTCTTAATTATAAAAGGTTTGTATGACAGCTCAACGCAGAAAGGATCATTTCTGCGCTTGAATTTCATCTGATGATCAAAAATGATTTATGTCTTTCAAATTCTGAAAAAAAGAGAATAAGTATAATGGAAGGAATAAGACTTTGGATTAAAAACTAGTACGGTGTAATCTCTTTTATGTGGTGTCCTTTAACGCTTTCCTTTCGTCCTCGGGGCTGTTGTGAATATCCGCACGGAATGAGTAGAGGTTGTATGCAAATTTTTGATGAGTAAATAATATGAAAAAGTTAACGTTGCCATAAATGTCATAAATGGAGGTATATCTCGTAGATCAGTGATGTTTAAAAGTTTAAAATTATTTATCAATCGAAATCGAAATGATTTCGGACCGCGATTTCTGGATATCTAAAATACTCCAGAAGATTCTAAAAGTGTTCGCTTATTTACTTAGTCTTGGTGAGTCTTAAGCTAAGTTAGGCAGGCCAAGCTGAAACTGATCTTTAAATAAAATTTAACGAAACGATGTAGAATGTTCCTGGCTGTTAAGTATATCCCTAAATGCAGAGCTCGTATTTAGTTGCTTTTGTTATTACTAGTCTTTTTCAGGTGTTCATTTAATAAAAAAATAAATAAAAAATTGAAAAAAAGGGAGCGAAAAGGTACACGGCACAATAGCAGCAGTGGAGTAATAAAACAGGTGATTTTTGGGTCGGGTAGGATCGGGTGAACTCCGTTCTTCACCTGAGTCGACTCAAGCCTCACTCTTTTTTCGGTCCGCCCTGACTATCGCGCCGTTTATTGTCCACTTCGTTTTACTGGCTGAACGCCTCAAGCAGGCTTTGTTATCACTCGATAAGCTGTCAAAAACAAAAAAAACAAACAAAAAAAAAGGCTGTGATGCAGAACGCAAGAGACTACTACATATATTTTCTTCGAGTCAGTAGGGGAGCCACTTATTACGAAAAAGGAATCGAGAGACAAAATGAATGCAATCACCTGTCGTATACAAAACAACTTTAACTTTTCCCATGGTAATATTTTGCAATCAAATAATGACTCGACCAAATAAACTAACTAACCTTTCTTAAAGGTTTATTAAGCAAACAACATAAAAATATTAATATAACTTTGTGCTTGTGCCTGTGAAATGATTGAATATTTTATGAAGTTGCAAAACCGTATTGTAGAAAAAAAAAAAAAAAAAAAAAGGCTAGTACATTACAAAAAAAAAAAAAACTAAATCAAAACTAAATCAAAAGCTTGGCTAAGAGAACATAGTGTTGGTGACCATAGCTTCATCCAAAGGAAGTCTTCAAATTGTTTCCTGAACGATTGACATCTGCGCTGCAACCTTTTTATTTTTCAGTCTGCCTTTCGTATGTGAGAGATTACAGCATTGCCATAAGCACTTCGTCATCTGTCAATAGCTTTTGGTGAGGGTAAAGTGATGTTTTCATTATTTCTTTTGAATCAATGGTTACAGAGAGTATAAATTTGTCCCTGTTATAGGATGTCATATCCAAAATGTCGTTTACTAATTTGATAAACAAGTAAGTAAGACAATCAGCATTGTTCAGTAGCAAAATTCCGCCTGAAAATCAGAGATAATTTGCACACAAAATGTCTGACGTCGGGTGAATATTTGAAATATTCATGATCTTTTAAGTAACATTTCCACCCTTTGTTCTATGTTGAGACCTTTCAGTGTAAAACGGCAGGATGAATTGTCGCATAATCTCTTTTTGGCAAACAACTGATTCTCTTTTAGGATGGCTGTTTAATGTAAGGTACACATGCCAACCTCTGAGGAAATGTTGTTATGTTTTGCGACCCAAAGGACACTTGAGATCGTTCGCATATTTCAAATAAGGTAAATATACCTTTTAAACCCTTGAGAATACATGCATCATTAAAAGGTAAGATTTAAGCCACAGTAGATGTGACGTTGTCAACAGAAAGAGGCGAGAAATCCCTCAAATTTTGATGATGATGACGAATTTCAAGTCTTTTTGAAGATAACACCAAATAAATAGAATGTGATGAGATTATGTAAAATGTCCCAGGCTTTCAAGCATTTCTCTATAAGTAGAGCTCATATTTAGCTGCTGTTGTTATCACTTGCCTTTTCTGGGCGTTTATTAGTAAAACGGAGAGAAATGGCACACGGCACCATAGCAACGAAGGAGTGGAAAAAAACGGGAAAGGTTTGAGTCGGGTCAGGTCGGCTGAATGCCGCTCTTTTAACCCGACTCGACTCAAGCCTCACCCTTTTTTCGCTTCGCTGTGACTATCACGCCGTTTATTGTGCACTTCGTTTCACTAACTGAACACTTCGAACAGGCTGTATTATCACTCGATAAGTTGTCAATTAAAGCTGTGATGCAGACTACGAGTGAGTACTACAGATATTTTCTTCGAGTCTGTAGTGAGCCATTTCGAAAGAGGAATCGAGAGACAAATTGAATGCAATCACCTGTCGTATAAATAACAACTTTAATTTTGACCACTGTAATGTTTTGCAATCAAATAATAACTCAGCAAAAATATTTACTTACCGAACTTCGTCTCGGTCCATAAAAACGCAGAAAAAGAACGAGGTTAATATCCAGCCATCTTGACCGAATAAGCTTGGTTAAGAGGAAACATATACTCCACAGTCGATCTCAAGTTTTTATTTAATTTTTTGTCTTCATCTCTTCTCTCAGTCGTGAGGGGAGAAAATGAATAGATGAATAAATAAATGAAAAAAGGAAGCTCAACAGTTTGCACCTATAATTATACGGTACATGAACTGATAACCGAGGTGTAGTGAAGCCTTAGAGGGCTAGAAGTGCAATATCCCTGATTCAAAAACTTTTTACCCAAGCCTGCAAATTGTGTGACCCACAAGTCGGAGGACTCCTTTGTCCAAGTTTGAAATCTCATTTATGACTTACGTTATCACATTTTGCCAAAATCTATTGTACTTAAGAGTCTGAGCCAGTGATATATGGAGAGGTATTGGTCGGTTTGCAGCCAATGCTTTTCGACTTAAGTTTAACAAATAAAAATACGCTGATTGATATCAGCGAGCCTGCAATGTGACATGAATACTGGTCGGAGGATGTTTTTGTGCAACAGCTGTCACTTCAACATCTCAATATGGATCTCCGCTATAACAACAATGCATTGGCGGAGTTAAACGATTGTACTAGAGGACTAAATGTTGTTACATTTACGACTTTATTACATTTAGGACCAAAGTCTATTGCATCTAGGACTTTATTACATTTAGATCCAAATGTTATTCCATTTAGGACTTTATTACTTTTAGGACAGTTATTACATTTAGGCTTTCAACAAGCCACGCAGACCATTGAAGCGAACTTTTCACATTTGACGAGTACCTTCCATCGTTACGAACAAGAAATAAAAGTTCGGAGCACGAGACACAACTCTTCTCTAATATGTCTACGAACTTGACCAAAAGAAACGTTTCAAAAACGCTGCGCCTCATGAATCCACAGATGGCGAATATCGTTGTCGATAAGAGTACATGACACGCTCAACCACTGTCGAAAGGATGATTATTTAGTCTTGATTATATTATGGTGGAGATCTCAGACGTTTGGTTTTCTAAGGTTTATTCCGAATTAGTTAAAAATATGGCAGCCAAAAAAAAAATTCGTATTTTTTGATTTGTTTCGACAATTTCTTTATTG